AGGTAATTTAATACTATTTATCTAATCTTATATATATTTTATCCTAGAATAGCTTATAATAGCTATCTAGAGCTAGTCTAATCTAAATAGCTTATTCTAGTATTAGAAAGGTTAAGTTCTATTAAGTCTAAATATCTTAGATAGAGTAAAATAGGTCTTTTATCCTATCTTTTATCTATTCTATCTAGAAATTATCCTATCTTTATAGGCTTATATTAATATAGACTACTAGATTCTATATTTTCTAGAGCGTAAGAACTATATTAGTTATTTAGCTAATTTCCCTATACTTTTAGAGATCTTTAGACTAAACTAGCTCTATATTATTATTTTTAGGGTTAACCCTAATTATCCTAAGTAACTACTTTAAGGATAGCTAGATTATATATACTATATAAGGGACTTAAGTAATTAAGGTCTTTAAATAAGCTTCTTAAAGAAATTCTTAAAGAGATAAGACTAAAGTCTTATTATTTAAAGCGTTATCTATAGTAATAGCTATAATCTAGTCTAATATTTTATACTTCTCTAGTATTAGAATTACTATACTAATAAGGTTAGCGCCTAGATATAGAAATTTTAGTATAAAGAAGCTAAAAAGAAGAAGATAGAATCTTAAAGTAGATTAAGGGTAGATTAGAGATAGATTAAGAGGAATTAATTAAGATATAATTAATATAGATCTTTATATTAATATATATATATTCTATATTAATTATATCTTAATTAATTCCCCCTAATCTACCCCTAATCCTACTCTAATCTACTTTAAGATTCTATTACTTATCTAAATAGGTACTATATAGGGGTTTAAACCCTAATAGGACCTCCCTATAGTACTAGTCTAGATCTAGAAAATAGCCTATAATAGCTAGATAAGATTAGGAGTATAAAGATATCTAGTAATCTAGGGTAATTAAGAGCTTAGAACCTTCTAGAAGCGTGCTTAAAGTAGTTATTTATTAATTTAAGCTTTTATCTCTTAGGCGATAAGATAAGATTTAAGGGGAGGGGATAAATAGGACTAAAGTAAGCTAGGCTATTCCTTCTATAAAGGCCTTAAATTACTAATTATTTAAGATATTAAAAGATAGATAGTAGATAATAAAGAAGTTTATAAGTAGCTTAAACCATACTTAATAGATAATATACTACTTTAACTAAATTTCCTAGCTAAGGTTAGTATATATAATATATATAATATATATAATATATATATAATATATATAATATAAGATAGTAGGGTAGTAGGATAGTAGGGTAGCGGGCTTATTATAGTAAAGATAAAGCTACTCTTAATTAAAGTCTAGCTAGGGTTAATAACCCTAGACTTATAGGCTTTCTTAATATAATAATAAATAGTAGAGGTCCTATTAATAGACCCTTTACTATTACTCTAATTAGGGTAGTTAAATAGTATATTATATACTATATAGCGTACTTTTAGTAGTCTAGTCTAAACTTCTATAATCTACTTAATATAGGACTAAATTATTAAATTTCTATATTTTATCTAATTTAAAGATAATTTAATATCCTTTAACCTATTTAGGGTAGTTTTCTACTATTTTAGGAAGCTATTATAGTTTATTTAAGACTATATAGTATAATTTCTAGCTTTTAGCGTAGAAAACTATAGAATTCTATTAAATAGGGTATCTAGGATAGATAGGTTATTTAGGGTAGGTAGGGTACTCTAGATAGGGTAGAATATTAATATTAAATTAGATAGAGTAATTAGATCGCTCTAGAGAGGGTTTAGAAACCCTAATTCTAATATACTAGATATATAGAGCTAAGAGAGAGCTAGAATAAAAGGATTTTTAAAGATATTACTTCTAGAACCTAATTAGTTAGATATTATATATAGGTCTAGTTCTATAGCTCTAACTAGTTATTACTATAATAGTCTTATCCACGCGCTATATAATTAAGAATACTAGTTTAATTAATCTATATTTCTATAGAACTCCTACCTAAACTAGTTAAAATAGAGCTTTTAAGCTTATATATAAGGTTATTACCTTATATAGTAGCTTATTCTTTATTTAAATTATATATATAAAGGATAGTTAGGGCGAAGACCTAGATATATAGTTAGTAAGGTAGTAAAGCTATATGTTCTATATATATATATCTTCTCTATTAGTATAGAAAATTAACTACTTTAAAAATTACTACCCTATATTATACCTAGCCACCCTAAATATAGGGTAATCTAGAGTAATATAGTATAATAAGCTTATATTAAGCTATATTATATATAATTATAATAGGTAGAGTAGAATATAGGAGGAAACGTAGTTACTATATATATATAGACTAGAATAGACTATAATTAAAAAAAAGTCTTAGTAAAAAATATATAAAGTCAGGTAGAAATTAGGCAAAATTAGGCAAAATCAGGCATTAATTTTAGAAAAATAGGCCTATAGGCCCCTATATAGGGGCCTATATAGGGGTATATATTTTTTAGGTTAGGCCGGGCCCTAGAATTTGAAAAATAGGGGCCTATTGCTAAAGCCTACTCCTGATTACTAATAAAGCCTCTATTAATCCTTCTTATGTGGCTCCTATAGTGGGCGAGTCACTACTCTTAGTGCCGCTACTAGTAGAGCTAGAGCTAGAGCTAGACTTAGGCTTTGGCAAATGGGCCGGGCCTAATGGGCCGGGCTAGGCCCGATCTGAAAATGGGCCCCTATTTACCTTTAAAATGGGCCCGGGCCTATATGGGCCCCTATCTTGGGCCTATTTTGGTGGGTCTAAATTTATGTGTATTTTTTATAAAATATGTAGAAATATTGGTTTTGGAGTGGTGAAATACCACTTTAAATATAATATATCATATAGCCCTTGGTAATTTATAGCTTATAAGCTTATATATAAGGTATTTACCTGATAATATAGCTTTTTATTTAATCAAACTATGTATAAAGGGTGGTTGGGCTAGAGATATATATATATGGTTATTGAGGTAGTGAAGCTACACGTTCTACATATATATATCTCCCCTATTAATATGGCAAGTCAATCACTTTGAAAATTACCACTTTATATTATATCCAACTACCCTAAATATAGAGTAATCTAGGGTAATAGAGTATAATAAGCTTATATTAAGCTATATTATATATAATTATAATAGTTAGGGTAGAAGGTTCGAGAAGTAGTGGTTGCTATACATATATAGACCAGAACGGACTATAATAAAAAAAAAGTCTTGGCAAAAAATATGTAAAGTCAGGCAGAGATTAGGCAAAATCAGGCAAAATCAGGCATCAATTTCGAAAAATCGGGCCTATGGGCCCCTATATGGGGGCCTATATGGGGGCATATATTTTATGGGTTAGGCCGGGCCCTAGAATTTAAAAAATAGGGGCCTATTGCCGAAGCCTAGCTAGACTCTACTAGCGTTCCCCACGAGCTAGCGGGTAATAGGTAGAGTATTATAGAAGGAGCGTTAATAGAGAAGTACGCTAGTATAGGGTAATATCTTAGTTAATATTTACTTATCTCTTTTATCTTTTCTACTTCTTTCTCCCGTTCTGGATATTCCGTTGCCTATATAGTATATATGCCCCCGTAATTAATATACTTATATTCGCTTAGCGTGCTATCGGCCTTCTATAGGTAGCTCTAAGAAAGGTGCTTACCGGCATAGTACACGTATATAGGTTTGTTAATTAGATAGGTGGTTCCTATATAGCCCTATTTTTAATAATTATAACACTAACGTACGCGTATAGCTTAGTTATATAGTATAGTAGAAAGATAGTTACTATCCTAAAGCACGCCCTAGTTAATAGCGGTATTAGCGGCGACTAGAGATAAGAATTCCGCCATGAGCGAGCCTAATTTACTAACTAGCGTATGGAGCTAGTTTAACCTCGTGATCTCTACTATGCCCTAGTCCGCTTAATTAGTAGCCACTAGCTTAGATATCACTATATCCTATACCCCTCTTAGCTCTTCTATACGTGGCGAATTAACGCTAAGAGACTATATATTAATATTATAGATTATAATGCCCTATATTAGTAATAGAACCTCGGCTTTCTTATATAAGCTCCGCGCCCACTCCTAGTATATATAAAGAATTTCCGCTTCCTTAGTAGAGCGGACGGAGAAGTGGAGATCACCTAACTATAGCTAGCGGGATACTAAGATTTTAATAGAGGCTAGCGGAGCTAATTTCTAGGCCTATATAGCACGAGCGCGTATATAATTAACTTTCTTAGTTAAAGCGGCGGGCGTGTCTCTATAGTACTAGTTAGTAGCGGCTAGGTTATTTAATCGAACTATAACCTCGTGGTCCTACGCGACCTTAGAAGCGGTAACGCCGGCGGTAGAACTCGCGCTACTATAAGATAAGAGGTGATAGGTAGGCGCTAGCGCGCTATATATAATACTAGTGAACGTGGAGGTTCCTACTCGAGTAGGCATCTAACGCTCTACTATAGCTTGTATAGCGGTTAAATCCTTACGCATCTCGAGCGTCTCCTAGCGCAGCTAGGAAAACTCTACACGCTAGTCCGCGCTAAAGGGGTTCTTCAGGAGGTCCGCAGTGAGCTCCTCAACGCTTTTGAGGCAGGAAATTACTACACTAGGGACTTGGTGACCTGCCTGACTCTACATATGATCGAGTAGCTTACGTATGTCATGATTGGCGTTTAAAATTCTGGCGGTGGTGTCGGCGGGCGCGACCCGACCGGCCCCTGAAAGAGGCGGCCAGGTGTTGACCGGAGCCACCATGTCGATACGCGCTTGAAAATGGTATCAAAATGGAGCCCCAGAGGTAATTGAAAACCTCCCGTTGTCGGTTAATTGCCAACTGGCGTGGTTGTGGAGTAATTTCAAAAATTCGATTTGCCAAGAGATAGATGTTTTTGCCGAAAACAGTAATCTAATCATGAAAAGGACAAATATACCGAAATTCCTAAATAGTTGCAGGGTAAAAAAGCCCATGTATACCCAAAGTGGATATTTCGCTGAAATAGTAATCAACATTTCTTAAAATCACCTTCTTCCTCATTCCCGAAATCTTCCCAGGTAGCCCGATCTGACCCATTGGGCCGACTGGCCCTGATAAACTGATTATCCACACCTTGCACAACAGTAATAGGCTTGACAACCTCAATATCAGTACCATAAGCCTTGGAGAACCAGCTCTCGGTCAGCGGATGGCGACCTTCAGACTCAACCCCCGGATCCAAATACAAGTGCGGGAACCGCTTTTGCATCCCCTTGAGGACAGTCGAGGAAATGCGATCAACACTATCGCAGTGACGAAGCTGGAAGAACTCTGCTGGCTGGGCAGAACGAAGTTTCTCTTGCACTTCATCAGAGTACTGACCCACTGCAAAGAGCAGAAGATCGTAGTGCATGAGGGAAGCCTGGCCGTGGTATGAACCACCGGTCTTGGCGCGGTGGTAGAGACCGGTCAGCGCGGCAATGGCGCCCATACATCCAGTTCCGTAGTCGGAGATGGGGAAAGGGGGAACGGCAGGTGTGTCACGACCCATGAATTTGCCTTGGGCCCAAGCGACACCAGTTACCTAGTTGAAATGTTAGTTGGATAATTTCATGCTTCATAATTGTGATCCACTTACGCAGTCGGCAATTTGTTGCCATCCAGCCCGTCCGGCCCATTCACCTTCATAGCCGAAACAGTTCTCGTTCACGAAGACAATTCCCTTTCCGCGCTTCTCGGCAAGGGCCGCCATGGCCTTCGGGCCGTAACCCAGCTTCTCCAGAGCGCCTGGTCGGTACCCGTCGACGATCACATCAACGTCCTCCAAGAGCTTTTCGAACTCTGCGCGACCGGCCTCGGTTTTCAGATCCAGGTCTGCGGCGCGTTTGCCCATGTTTCCGTCGACCTGGAAGAAGGGTACGTCAGACAAGTTGGGGCTGGTGATTTTCAGCACATCGGCGCCGTATTCGGCTAGAATGCGGGCGACGGTTGGACCTGCAATGATGCGGCACATCTCAAGCACCTTCACGCCCTCGAGGATCCTCTTGCTGCCAGGTCGAGCGGCCGGGAACGGAGTCGGGGCAATATCTCCTTGAAGCTTGGCAACCTTCCATGGTGGTTCTTCAACATTGAGTGCTCCCTGTTGTTTTTTGAAATAAGCATATGTCCTTGCTCCCTAGTTTCTTTGGGGTCTAAACACAAAGAATGGATTGGGAACGTACATGTGGGGTTTTGATGAAGTCTTCATATTTGAGTGCTGGAACACCCGCTTGGCGGCGCTCTTTATTCATTGCCTCCAGCTCAGGAACAGTGTACTTCTGAACCTGAGCCTCAATAACCTTAATGATCTCTTCATAGTCTGTCAAGTCGGGACGGTGGCCCTCGAGACCGATCATGTTTAATGTTGTGGTAGCCTCGAGAGAGCCATGGATATGGTAGAACTCCCCTGGATTCTTGGTTTTATACAGATTCGCCGACATGCGACGGTATCCGTTCGACTGCGCAGCCAACAGATCCGTGTCTGAGAGTTGGGTCAGTAATAGCTCTATCATGGGCTTGATTTAACATACCTTTCAACTTGGATTTAACATTAGGATCCAACTTTGACAATCCATCGATCTTGGCCATGTACGCCTGACATCCGAAGGCCGTGGCCGCTTCCAGGCTGACCTGCACACTACGCGACTGTTCGGTAGCTCCAAATCGCAGATCGGCAAGGGCTGCGGCCACAGAGCCCTCGACACCTTTCAGTGCGGCAAGGGTCTCAGTCTCCTTGAAAGGAATTGGGAAGTAAATTTCATTGTGACTGGTTGAAAATGAGACTTTGTCTTTGTTGGCGAGCACTTCTTCGGGTAAACTGAGTCTCTCAGACTGGTCACAAAGACTGGAGAAGATGCGACTCGTCTCGAGAACGGGTGAATACGGCGAAGCGTTGCTTGAGCGATCGTTTGCCATGACTTAAACTTTGTCGCGTTTGACTTTATTTAGTAATAGTCTTGTTTCGCGGTTCGCGGTCTCTTAGATTAACCGGTTAGTGGATATTTGTACAACCAGTCTTCAGTACGAGTTTCGTGAGATTGGTGACAAGTTCAGATTTAGACCTGCCGATCCAGATTTCAAGACATTAAAGCTATAATATGTGACGGCAGTGGCCACCCGACGGAGGAATACCGGACTCGATCCGACCACTGCCGCGCATCGGCCGTCGGGATAGAAAGTATGGCGGATATGGGAACGTACCCGTGCACTGCAAAAAACGAGACCCCGCATGCAGATCCGAAAGAAAACTCCGGGTTCGGGCGAACGTCGGATCCCGATAAGATCGGATGTCATGGTCACGTGATGATTAGCCGGCTCGGATGCATCTCCCGGCTACTTGATCTACAGGCATTTATAATCATCAATATGAGCGTTACTTAACATTTAGAAGTTCTGTCACTGTTCGGACTATGTAGCTTAGCCATTCCGTCAAATCTCGTCGGTGCTGCTCTTGGCAACAAAGATTCCTTTGTCATATGAAGAAGTACATGGGCCATGGCCAACAGTCAGGATGTTGTCCTTGGAGTGGCTAGGGTATTAGGGCAACACACGAAGGGGCTTCCTGTATCTGCAAAGTCCGAAGCCTTAAGCACTTTCAAAGTCATTGACATCGTATAGTGGCAACTTGCAAGGCTTTTTGAATGATATGTCTGAAGTCATCCAAGCGGGTCATATTCTTATCACCATTTTTTACGAATCGATCAACCACATCGTAGAAGCGAATGTAATCTTCCATGGCCAGTCTTGACTCCTTGCCTATTATTCATCCGCTTGCAGTATCAAGTTTTCTTCGGCAAAAGCTAACTAAACTCTGAACCGTCTCTGAGCTCCCATGGATGTAATCTCACGTAGTGTCTGGTGATACTTTAGGGTGTTGCCATAAAGTGAGGAGCAGCAGGCTACATTGGCCAGACTAGACCTAAATGGCACGGCCACGTCTGGCGCAACGGGCGAGCGCTGAATTAATATGTTCACGAGATCCATATTGTTCGATGCGCCCGTCTGTCAGAAACTTAAGCTAGGATAAAATTATTCAACACTATTATTTTCTTCGTCGTACTTCCAAGGTTAAATATCAGGCACGTCCTTCTTTTCAGCTTAGCTACCTTTTTACTTTCGTTTCTCCATCACGCTCTGGTCTCACGCAGGGCCCTATGTTGATTTCCAGGTTGTTCTTATGTGTTTATCCGCTCGTTCTCGAGATCCCATGCGGATCTTCTATAGACGTGTTATAATATCAGATTCATTAAACAACATCAATGACAGTCCGCATCAACAATAACCATCATGGACAACAATCAACATCAACGATAGTCCACATCAATAACAGTCAATTGCATAAGGTGGCCTTCGCTCTGCATAAGCCGAGAAAGGAAAGTGAAGACCGTATAATGGGAAGTTCCTTCACTTCTTACACTTTGGCTCATCGCGTCCCTCAGTATTGTTGACCTTCCTCCGTTTTCTTTCTATATTTCTCCTCTTTCTTACTCGACTTTCTCGCGATCCTTATCACCAACCCTTTCGTCAGTACCACTACAGCTGTGAAGTACCCATTCATCCAATATGAGCTCTTCAGTCCCCGTTCCCATGTCAGAAAAGTAAGTTATTCCTTGGGCTTTGGTTTAAATGCATTAATTGACGATAGCAACAGCAATGGCGCGAGTCACAATCACACAGCAGATCTCCAGATTGATCCGGTCATCGCGTTTGAAATCAACTACAAGGCCCCAGGCGAAATTTCAAAGGCCATAATGACATTGCCGTGGAGTGTGGCTAGGAAAGAAAATGTCATCAAGTCCGAGCTTCTCAAGGCTTTGATCACAATGACCCCTGTCCGCGAGCCAGTCCTGCGAGCGAGCAGGATCTGGACCAATAAACAGCTTCACGAGCAGCTCAGCAAAGTCATTTCAAACGCGGAATCCGCCATCATTCAGACGGTCGGGCGGGTTCCAACACAGAAGTGCAAGCCATGCTCCAAAGACCTAGGCCCCTGGACACAATGTGTCGTCATTGATGACATGGGGCATCTTATCAAGGCTTGCGGAAACTGCCACTGGCGGAAGAAAGACAGCCGTTGCGACTTTTGCAGAACCGCACCTCTTCCCTCCCAACAGCGAGCAGAGGAAAATGAGCTTTCTCTTGCTGTCCCTTCGATCCCAGCCGCCACCGCCACCGCAGTGCCATCGATGACTACACAGTATACTGTTCTTGATGCTGAGAAAGAAGCCTTGTATGATCGCAATCGCCTCCTTGAAGGGCAGGTCCGACGCCTTGAAGCGCAAATCCTCGTTCATTGCGCCCACATCCGCACTTTAGAAGACAACCAATTCCTTCTTGAAGATTCTTGCCAACTGATCCGAGCCGCGTCCCGGAAGAACCCTCGCTTTGTAGAGGGCGAAATCGATGATCTAGCAACAATAATCCGCTGCAACAGAATGACTCTTATCAAAGACCGAAACTGCATGGATGTCTCTAACAATGAGTAATAGAGAGATAAGGAAAGGTCACCATGTAATGTATTGAGTTTTTGTGAGTCGCGTCAGTCCATACTTTCTGCTCAAGTGCCTGTAATTCCATTTGATTCCTGAAGCTTCAACAAATAATCCGGATAGTATACCTTTCAGCCACGATACCGATTGGTCCTTACGTGACTCATCAGCGTCTGATTTGTGGACTAAATTCTCTAAGTACAAAGGAATTGGGTAAATCTTGTCCCAAAAGTTTTAATATGGCATTGAATCAAGCGATTCTAGGGTAGTTAGGTAGAACTCAAATGATCGATACCTCCACGGTACATGACCCAAACGGTCTGCTCACTTTTCATAGTCATTTCTACAGCCACAGAAATGCACCGCATTCCTTGTCATTATGTGCCCCTCAACGATAGACTAAATGTATAGTATCAATTGCAATCCTCGCTTGCGCATATATTCTATTTAATAGATAACACCTGAGCGGAACTAATTTATATGAAAGTCGTGTCCTTATATGTATTCATTGCCATCGTTTTAACAACATCATTTCAGTTGTAAGACCCGGGCCAAAGCTCGACGCAATGACATCCTGCTTCCTCATTTCCATAGTTCTCAGCCTCTCCAGAACAGCCAGAACAGCAACACTAGATGTGTTACCACGGGTTCTGTATATCTCATTACTTGCCACCACCAGCTCATCCGGCAGCCCCATCGCCGCCTGGGCCCCCTTGATGATAGACAAGCCACCCGGATGGACTGCCCAATCGAAATCCGTTGCCGAAGCACCGGACATCCCATTCTCCATAATCAGACTTTGAAACGGCCGTGCAAGTGATGCGGATGTCAGCTTGGGGACATTCTTCGACAACACAAGTCGAAAGCCAGTACTGGTGACCTTATCCTCCATCTCATCATGGGTTCCTGGGGTGATAGCAGAACGCGAATCAACAATCGAAAAGCGCCTTGGGAGATTTTTCTCTTTGTTTTCCCGAGTCATACCATGCGAATTGCATACAACCAGCGCGGCCGCACCATCACCAAATAAAGTCACACCAATCCCCATATCCTGTGAAGTTGACGCCGCATGCAGTTCCGAACTAATGAATATACTGCAAATCTCACATGCCAATACCAGAATCCTAGCCGGTCGACCTTGGCTAGTAGCCGCCCTAGCCAGGTTCGAAGCCATTCTCAGGGCAGCTAAGCCTCCAGCACATCCAACACCACTTATCAATAATCTTTCGGCCGTCGCCGGGATACCGAGCTCGCGGGCAACAATCTGATCATATCCCGGACTTCCAGAATTGGTGGCGGTGACTGCGACAAGGTGTGTGATGTCGCTTGCTTGAATCTCACTATCCAACAAAGCACTATGTGCAGCTTTCTTAGCGATCTGGACACCATATTGTCGCCAGGCGGTATCGACTTCTTCAGCTTTTTGGGGGATCCTTTCGGCGCCATCGAGGATCTGCCCATAGGTCCACCACGGATCGGGTTTCAATTCCGGTTTTTTCGTTGATTTTGAGAAGCCTCTGAAGCCTGGGATATCTTTAGTATGGCAAATCGATATAGGAACTATGCAATCTTACGAACCATGGTGCATCTGCGGGGTATAAACTCTGGGCGAATTCTCTGAGATCGTCTGGGGTAACTAGTTTTGAGGGCCATTCTGTGGCTAACCCGGTGATTGTTATCTCGTTTTTTTCTGGGGGAGCTGAAGTATGTGTTGCAATTGGAGCCGGGTCGTTTCTTCTCAAATTTGAGAATATACCACCCATATTGACTTGGAAGTTTATAGGATTTACTTTGTGACTGATTCATGGGCAAGGCTGTGGGAAATGACCGTATTTATACAAGAAGCTTACAATGAAAAATGGGAGAGTGAACTAATACAAGACAAACGATGGGGTTTGGGTTAAACTGACGTGTCGAACGATCATAGTAAGCGTAGCTATGTTCAAAATATTGCAAAAATTACCAAGCTTGAAGAGTTGCGTTCTCAACATAGAGTGTTACGAAGTACCGACTCCGACTCCGAAAGTTTATCTTGCAGACCTAGAATTGGGGATGAAGTAAGAGAGCGCGTTGATCACAGTTCTTATCGGGAACGTGGATCGTCAATAACCACGTGCAGAAGTTAAAGATACCCACGCGGGTCTACATAAGTCTAAATCTGGACCGAAAACACAATTCGTGACGAATGTAAATATTCTATGCATTGAGAAACACGGCTATGCTATAAACAAGGAAAGAGATAAGAAAGACATGGTATTTTGAGCCCACGGGGCCCAGAAAGGAATCTCATGCGAAAATGAAAAAAGACTGTTTCATCACTCAATGATGCTCAGCCTCGTGAATTGGTGCAGTGCCTTGGGCCGTAGCGGGTCGCGATTCGGCGGGGGAAGGGTTGTCTCTGAACATCACAGATGAACGATCACTGAGTAGATTTGTGCTTGACTCATTCTTGGCAGGCTGGAGTGGTGCAGGAACGACAGCGGTGGCTTTGAGGAGTTCGCGGGCGGCGATACGCTTGGACTTTGCTCGCTCCTTGGAGCAATGGAGGATGGCGACGCCTGCGAAGACGGACAACATGACACAGGAGAAGATAATCGCATTGATGTTTCCTTGATGGTTCTTCTTCTTTTGTGCGGCGGTTTCGGTGCTTGTTGCGGTTGCAGTACTTGTTGTGGTGGAGGAGGTGCTTGTTGTTGTTGTCGAACTGCTCGTGCCAGTTGATGTGGAAGAAGATGTGGTGGATGTTGAAGTTGAATCGGAGGACGTGGTACTGGAGGTGGTAGAGGTAGTTGAGCTGGTAGTAGAAGTTGTCGAGCTCGTAGTACTCGATGTTGTGGATGTAGTGGATGTAGTGGTAGATGAGGTGGTGGAGGTTGTAGATGTTGTGGAGGAAGTTGTAGATGTGGTATCACGAGCAAAGAATTCATTCAACTCTCGCTCGTCTCGAATCTCGAGGATTTGTACTGTGCCATCGACATCAGCCACCATAGGTGGGATCGCAAGCTTTGTCGTTTGTGGTGCCTGGTCAACAGCGGTAGGTGCGAAGAATGGGTGACCAGAAACCCGCGATAATTGCGCTCCCAAGAGGAGCAAAAGCAGACCCTGCATACTGTCTTTTGTTATTGAGATGAGAAAAGTGTGATTGAATTCTACGAAGAAAAACGGTGCCAAAAGACATAATTTAAATTATTTTTTTAGTATTATGGCCGCGAGTTGATTGACGTACTATGGCTTGGCAAACGTGGGCTCCACAGTTGAATTTTAGCCTTCTTCGAGGTTTCTGGGCGAAGGCTTGCGTTGTAAGTCTGCCTCGCAGCCCACGAACAGCTAGCTTGGTTGTTATTTTTGCACCGTTAGCTTGGAAATCAACCACTGGTGATCCAGTGGGACCATTTAGTGCGATAGGACGCGATAGCACACGCAAATGCCGCGCGGCACGGCCCCACAGGGCTGGTCCCATCGTATGGAATTGGCTGGAGTGGTGTATCGCAAAAGCAAAGCTTGTTCTGGCTGTTGGCGTTAAATTTGCTTGAATAATAAGGACCAAAAAGTGTTCGATTCTCATACACAATGTCTACGGCAAGCCGAGAAAGAGGTGCGGTCTCCGAGCCTCAGTATTGGGTGAAGCCCCACTCAAACGTGATAGTGCGGCTCTGGTAAAAATATACCCGCCCTAGTCAAATTTTAAACTGCTATTATTGTGCCCATGCTATGATAGGAAACGAGATGTCCTAAATTGCTACGGAAGAGTCCCTAGATTGCGTCCCTGGCAGATACGAGCGGGAAAGGGGCTTGGCTGAGCCTCAGCCTCGGTTGACTCGTTGAAGAACCCGAAGCATGGACCTCCTAGGTCAAGAGGTAGGAACTGGCCACACTAAAGGAAAAGCCAAAAAATTACTATTTGAATAAACTATGATATAAACAGAGATACAGCCTTCTGGGAAGAAGAAAAATAAACATTCACAATCAACAAAGGTCGAAAGAACCTTGAAGCCGAATTTCAAAGTATGCCAAGATGGAGATCGACAAACCTAAAGGTGGGGGTTGTGAAAATTTCCAAACTCTGATATTAGTGCAAAGTATGTATCAAAATATCCTGCTTCCAATACTGGCAGACATATTGCAAGCTCACGATCAACCTTGGAAGGACCTACACCTAGCATGTGGATAGAAATCTCACATGCGCTAGGTGGGGCAATAGCCCCTTTTTATGTAGTGAATAGTAGTAGTTACAACGCAGAGTTTGAAAGGATGTCCCTACGAATCTTCGACACCTACATATGGTGGATATCCATACAAGGAACATTTGAGTTCGATTGGAAGGTCTTTCCGGCACAAAAATTCATTGTTGACGGTCCCCACACGTAAATTTACTGCAAAAATATACCACGAAACATATATCTGCAAACTTCATGTTTAGCTAAATAGACTGACAGTAGGCATTCTGAAAGTCCTGTGAAAAAGGCCGCTCGTAGATACGATTCTGATATGTCCACTGCGAGAACCAAGGATACGTAACCAAGCTTGCCAAAGACGGGCGCTTGGCAGGGTCCCTCTGCAAAAGATGACGCAGCACATCTTTGCAATCCTGAGACAAATCCTCCCTCATCGGCAAATCATCATACATCATTCTCACTCGTCGATCATAAACCCTCTTATTATCCTCACCACCATACTCTAGTAAATCCATCTCATGGCCACCAGCCGGAGGATTATCCCAGGGCCAGTAACCGTGCAGAAGCCCATATACGATAACGCCGTACTTCCATAACGTGATTTGACGAACATCACTTTCAAAATCAATCCACATATTATGGTGCAAGTCACGTCGACGATTCTCGGGTCGGAACAAGATCTCAGCTAGTTCAGGCAACATTTGGTATTCCTGGAAGGCTATGTATGCATATAGGGAGCAGAAAAAATCCTCATCCTCGAGTCCGAACCAAACATTGCCAAGGTCAATAAGTTGGACATTCAGGCTCTGGTCAACGACGAAGTTGAGGACTGAAAGATCAAAATGAACAAGATTGATCTGTGCCATGTCAGCAATTGCTTCTAGAAGCTGCGCTGCAACTTTGCAAGCAGACATTTCATCGAGGAGGGGCCTATTATCTCTGGCCATGAGATATTTGCCTGTAAACGAGGGAAAAAGCTGTGCACAAGAGCCTGCTGCTGGTGCCCATCGATCTAGAGACGGATCAACACATGCCGACATAATAATTGTTTGATGTCGGTCATGAATGTAGACGGAGTCAAGCTTGGGGAACTTGTTACTGCATGTCAGAAAAAGGAGATATAACGCTTCAGTGGGGATATACCTCGCCTGATCGGCGTTATCATGAATTGGCACCGCAGGGGGCGACATATGTCCCTGGTTGGCACTGAAAACTGTGCTGTGTCGCTCGACCTTGACAGCATAATGTCTGACATTTCGAGGATCCTCTCCAGGACCGCATCTCTCTCGGGCGAGGTACACAGCTGCAAAGCCTATAAAACATTAGCATGTCTCAAACCAGATAATGAGGGGAGATAAGAGAGACCTACTACCATAGCCAAGGGTACCATAGATCTCCAAACGGTCACTCAACTTTTTGCATATTTGAGTCGGACGAGTCGCTGTGTCATCATTAGCGATCGGGTCTAGAAAATCAATCATGGCAGAATTCTCTTCATCTTGAAAGATGAATTCGTCGTTTCTGCCAATTTCGTAGCCATGAAACATTACATCATCGCACATTGAGATGGGTTCATGGTTTCTGTCCGCTAAAGCTCTTTCCAGTCGCCATTGAAGACCGTGATGAAGGTGGGGATATTTCTGGGCCATGTAACTCTGTGGATCTAAAAGTTTTTGAGCCGCTTGGGCAAAGCTTTGAGGCATTTTATTGGTGGACCTAAGACGTTGAGAAGACAATATGCAATGTTCTCAAGTCTTCGACGCATTGTGTTGGGGTTAATATACCCAATGAGCCACAAAGAAAGAAGGTTCAACAATGATGATGTGTTGTGAAGGCAAAGAAATGTAAGTCCAAAAGAATGGAACAATGAGTCCAGCTTGCTTAACAGTGAGGATGAAAGAAACTTATTTTTAGACCCATTGTCCTTGTTCCAGATTGTAGTGGCGAGTAATAATGGGCTATGAACAAAGGGATACTGGTCTCTCGCAACCTCATTTACGTTACTCCAAAGCCCCTTCAATGGTTCATTAGGGCTGGAAGTTTGGGCATTTAGAGAATCGTTGAACGACTTTCTTCAATAGTGATACATAGCAGTTGATATGTACAATGGAGTTGACATCTTGGATCCCAGGCGTTCTGGCTATAATGTCGAACAATGTCGGATCTCAAATATTGGCAAATGCCACGAAATAATGTCAATAGATGAAAGCAGTATTTGAAGGCACAAGAGAACGCTGGTATGACACAAGCGTATATAATGTGTCCTATATGGCAATTCGGTTCTGGAAATACCAGGTTTCCACAATCGCAGTCTCGACTGGAAATTGATTGACTAGTACGTTGATACCACCATAGCCGCAGCTTGGTGTTTAACGGCTTTCCCAAAATTGTGCATCAATCGCAACCAGTCGATTGAAAAGCTGATTTCGGGATCTCATACCTGTGAGGTGATATGTCTGCTCCAGATCATCGCCGCTGACTACAAGGCCATCTGCAGCCTCTTTACTACCAGCGGTCAATTCAACAATCAATTTCCGTTTCCACCCTAGACCTTCGGTCTTCTTCAGCTCCTTGATGCCAGTGACCGGAATCTGGAAGAGAACAGATCCTTTTTTCCGGCTTTCAATTCGCAAATCATCCAAGCCAGCAGATTGGTATGTTGTGAAATACAATATTGGGGGCTCCTTCGAATTATCAATCACAGCAGCGCCTCGCTTGCGCTCATATTTTGCGTCAAACTTCAAGGGTCCGAAGGGGGTTGCTGAAAACTGCCTGTTTTGCAGCATGGTAAGCAGGCCCCGCGTGTGGGTAGACCCTGCAATGGCCATTGCTCGGTCGAATGCAATATGACCTTGAATCGCCGTTGCGATTGTTCGACGAAGGAATTTGAAAAATTTGAACATTGTTCTTCGCTTCGGTTTTGTCTCGGGGAGGGAGATGTTTGAGTTGGACTTCTGCAATTCAGGGGAGGAGTCCTGCTTTGTAAGATCAGTCAAAGATGAAGCCTGGGATTTCTTGCGCGCGATTGGCCATGCCCGGTCCTTGTTGCCCACGGCTGGAGGAGGCGGTAGAGGTTCAGAGTTGATCTCCCCTATCCGCAGAAGAGTCAATGTGAGTTGAGCGTTTGTAGGAACACCAGCCAACAGGGTCCTGCAGTTTGGTCAGCGATAGATCTATTTATAGGTTACATGGAGATAGGAATACTTTTGTATATCCATTTGATCCTTCCAATTCGGAATTTTCCGGTTCAGGGTATCCAGCGTGTAGGTGAAAACTGGGTCTCCAAAGAAACCAAAGCCAATGGCGAACCCGATGATCTTGACAATCCAATAGCTAGAGGTTAGAGGTACCAACACAGATATCAAGGTCAGGACACCTGCAAGCTGTAACCGGGAAGTAAGTAGCAGAAATGGAGGCGTTGGAGACAGAAGACTATCATTGTCAGTAAATGGGTTTGTCCTGGCTGATCAAGATAATTTACTTGGAAAATTGCTCATAGATATCGGTGACATCACTCAATCCTCGCATCAACTTATCTGTTGCATGCGAGACCTTTTTCTTCATGGGCTTTTTGGTTTTGTCCTCTGGGGCATCGCCGTTCGGAGTCTCCGGGGCTTCTATGACTTCTGAGCTGTCGCCAAGAAGAGGCTGCTCGGGAGCCTCATCAACCACGGCCTGGCCGTACTTGGCCGCAGCGCTTTCCATCGCTACGGTAGCTAGGCTGTCGATCAAATTTCTCGCTTCCTGCTCAGCAGCCTCACCCTTGTGAGTCTCCGGTGCACCCGTGAGGCTGTCTAGAGATTCAGGTTGCTCTGTTCCCGATCCCTTCGTACTGGGAACGTCCGAATCTAAGGTTTCCTTGCTGGCAGGAAACATCCATCCACGGATGGACGGAACCATAATGAGGGAAATGATGACACCGCAAATGGTCGGAATGAGAACATCCAGAGCCCAACAAGCAAAATAGACCTGGATATTGTAAGCGTTCTGATGAGTGTATGTACACCAGGTAGGGCTTTACATACGATGCAGAACACAGTTGTCCGCCCAGACTCCTTCCATGATCGCAATCTGGTTATGTGCCGAAAGAACTCGATCACGCCGACAACGACCGATGTGTAAAACCGCTCGAGGGTAATGCGCAACTTTTCAGGCGGGAATCGCTCAACTTCCACACGATTCAGGTCTAATTTCTGGGATTTGGAATCTTCGACGGCTCGCACATGGTAGATTTGCTGTTCACATGTCAGCATTAAGTCTTATTCCTGTGGGGGCCACAAACCTTGTCGAATCGTCGAATCAGCATCCAGAGGTCTTCATTGGAAAGACCCTTAGCCAGATTTTCCTCCACTGTCCGGGATGAAGACTTCCATTGGGCACTAGGTCTGTGGTTTATTGGCTGGATTGGTCCGCTCTCAGGGGCCAGAACCAGGCTGTCATCCTCGTTGTTCAACTCTCCTGGTACATCGTGTTCATCGCTCATTCTCAGCGGCTGTAGTAAGCTCGCTGACTTTTTTTCTGCGGTATAAATGAGGGTTAGGTAAGTCTGGATAGCTTGACCACTCGGAGACTGTGGTGGTGAAGGGGAATGAGATGTTGACAAGTGTGGCTGATGTCATTCCCCAGTTTCTCTCTAGAAGCGGAGTCGTTATCGCCTATCTTATCGCCTTATCTGTACCCCACACGTGTTCCTGTCTCGCGTCGCGACCTTTGCTTTCAGCTCCGGAACCTTTAGTTTATTGGGACGAGTCCTACGATTGTTACTTAAGATGCCAGCAAAAACTCTCTCATATCTACCCATACAGTCGTTCTCCACCGCCCAGGGATTGGAGGTATTTCTCGAGCGCGAGCATATAACAGCGCCTGGGTTTTACCTCAAACTTGCAAAGAAGGCGTCGGGAATTTCTCGGTGTCTGCGCCACAGTGGAAGCTGCACTATTTTCCGTTGGATAGACGGTCGTACCAATGGATTCGATAAGAACTGGTGGCTGGGGCGGTACACCCTTTGCCGAGCGAAGAGCATTTGGTCCCCGAAGAATATCAATACAGTCAGTCGGCTAAAAAGGAACGGCCGCATGCGCCCAGCTGGACTGGCTGAAGTGGATGCCGCAAATCTGATGGCCGATGGGAGCGTGCTTATGCGGGTTCTGCCACTATCAGCATCCCTGCTGATTTTCAAGTTGCCCTGTCAGCGGTACCCACCGCCAAGGCCTTGTTTTAGACTTTGAATAAGACAAAACGTTACTCTATATTATGGCGCATTGAAATAGCATCACCCACATCTAGGGGGAAACGAATTGAGGCCATGGTCCAAATGCTCACAGAGAAAGGAGTCCTTACTTCATTGACCTCTGGAGGTAAACGGAAAAAGGAGCCGGATGACGAAGAGACCCAAAGGATTACCAAAAAGCGCCAAAAACACAACCATAATCCGCACATTAATTAAGCTTTGGACTCGTATCCTCAGCAAATCATAATAATTTGTTCGGCGCAGCCCAAAGACGACGGTGGTGTTGGGTGGCCTAGCAGCGCTAGTCTTGCAGCCGCACTACTGCTACTTTCGACCCGATTTTGGGGGCCAAGAAAGACCCCTTTTACGAAAGGGTAAAATATATCTAGCTACCTTCCCGCCTTAGCACGTCAGAAAGCCTAACTTATTGCCATATCACAATACGCCACCATGCGTTTCCTATCCGATGATCTCGCAATCGATCGAGACAACAAAGCCCCACTTCAGGTCCTTGGCGCAGGTCTGCCCCGTTGCGCGACAAGCTCTCTGCAAGCTGCCTTGGAATCTCAACACATGAATTGTACCCCGTGCATGCACATGGCACATATCGCACCTCATGCCGACCGTGGCGACATACTATTGGAAGCATTGCAGGAACCAAATAAGGAACGACGTCTCAAACTCCTTCACAGGATTTTCGATGGATTCCAAGCTACTTCTGACTTCCCGGGCTGTACCGTCGTCGATGACTTGATGGACATGTACCCCGATGCCAAGGTTGTGCTCAATTTGCGACCAGGTGGGGGCAATAGCTGGGAGAAATCCATCAAGCTCCTATCCTGGGCAAAGAAACCCTCCTACTATGCGCTCACCTTCCTTTGGAAAACAGATCGCAACCTACATGCGATGTGGGTTTGGTATGTCAAATATTGCATGGAAAAGTTCGGGCTAGCGGAAGAGGAAGTATTCACAGCAAAGCACTATGATGCTCACAATGCGTGGGTTCGGGCTGAGGCGGCTAAGCGTGGGCGCGAAGTTCTGGAGCACGAACCGAAAGATGGATGGGGACCGCTTTGCGCGCTCATTGGAAAGGCGGAGCCTGAGAATGAGCCTTATCCCCATCGTAATGATGCGGCTGAAATTCGCATGATATCTCGAGTCTTGTATGCCCGAGGCATTGTCTCTTGGCTCGCGGTGATTGGGGCAGCATATGGAACAGTGAAATGGCTGGGGTTCGTCTAAGGACCTCGGGAGTCTAACCTAGCTTAATTGAGCGACAGCTTGTCAAATTAGCAAGGCGTTTTCATAAGACGGAGTCAAATGGTGGACCGAACCGGATAAAAAAAAACATGATTGAACATTCCTATTTCGAATCCCGCCGTTCGGCTTCGCAATCGGAGACCTTGAACTATTGTAACCTTGTAAATACATGTTCAAAGGCCGGGGTGGAGCTCCGTATATGTGTCCGGAGGGATTCTCGGGCTAAAAAACTCCGAGTATTGTTGCCCCACCATATTGCGGGGGTACAAAGGGTGCTCAGAGCCCTGGTTATAGGGGAGATAAGGGCTTTGAAATTTACAATAATGGAAAAAAGAACGCCCGAAGAGCAACGGGTAATTTGCATTCTACCATTTCCCAGGCCGATGGTTGACTTTTGACATAGACCATCAACAATCTCCAAGACAACTGGGTCTGGGTCCCTGGCTGGATCGATTCCTCCACTATCAACACCGCCGGACGATTGGTTAGATTCACCCGGAACTTCAATTTGACAAAGCTGCCAACTCAGTCATTACTGCATTTCTCTGCCGATACGAGATACAAATTATTTGTCAATGGCACTCACATCGCCACTGGCCCTGCCCGAGGCAGCCCGTTAATCTGGTACTATGACAGCCAGGACATTGCAGCTCATCTGCAGGTTGGACGGAATGAAGTGGAATTTGTGGTGCTTCGATACTTTGCCTCTTCTCGTGGAGGCATGCCATTCGAGCGAACATCATTTCCAGGCTTGACAGCGGTAGGGTGTGTTGAAACAGCTACCGAAACTGTGAATCTTGAGTCCCTAGAGTCTTGGGTGGCACAGGTGGATGACAGCGTGAACTTTCCAACTGGACTTGTGGATGATGTCTTTCTCCACGTGAGTGTACCCCATCGTTACTTGACTTCCTCTCTAATGTGTGAATCCAGATCAATGAGCGTGTTGACCTCGTCAAGCACAGTCCCACACTGACACCGGTTCCATATAACATCAAGTGTGTCAATGGAGAGCTTTCACCTTGGCGCTTACGGCCACGTGTTATCCCAGTGCCGGAAACCCAAGAGGTGGCTATCAAAACTATGAAATTTTGCGACAGCCCTGTCCCTGCTGAAGAATGGACACGTTTTTTGACTCAGGGTCGCTTACTTACCCTGCCCGCTGGATCTAGCCATATGATAGAGCTACAGGCAGATGTTCACTCAACTGCGTTTCTGCGATGGGTCTTCAGAGGTGTCAAAGGGCCAACTGAGATTAAGCTCCGAGTCACATATTCCGAGGGATATGAATTGGAACCTCGTTCATACCCCTACTTTAGGTCCAAAGCCGATCGGCTAGATGCATCAAAGGGAGTCATTATTGGTCCATATGATGAGGTTGTGCTTGCTATTCCGGATACAGAAGACGTGAAATATGAGCCTTTTTGGTTTCGAACATTCCGAGTCATGCGTGTTGAGATCACGATCGGACCCGAGCCAGTCGAGTTGGTGCGCTTTGACGGAACCCAGGTGAATTACCCTCTGGCTGTCAAAGCTAGCTGGGAGAATCCTGAGGACCAGAGCAGTAGGGATATTTGGGATGTGTCAATTCGAACCTTGAGAAATTGCATGTTTGATGGTTACTCTGATTGCCCGTTTTATGAGCAACTTCAGTACGTTCTTCTACCGCGACAATTCCAACATTCAGCTGACACTTTTTCAGATACTCTGGAGACAGCAGATCAGTTGGGTTGTTCCACTATCTTCTATCCGGAGACGATAGGTTGATGCGACAAGCAATTACAAACTTCGCTTCTTCCATCACACCCGAAGGACTCACGCAATCCCGCTTCCCGTCCCATGTCCCCCAGGTCATTGCTGGCTTCCCACTTTACTGGATCCTCCAGGTGTGTGATCATCACCTCTACTTTGGTGATGCAAAATACTCTCGTTCCTTCGTCCCGCGCATAGACGGGGTCCTAGATTTCTTTGACTCGCACATCGATGAACAAGGCCTCGTGAGCGGAATTTCAGAGGATGTATGGCAATATGTTGACTGGGTGACGACCTGGGGCGCGACTGACGAACATCCCGATAAAGGAGTCCCAACGTCAGGTCGAAAGTCAAACAGACACACGTACTTCAGCATGCTTTATGCATACGTCTTGCGACAGGCTGCACGACTAGGCCGCGATGTCGGGCGACCCGGGAACGCTGATGAATACGATTCACGCGCCGAGGCACTGGTTTCCGCTATTCGAAAACACTGCTATGATGGCGAGTTCTTCACGGATTCGACGGCTGACATAGCAAGCGAGGACGCATATTCACAACACTGCCAAGTATTTGCTGTTCTTTGTGGAGCTGCGTTAACGGATGATCGAGAACGTATCCTGATGTGTTCGTTTGGCAACCCCAGATTTTCGAAATGCTCGTACGTGATGCGCTTCTATCTTCTACGTGCCTTGGCGGTTGCTGGAGACAAGGTGTATGAAGGCGTATGGAACGAAATGTGGGCACCATGGCGAAACATGCTCGCGAACAATTTGTCGACCTGGGAGGAGGATGATGTTCGACAACGGTCCGATTGTCATGCGTGGGGCAGTGTTCCGATATATGAGTACTGTACTGAAGTTGCGGGAATATCTCCCATCGCATCTGGATGCTCTAAAATACTATTCAAGCCGCGGCTTCACCTCACAGGGGCCATGCATGCGAAGGTTGCACTGGGCCACGATAATTTGGCGACTGTCTCTTGGACTACCGATTCTGACGGCATAATCAATGTGGTGCTTAACTTACAGAAGGCGGCTTCTGTTACCATTCAAGTGCCAGGTGCGGATTCGATGGAACAGGGTCTTGTTAATCTTGTCAATTTTGCCTACAAGCCCTTTCAGCCCTCATCATGATATGGGTGTACATAGAGTCCGGTCGCCTTTGATGCTTAGATCAATTGGTTTAATCCTTTGTCTTCCCTCTTCCTTCTTTGAGCTAGTTCTATTCCTAGAATATATGGTAGAAAGAAGACACTGTTGGAAAGCGAAGTCTGAATGTGGTCAATATAAATAGAACTGCCATTGCTACACACTGTCATTAGGCTATACAACACAAAGGAAGGGTGCGACTGGGCGGTATGAAAATCTTCTTGGCAACATCCTCCCTCCAGTTGCAAACACGTAATGGCTTGCAAAAAAACCATGTCACAACATAAACTATTTAGATACAGCCAAATAGAAACACATCCACCTTAGCGCTCTACCGGGCCTGTCAATTAAGCCACTATTTCCTTTTCAGCCAAGTGACCTGCATCTGCGCGCATTTGAACTTCAGTGACATGTCCCTTGAATTTCCGAAGGTTGACTTTCGTTTCGAATCTGTAAAGCCAGGCATGTTAATAATGCGCTCTTCAATACATGTCAACGTGATAAGGAAAGATTTGGACTCACAGTTCGTCAATTTCTGCAGGTGTGCGACGTGTCACTTCAGGTAAAATGAACCAAGCAATGACTACAGCCACAGTTCCGGTTCCGGCGAAGCTATAAATTAAGTCCTCGTTAGTGATATGTTATAATGTGAGTAGGTAGCTTCAGACGAACAAGAATCCCGTCTTAACACCCCAGTGCGAAACTGTTCCGTTATTGATCATTAGTGGGGTGCAGAAGCTGAACATGATCGCGACACCATTGGACAAAGCTAGAGCCCATCCTGCGGTTTGAGCTCGGAGACGCTGCTGGGGAACCTCAGCCGCGTACGCGTACCCGATAGCCGATGCACCGGTCGTAGAAAATGTGGCCATGCAAGCGAAGAAGATCTGAAGACGAAACGATTAGTAATAATCATAAGGATGTATTCGAAAAGCGAGAATTACCAATAGCGAGCTGGTTGCGGGCTTCGTGTAGTCGAAGCACCCAATAATACCAAGACACAAAACAGATACAACAGTCACTGCATAAGGGTAGACGGTTAAAGGTCGACGACCGAATTGATCAGTAAGCGTCACTGTCATAAGCATGGATAGAAGCTGGACACATGAGAGGATGACCGTCACCATGAACGGGTCATTGCTGCCAGCGTATTGAACTGAGAGCTTGTGTTAGTCGCAGGACATATTCAAATAGCTGACGAGGACTTACAAAAGTAGGTAGCGTAGCTGTTAAAGACTGCCAGACCCACAAACTGCTGTGTAATCTTTGGCCAGGATGCAATGAGGAATCGAATCAAGTTGCGACCTTTGAATACGGCCATCTGTCCCATTTCTGAGTTGCGCTCAGCGACCCGGCGTTCCTCCACCACGGTGGCATCCATAACGCTCTAAGAGAATGTTAGTGATGTCCGCCAAATGCAAGGATGAACGACCCACAATTTGTTCTTCGACATTGTATCCTTCAACATTACCATTGTATCTTTGCAAAATCTTTGCTGCGCGATCATTCTTTCCTTTGCTGACTAGCCACCAAGGTGATTCCGGAATTAGGAAAAAGATGATAGCGATAGTGCCGACCATCGCCCACTAATAGAAATTGTTAATAATTGTTCGTGGAAAGACTTCATAAATGCCAATATCATGTTGAAGACACCTGCCTGAGAGTAAATGGGGGTCCGGAAGTCCATAGGGTCGGAGGTGTTGAGCCGGTTGAGCGCCACCGAAGCAAAGATCTGACCAAGCACAAACCACCTATTTCGTAGAATATTAGCTGAGATCAGCCACCAACCGATAAAATGAAGATTTCGAACTCACAAGCTATAGGCATTGATATAGAATCCACGCAGTTGAGTAGGTGCGATCTCAGATAGGTAGAGTGGAAGTGTAGATTGCAACATGCCGACACCCATTCCCGAAAACAATTTCGCGACAAGCCAGTGCTGCCATTGAGTGGCAAAGGATTCTATAAAGACGCTCTAAAGAACAAAGTTAGTATGATCCTGAAGCGTCAAATATTCACATCACTTACGATAACGAGATCCACCCATATAAGGTACAAAGCAATCTTACGCCCATAGGCCTCCGTGACATACTGCAATAGCTGAAAACATTGTTAGCAAGCCATTCAAAAAATGATCAAAGGCCACAAAACTTACAATCTGTCCAACTGTTTGACCGGCCGATTGGATACCACCCCAAGCAGACACATATGGTCCTGGAATGATCGACGTCCCGGGAGAGGCAAATTGGGCGATGAATCCCTTGTTGGAGACGACTCCGCCATTCAGACTGATCTCTATTTAATCATCAGATAATGAACTGGGCTGCGCTGGATATTTGAGCCTTACGATATCCATCCAGGGAGGCACTGAACGATGCAGCCATAGCGACCAGCGAGATGAACTTGAACTGGCGAAGGGTTTGCCAGACCGAAAGATCATCCGACTTTGCTCGCATAATGGGCTGTTTCGATGGCTCATCTTCAACATTGTTTTCCACTTGAGCATCTTCGATGATTTCGCTTGTTTGCTTTGGTTCCTCCATGATGTTCTGCGAGTCAGGAGCTGAAGGGGTGAAATATGGTATGTCAATTCAGTCGTTGCGAAAGATTTGTGAACTTCAACAACTTATCCTTTAAGCTATTCTGGCCAAGTAGCTTGGCTTGTGACAGCCTTCAAAAATAAAGCGCACTAACTCCTAAGCTTCCCCAGAGATTGCGGGGTTCGTTATTTGTTATCACGGACTAGCATACTACAAGGAGCGATGGCTTGAAAGCCACCAATGCACATGACCAAAGTTGCGATGAAAAAAGGGGGTTTGAACAAATAAAAATTACACAATGCCGATAAAATCCCCGCACCGGCTACTGGAAGGAAGCTTCATTCCCCGATACAAGCATCTCAGCCCTGAACCTACCTTCACAATATAGCTAGACGGTCTAATTTCGATACCAAACTCCAAGCATCGGGTAATGACTCGGGTCTATATGTCCCGAGAGCGAGGACTAGTGCGCCTTCGAAAGCCAAAGGAGCGAATACTTCGCATCCCGAGGTTCAAGAAGGCCTCTTTGCATGCTCGCTAAATCGAATGTGGTGTTGTCAATGAACTCAGATATGCGATCTGGCGTTCTCGCTGCTTCAACGAATTCGACCTACAACCGGATGATATGACCAAGCTATAGAACATTAGCTAAGCGAAGTTGAATGTGATATCATCTAAAAGAAATGTTTTTGGCAGGGATCCACATCAAAATGGAAGATTTGAATGTGGGGTTCCCCGGATGTTCCCCGGACGTTCCTAGCGTTTACTTTAACGGGACATTTCCCGGTGGTTACAGGGTCATGAGGTTCACATTCCAATTCAACACGGAGCCTCCGCAATTCATTGATGGAATTATGAAAAGTTCTGTATCTACTGACAGGCCGTCATATTTGCCGTGAAAGTCCCAAGTTGGCCAGTGTATCTAAAGCTCAATCAGAAGGGCCTCCGACGCGCCCACCGTGAATGTCGCTTTACCCGAAGAGACCGTGGTAGTCTCAGTGACCTCATCGCCCATGAGGGTACAGTTGCCATTTCCAAAGTATTGTCCCGCAACAGTGGGGCTGTCCCCTTCGTCAACCCGTGATGTAGCGTACGAAGCAGTGAGTCGCTTGGCTGTCACAGTTGATGAAGTTAGGCCGCTCAGAACAAATGCTTGGGTTGATCGGGTTCCGCTAGTGTAGTACTCTGAGTTATAGAGAAGGACCCGAACAGGCGATCCTGATTTGTAAATGGCGTATGCTGCGAATGCTGTATCCCCGCTATCCAGTGGAGCAACTTGGTCTGCATTCGCAAGAGCCATTGTGGCGAAGTAGGCTCCAAAATACGGGGAGCCCATATCGTAGCGACCCCACCAGCAGTATTGACCTAAAAAGTATGAGTACCTATTCATATGGTGAGGGGGACAGAACTTACAGTTTCCGATCGTGCCGTGGTGGAAATAAAGCGACTAGGCCGGCGATATCAGTCAATTGTTCGGAAATCCACTATTCCATCGGCAGCATACCTTGGTACCCATGATGAGAGCTTGCATAACATAGTCCAAAATCCACAGACCGGCCCCAAAGGTCGGGCTTATTCCACCGCCGCCACCCGTCGCTATTTAAAGTAAGCCGGCAGTTCTTGAAGAAAGACATCATGGATAATTACCAGAGTTAGTTTCACCAAACACATGCTCCTTTCCCAAAGCTGTTGCAGCTGTAACTTCTGCCGCAAACTCCTCAATTTCAGACGCAATATCACTGTGACCCATGAGCGTCTCGAGGTCAGCAGTACTCGCAGACTGGGGGTAATTGTGTGAGCAATAATCTTTCACATAATCATTAGCATCCTCCTCAACCGCAGTAAGACCAACTATGCTCTCTGGAGATGTTCCAAAGTAAACACCGGCTGACGCAATATTCTCAATAGACAAGTTTCCGAATACTTCATCTTGCCACTTAACCTGAGACGCGTAGTCAGCTGCGGCAGTCCAAGAGGCACCATCCGCGATTGGGTCGGTAGAAGTGTAGACTAGGAAAGAAAAATTAGTTTTTCAATTTCTTAGGTGTTTCGAATGATTTGGCTGACAGGTGGGCTCATTGCCGAGTTCAATGGCGTAGAGGTTATCCATTTCTTCAACTGCGAGTTTTGCAGCTGCAATAGTATTGGAGATATCATCTAGACGGCGGTTGAGGCCTAAGGTCACATCTCCATCATAATCTGCAGCCAACGCGACAAACGGCGGTCCAAAGGTAAGAGAATCAGGTGCATCACCGGCAGCAGCTACGGTATAAGTGACGGCAGCAGACGATGAGGCATCGTACGTAGCTCGGTCCCTGTCGCTATTAATGGTCATGAGCATGTTTCTTCGTGATCAGAGTACTCACTGCGTAGTTCCACCTATACGGATGGGTGGCCAAACTCCGGTCAAGTCCTTGAAATTCTCCAGGCATTGCTGAGTCGAGGCGACATCGGTTACATACGCAGGGTATGCAAAGAATTCGAATCTGTGAGATAAGACACAATCTGCCAATTGACGTTGCTCTGCTGAAGACTTACGAGACGCCCACGGGGGCTTCGGTGAGCGTAGCACTCGCATTGGATGGCGGACTGGAGGGGATATTAAATGAAAGGCTCGCTGCCGACGAAAGGTTGTGCAAATAGAACAGCCCAATCAAATAAAGAAACATTTTGCCTGGAATTGATTCAAGATTTGAGAGTTATTTCCCTTTCTACACTGACTATAGTTGCGAGTACTGCTACCTAATTTATAAACATAAAATACCATATTGTGGGGAAATACATGTCCCTGACATATGGTCACATTCCATCGATTGCCGACAACCTGAAGTTTAGACCCCGACGCACTAGGTGGGGTATTCTTCAGTGATTGAATTTTTCCGATCGCCTCTCATATTTCAACTCGAATCCTCCAGTAGAAATCCAGAGCCTTGTGGGGTCAGATGATGGCTACAAAATGTCTTCATTCAAATCTATCTCTATTGATCCCGCTCCGGTGCACGGGTATACGGAGAATTTATGCTAAACTCCTACGCGGCTTGGCATATTCAGCCTGAACAAAGTGTCTGCAGGAGGCAACGCTAAAATGCCTCATGTGAGAAGGGGATCAGTTGGGGGGTCAGGTCGGGTGCCTCGGCAAATTCTCGATCATATGGCCACATTGGACGATGGATTCGAACATGACCGAGGCGAGGCAGGTCCTGATCAACGCCACCTGGGGTTAGGGCGAGCAGCCAATCAGAAGCCATATCAAACAACTCCGGCTCCAAATATCCAATCTTCACGAACACGATATCTACATGCCGTGGTGCAAGGTTGAGGCGAGTGAAATCATGTTCACGGTGGTAAGGCTTGCGTAACTTGGTTAAAATGACGAAGATACTTCCAACTTGAAGCACAGCCTCAACAGCGGCATCTTTGTCCCCATGTCTGATTGAATGAACACGTCCAGTCATAGTGATTGGGCCATCGTGGAGGTCATCGACTTCAGCGCCGGCTGTCACGGTAACCACAGCGCCTATCCCCGCTTTAAGAATTGTTTCAATTGCTTGCGGCCCTGGGAGGCTAGCATAGATAGCAGTTGGGCCAGACGAGGTTTTGAATTCAGGACGACCTAGAATTCGATTAAGACTCCAAGTTACGTCCCCAGCACCCCCAGCAGTGGGGTTGTCACCGGAGTCTGAAATGAAAAACGGTCGACTGCTAGACACCAGAGCGGCATCGATGCACTCCATGAGTGAACCTGTAGGGGCAACAAATTTGAAGTCCTTGCGTGCGTCCCAGAAATAATTTGCAAGTTTCTTCGCGCCTTCAGTGACACTATCTGCATTCCAGCCTGTAACAACCACAACGGCGTGATTACGAGGCTCATCGGCCCAGGCATAACCGACCCAAATTGCCGCATCCAGGATTCCATCTGTGGCTTCAACGCCTGAGACCAATTCGTAGAGCGACTTCGCAGGCTCTATGCGAGTGGAGGTTTGTTCCCCAGGTAGAAGAATTGGGATCGGAACCCAAGCTTTCAAAGGTCTACCCGGTCGTCCAGCTGGAGATTTCAACATGTCGACAAGATTCTTGCAAGCTCTTTCCTTGGTTTCTTGTTCGTCCTCGTGGGGTGCCATCCGATAGCAAGTAATGAGGTCAGTCTGGTGCACCAGTCGCTGGGAAACGTTTCCATGCAGATCCATCGACGCTGATACGATCACATCTGGGCCAATTATTTTTCTGATTCGCTGAAGAAGTTCGGCCTCTGCATCATCCATTCCTTCAACACACATCGCCCCGTGAATATCGAACCAAAGCCCATCGATGCTGGTAGTGTTCTTGATTTCATTCATCCGTGTGATAATTTCACTGGCAAGTTCCTCGAAGGATTCCCGGTCCACAATTCCACCGGGGAGAGCATGGCCGATAAGCGCTCCGTGCCAATTCGCAGAGTTCCCAAGCGGAGTACCAGGGTGAAGAAAGGCGTACTCATCGATCACCTCTTTGCCGCGCCGTGGATGGAATGCCGGCGCGAGTGTACGCGCAGGAGAAAAGGTGGATGTTTCGCATGCCAGTCCTGCGATCGCAATGTTGGGACGACCCAACATGGTGAGTCTCGGGTAGGTAGTTTGACTCGGTTGATACGAGCAAGATTGCGGGGTTGCGGGAGGTTCAACTTATTACCCCAATGCGATATGCAAATGGCCACGTGAGCGTTGAAAATGCAATCTTTCAACGTTGCACTGCCGATATCTGAATTTGGAGTGTTCAGTCCATGCAACGTCGCGTCGTGCCGCTCTCCGAGGCATTGACCCCGCTTTGTTGATATGCACTTCTGTTCTGATCCAAACAACCACAAAATACAGCTTTCTTCATTCCTTTTCCTTCGAACAGTTTGGAAGCTTAGTCCTGTGCGTCGCATTTTCTGTGTTAATAGTCCCGATGTTGTAATTCGCATTGTGTAAGGAAGGAGCAAAACCGGCAAGGGGTTCAAGAGTTGACGCCAAAAGCTTGGGAATGCTTGACAGCAGATAGGCAAACCTTACCCCCATAGCCTCGTATCTTTAATGTCACTGCCCCTACAGCGATCGGCTAATTCCCAATGAAACGTTCCTATCGCTTTGTTCTGTGATAAGGGAGATGCGGAGTTACCTACAAGACCTCGGGACTTTCCACAAAGTATATATCCCAGTTTCACCCACAACTGCCGACCTCGATCTGCCTCCTTGACAAGTAGCTCGTAGATTAATCTGTGCAAGCACCCTCAAGCCTACATCATACATGATCCAATGTTGAAAAAGACAGCAACCGGCACTTGGCTTCCCGCGTGGGTTCCAGAGACTACTTCAACTATCTCCATCCTGTTGCTTGTTTCCTCAGTCGTGCAATCTACAGTAAGCTCTCACCACCAGATCTACAAAGACTATACACTAAAGCTCTCCAGACGGGAGGCTATGACGGTTCCATGCTGAATGGTCTCAATATCCTACCATCCTACACCGGATATTTCAACTTGAACGATGGCACCACTGGATTAAATACTGCGTCCGTTTTCATTGGCGGATTCATTGGTCCACTGGTATCAGGTGTCATGGCAGACAGATTGGGCCGTCGCCCCGCGATTTTCTGGGGATCAGCTTTGACCATTGTTGGGGTTATTCTGCAGACGGCCGCGCAGAACATTGCCATGTTCGTGGTAGCCCGTATCATCCTTGGGTTTGGTTCTGCTATCTCTGGCATTGCTGGAGGTGTGTATTTTGCGGAAACATTCCCCAGTCGATGGCGCGCGTGGGGCGCTGGACTATTGAACGATTTCTTTTAGTATGTTGTCCACTCTCGTAGGCAACGACATGATTCTCACCGTTATAGCGTTGGAGCACTAATCGCAGCTGGAATAACTCTCGGCACTGGCCAGTGGCAGTCAACATGGGCATGGAGGGCCCCTTCGCTCTTCCAGGCTATCTTTTCCCTCCTTTGCATTCTTACCCTACCATTCATGTGAGTTCAAACAAGGTGGTCCTGTTCCTGGCTCTTCCCTTAGTTCTAGTCCCTTAGTTCTAGAAAGCCTTTCCAGGTCTCTGTTTTGGTGAATTTCACTGGGCTAACGCGCTACTTCAGTCCTGAATCCCCTCGGTGGCTCGTTCGTCAGGGACTTTATGCGGAAGCTAGAGTGTCCGTGGCGCAGACAAACGCAAATGGAAGTTTGTCTGATCCGGTCGTTATCGCGATATTCAAAGAGATTGTTGATACCTTGAAGTGGGAAAAGGAAAACGTGCATGACATGACCGCTATCGAGATCTTCCGATCTCCTTCGGCCAGAAAGCGACTGCTTATTGGGATGTCTCCAGGCCCATTCTCATGTATTGCTGGAAACATCATCGCGTCATACTATTTCGGGTCTGAACTTGACACGGCTGGTATTACGAACACGAACGATCAGCTCAAGGCAGTAAGTCCTCCGACTTTACATTTTACAGCAGCTCAAACCGCTTACTTGTCAGAATGTCGTACTGAATGTTTGGTGTCTCGCATGCTGCCTTATTGGTACTCATCTGACAGCTAGATGGGGGCGGAAGCCCACAGCGATGCTCTCCCAGATACTGCTGAGCGCATGCCTGTTCATCATTGGCGGGCTATCGAAAACATATGCATCTAACCCACACGGCGCATCAAGCTCACTTGTATATGGCAATGTCGCGGTAATGTTCCTCTTTCAAGGTTTTTACTCTATCGCGTGGACCCCGCTTCTTTATCTCTACCCACCTGAGATCATGAATTACTCTATGCGCGCGAACGGAATGGCGTTCTCATCATTTGTTCTAAACGCATTCGCGTAAGTTACACCTCGAAGGTTAAACTGAGTTTGTCAATGCTAACAATAAATCAGCCTTGTCTTCACCTTCATAATGCCTATTGGTCTGGGCAACATCGGTTGGAAGATGTACATGATCAACGCCTCGTGGGACCTGGTTATTCTTGGTCTTATTGTACGTATCTTATGCATGTGCGATCCAATCAATGCTAATGATGTTAGGCATATTATTGGGTCGAAACAAAGGGGAAGACTCTGGAGGAGATTGACGAGCTCTTTGAAGGAGAGAAACACTCCTCGGTGCCGGATATCGAGAAGATCCGACGCGGCCAGAAAGAGATTGACACAGATGTAGTTGAAGAACAACTGACTGCGGAGCTAGGCCCTGTATCGACGAAGCATTAAATTGGATCTTAATGCTTCGAGAATTGAGAGTGGAAGTAGAGCAATGCTTACGAGTAGTGCCAGCGGCTCGCAACCTACTAATTCAAGTTTCGTAACTTTAATCTTTTCCCGATCAGTATCCTATGCCATGAAGTTTGAACTATATAAATAAATGCATCTAGGTTCCTTTTCTACCATTTATTCAACGCTTTCCAAGGGGGGTTTCTTACTTAATGGAAGTGTAGTGAGAGCGCCTAACTTAATTAAGCTCCAGGGGATGATTAAGCTTCGGGGGCTACCTATTCACTTGGCGAGTGCAGCTCTGTTTATCCTTCCACTTCTCCCTTCGTTCAAGAGAGAAACCCCTGCTTTCAATGCAGTTGGATCATATTTAATCATGGATAATAGCCAAGGGTTAACAAGGCCCTTGTTGGAGATTGCCTGCTTCAACGGCGAGTCGGGAATCCGTGCAGCAGAAGGGGGTGCTGATCGAATTGAGTAAGCCGCCCCGCACCATCCTTGCAGTTGCACCTCTCACGTGTGACGCCTTCAACTCAAGGCTTGACTTGAAACTCGGCAACCCTTTTCAAAATGACTCGTACTTTAAGTCTCGAACTGATTGAAATTATAGATTATGCTACGATTACACGTCTGGGGGTCTTTCCCCTGATCCGGCGGTACTGACTCTATTGAAATCCCAAGTTTCGATTCCAGTCTTTGTCATGATTCGTCCACGCGCCAACGACTTCTTTTACAACGATGACGAATTTGGAGTCATGAAATCTACATTGATCACGTTACGAGAGTCAGGTGCGGATGGATTTGTTTTTGGCATTCTCAATCCAGTTCCGTTGGATAACCCTGCATGTCCATGGATCGATGTCAGCAGAAATAAGCAACTGGTTCAACTCGCAGGTGATAAGCCGTGCACTTTTCATCGCGCTTTTGATTGCATCCCCGAGCAATATTGGGGAACCGCGCTTGGGGAGCTAGCAGAATGCGGCTTTGCTTCAATCCTTACAAGCGGGGGTCCGTCGGGAGATACGGCCATCGAGTGCATTGACAAGCTCGCTGAGTTATTCCAACAGGCGGACTTGACCCAATCCCAATTGTTGTCTAGCCTTCGAGTGCCTGAGATTATCGTGGGCGGTGGTGTGAGATCGTCTAATATTCGATTACTGTGGGAGAGGACCCACGGACGAGCGTTTCATTCCAGTGCATTGGTTAATAGCAGCGATATTGTTGCGACTTCCGAGGTCACAACACTGAAAAATTCGCTAATTGGGTGATCGACCTGCAGTGTATTAATCTCCTCATTTGCCGAAAGATTCCACTTTTTCCAAGTAATGTAGTCTCTCATTCCTTAGCAAGTGGTGTATAATGTCTAGGCCGATCTCGTCCGTTGGCGACCTCGAATTACCTAACGAAAATTCATATTGCGGAGTATGTGGAGACGTGATAAGGTCAATGTTTACCTGTGCCGGTCAACACATCATAAATGCGGGGTTTAGGTTCACATGGAACACTTGTGACGGTCGGAGAATGAGAATAAATGCTCATTGTAAAATAAAAAAAAAGGATGCTCGGTTCGTCTCCGCGGGTCGAAGCTGTAGACTAGAAATCTTGCATCGTGGACATATAAATTGGTGGTTATTGCCACTGGCTATCAGAAGCTGTGGAATCCGGAAAATCCATCTGCATTGCATGAAAAGGTGAATAATTGGTTTTTCTACCCACTCAACATGGGCCAGTTCAAATATTGGCTAGGGACGTTGCAAGCTCCCACCGAGCCTGGACTGACAACTGCCGAATTGATGTTGACCAACGATGACCTTCGACCAGGTGAGACTCACTGAACAAAGCATTCTTCTTTGCAGGATCCTTGACAAAGATCCAATACGCATTCTTTAATCGTCCATATTACATTCCTCTACTAATGCGGGCTCTAACCCTCATGAACAGTCGAACCAGAGCGCCGTCAATGGAAATGGCTCAATTTCGTTGCTTTTTGGATCGCAGACTCTTTGAACGTGGTTGGTAGCCCATTTTGCTTTCCCAAGGGTCATGATTGTTTTTCTCATTTACTGGCCAAGTTGGGGACCGAAGCGCTCACACATCACCATCTTTTTACCAGAACACATGGATGATTTCATCTTCAATGATAGTTGATGGACTGTCCTGGTGGCAGTCTTGGCTATGCGTGTGGATTGGCTACAGTCTTGCCGCGATATTCGTTTGTCTGCTGGGTCGTATTGCCACAATTTATCGAATCCCCTTTGCTGTCACAAACCGAGCCTCATTTGGAATATGGGGCTCTTTCTGGCCTATTCTCAACCGAGCAGGTATGGCTGTGATATGGTATGGAGTACAAGTAAGTCTTGGATTAATCGGTCTGGACCTTGATAACACGGAAAAGGCTGACTTTGATAGACATATCTTGGAGGTGAGTCTTTGCAGGAAAGATATTTCCAACAATGATGATCAATACTGAGTTTCCGTATCTAAAGGCGAATGCGTGACATTGATGATCCAAGCTATCTGGCCAAGTTACGCATATCTCCCCAACACTATGCCCGCCAATGCGGGGGTGACGACGAAGCAGTTCGTCAGCTTCTTCCTGTTCTGGCTGGGATCTCTTCCTGCACTGTGGTTCCCAATCTACAAGATTCGGCATCTGTTCACGGTGAAGGCGTACTTTTCACCAGCATGTGCCATCGCCTTTTTTGGTTGGGCGATTGCTCGCGCCCACGGACTTGGCCCCATCATGACTCAGTCTAATACCGCCCATGGCAGTGCACTTGCCTGGGTATTTGTCAAGAGTATTATGAATTGTATCGCCAATTTTGCTGCCTTGGTGATCAATAATCCTGACTTTGCGCGATATGCAAGCAAGCCAAAGGATGCCCTGTGGCCTCAATTAATCACTATTCCAGTAGGATTTGCAGTCACTTCCTTTATTGGAATTGTTGTATCCTCCTCTGCAACCGTCATCTTCAACCAATCTGTCTGGAACCCTTTGACTCTCTTAGGAATGTTTTTAGAAGATGCCAGCTCGGCAGAGAGATTCGGGATCTTCGTCATCGCCAGTGGCTTTGCTTTGGCGCAGCTTGGTACGAACATTGCTGCCAACTCGGTATCTGCAGGCACTAACTTGACTGCTTTGCTGCCACGATTCTGTACAATCAGACGAGGAGGTTATATTTGTGCAGCCATTGGGCTTGCTATGTGCCCCGTAAGTCATCTTCAATCCCTAACTCGATTTTATCGAAGCTGACACCAAAAATAGTGGACACTGGTTGCGTCGTCTAACAAGTTTACTCTCTACCTCTCCGCGTACTCCGTTTTTCTATCAGCAATTGCCGGTGTCATGGCCAGCGACTACTACTTAGTACGCAAGGGCTATCTCGACATCGAAGATTTATACAGTGCGCGCAAGGATGGCGCCTATTACGGAATTTACGGAGTCTCATGGCATGGGTATGCAGCCTACTTTTGCGGCATTCTGATCAACATTGTTGGTTTTGCAGGTGCCGTAGGGGTCAATGTGCCGCAGGGGGCGGTATACATTTACAACATCAACTACTTTTCTGGGTTCATTGTATCGGGAGCAGTTTATTGGCTTCTCGCCAAACTAGTCCCTCTTCCTGCAACGAGTGAGAAGTGGAATGAAGTCCCTTACGAGATGCGTCTGGATGTCGATGACGAGAAGAAAGTGGAGGAAGCCTGAGTGGGGGGTATGGGGCGTGGAAAGTGGAAAGTGGATCGATAGGGGTCAACCTCGGAGCATTCCAGCCGACATCGGCCATTGAGGAAGAGTACATATTGCAATCGAGTAACAAGAGGGATATCATGTATCCTTCAGTCAATTGAAGAAGATCATTCCCCAATGAAAGCTCTCGCCCGCGTGACGGGTTCTTGAGCTCTGCCCACGGTAATTCGCAGTAATTGTCCCTCGGGTCGGCTCAATCCTTCAATTGCCTCATTTTGACTAGCATCATGTATTAGCGACAGGATGAACACTCCGCAATGCATGACAAGCTTAGTCTACAGCCTCTTCCGTCATGCGATCGCACGTGCAGAGTCAAATTTAGCCATACGGCTATTTACTTCCCGCGGAAAACATATTTATCTAGTAAGCCCGCATCCCCGGATCGACCCCAAGCTTGTCCTTATATTTTGATCGAGTAATCGATTCAAATATGACCCCAATTTCCCTTATCGAGGTTGCTCTCACAAATTCACATCGAGTAATTGATAGAAAATCGAATCCTCTTTGCCAAGAACTGTTGCATTTTGAGTTTTCATCGAGTAATCCCAACGCTCTCTTATCGTGTTTTCTCGGTCGAGTCCACAGCAAGAATGCTTCTGACGAATGACGCTTCGTTCTAGACAGTAGCATCATCATGGCCTCGTTGGTCTATGATTTGCTGTTTGAACCGATGCCGCCCTGACCATCAAACAATCCCCGAGCAGGTCCACTTTTGGGCTCTTAAAATCTCTTGTATTGGCGGGATAATGCAGTGTAAGAATATATGCGAAAGGATAGAACTTCCAAGCTAAAGCATCACCATCATCTTTCTCTGTTTGGATCCAATATATTATCGGGACTCGTTTGTTGATTTGTTCGACATGCCTGAGGCCATACATCCCTTGGGAGCGCCAGAATCGGTCTCAGCGTCAGGCCAATACCAAGACGGGCATCCTCACCAGCCGAAAGACAAAGATCTTCAAGGAATCAAAATAATCACTGCTTTCTCTCCGCCAGCAGACTCAACGAAAGAACACTTGGTCCCAGCCTCATTCCGCAATGTCTCGGCTTGTTACCGCTGTCGGTTGCGAAAACACAGATGTGACCCATCACTTCCACGATGCCAACCTTGTGAAAGGGCCCGAGTGAAGTGCGTCGGGTATGACCCAACAACGAAACAAGAGATTCCTCGAAGCTACGTTCACTTTCTGGAAACCCGACTCAATTATCTCGATACGCTGCTACAACATCACAATATTCAAGTCAAACCAGTCTCCGCCTTCGATGAGTTTGACTCAAATAGCGAAAGCACTGCACGTGAACACATTTCGCCCAGCAATTTGTGCGAGCAGCGAAGCCAGAATGACACGCAATGTTATCAGCGTTCCGAAGAAGCACGTATCCCAAAGGATGAAATATCCTCCTCCTCGGTGTTAAGAAACTTCCCAGCCTTCCGTAGCGATTCAAAATGTGAAGGCTCTTCTACAAACATAATCATGAATCTGCTCTCTGGAAGTTCGATGAGACGCAAAATTTTGAAAGGCGGCAGGAACGGTGAAAACGGAATCAGAAGCTCAATCCATTCTTCATTTCTTGGTTTATTTGCTGGCAAGTCGAATCAGGGACGCACAGAGCTCCCCCTTCGAAAAGAAGCAAATATACTGGTGAACCAATATTTCGAGTTTGTGAATATTTTCACACCAGCCCTGCACCGTGATGATGTTGACAAAATAATTGATCATGTCTACTCGAATCAGGGGGATGAGAAAAAACCTCGAGATATGTACGTTCTTCATATTGTTCTTGCTATTGGTGCTGCCATCAAGCGCGAGCCTACACAGCAGAAAGCTTTGTCACATGAGACAAAGCAGTGGCAAAAAACATCAACAGGGAAAAGGCGAAAGGTATCGAGTACTTCTCAAATATCAGAAGCTCATGAAGCTTCAGCTATGATATACCTAGAATCATATTTGGCACTACCGCCATCTTTAGGCCTAACAAATTCTCTCGAAGAGCTACAAGCCCTAGTTCTTCTATGTAGTCTTGCTCTACTAAGACCAACGGCACCCTCTCTTGCTAACCTGGTCAACACGGCCATGCGTTCGGCTACAGATTTACGTCTTTACTCTGATTGCAGCATCAGCACCACACTTCGGACCGAGTTCCCCAGCTGTGATCTCACCAGGAGGAAGGCCATCACTCGGGTTCAAGATTTGTGCCGTCGTCTGTGGTGGTGTGCATACAGTCTAGACCGTCTTATCGCTCCGTGTTTGGGTCGACCGTTATTCATTCCTGATGAAGTCGTAACCACTACACTTCCAAATATTGATGATGATAGCTCCCTCGCCAGACTCGGATTCATCAGGCCCTCAAGGAGCTCGGCTACCTCTAATTACGTGACTAACCATCATCTGAGGCTGCGGCGTCTGCAATCTGAGATTCACTGCAAGCTTCAGTATCAACATGCTCTACGTGATAGTCCCAACCGATCTGTGGATTCGCCCCGAAATTCAGCCACTCTCACTTCACACTTCACCACTTTCATATCATGGCGAAGAGACATGACCGACAGAATGGACGAATGGAAATGGTCTATCCCTTATTCCTCTGTGAGCGGTCGCTCCGCCTGTGATCTTCTATTGGAGCTTGGTTACTGGCAAACCATCATTACGCTTTATCGCCAAAACATAGCGATTCCTAGTCAGTTGGTTGGAATGTCATCTACCCATGAGTCCAGAAGTAAGCAGATGCAGATGATGGATCAAACCTCCGAAGAAGTCGAAGTTGTGCATTCAAGAATGGACGAAGCGTGTCAGAACGTTATTCGAATATACCGTACACTGCAATCTATGGACTTGATCAACGTTGCATACTTTGCGGAGGACCGAATATTCATTACAGGTAAGTTAGGAAACCAATCTTATATATACAGTTCTCTAATTCTAAAAAGGATGTCTTTTCTTGTTCATCATCTGGAATTCAGAGCAGGTTCGTCGCAGTTTGGTATGTGTGTCCCATTTGCCCTGCATTATCAGTCTTGTTTACGAAAGTGTTAACTCTAACTTGTGACTCTTTTGTCATCAGTCATTCCAAAGCCTTGACAGCATAGTCCTAACGGTCACCGCTGTTCTAGAACAAATGTCAAATCAGTCTCCCACTGCGAGGATATCTCGGTCTGTCTTCCAGCAAATGAGTGTTACGACCATCCAATACTTTTTATCTACCAAGGACACAGACTATGATTCCATGCCTCTCTCAAATGAGCATCCCGAAATTTTGACGCCAAAAAATACATCTCAAGACACACCATCATCATTCACTTCTGACTCAATTGACTATTGGAAGCCTCAATGCTCATCCTTGAATTTTCTCGAACAAATCACCCTATCCCTGGATGCCAAAGTGAGGTTCGAGAACGAAAAATCCCACAATTTGATTGTAGAATCCATTCAATTACCATACAGCTTTGATAGCCCTCATCTGCTGTCACAAACTGCGACGGGAATGCAAGATACGGAAGGCTTCTCCAAATTGCCCTTTGGCTCAAGTGTTTCAAAGAGAAACTCTCAGTCAACAGATAATGACTTGAACTCTTTATACGGTACCTCATTTGGCTTCATATTGCAAGACCAACAGTCTTCAAGTTCCGACATGTCAATTCCTCGAATTGATGATGACTTATTGGGGGACTTTCTTGTTGGATGGGCTGATTCTGGGTCACCACAGGATTGAGGACTAGTTTCCAGACTTTGATAGGAGTATTTGCACGGGTACTTCAAGTCATCAGGCTCTGCATGTATGGAAGGTTTTCTTTGACTTGGTAGTCAGTATGCATACAATTTTACAGGTGAATGATATTAAGTCAATTTTGCAAAGCTTAAACTGAAATCTAAGCGATTGATGTTCGCCTACTGAAGATGTCTTTGATGTCGAGGTTGAGACGGTGCTGGACCAAGCCCCCACAGTAAGCTTTTTCCCTAATCGCCCCAGACACCACTCTCTAATGAATCCGGCAGATCGAATTCAATAAAAGGTATCACATTATCACATCTAAAACCGTAAAAGAAGGCTGTGGCTTCGAGCTTTCCCAATTCTCGTGAAGGCGGAACGGTTACTATGCTCGCTGCTGGGCCCAAGTCTCAGGCAACCTTTCCGAATTCCGGGATAAAGCGAGAGAGGGCCAGATGCGGAATGGCGATAACTGTAGCCTGGTGGCCTAGGGGCCTGACGGGAGGTAGAAGGGTACCATTGCCTATGCGTTGCAGGGCGATGCCACTTCCATCGGCGCAATGCCTGACAGTGTCGAGAACGAGAAGTTCTTACGCTTCACAAAATTGTCCATTGTTGACCAAAGAAATGTGCCTACATAGACTTACTATCTTACAGACCACCTCGTTAGTTCTATTAGATAGAATGTTTGAAGCAATGACAACCATAGGTGGCAGGAAAAATCATTCTGATCATTGTCAGTTGCTACTATTTAAATAGAAGAGACTTACAACGCTCATTGCACTTGTTAAACATTTCTCCTTCAATTATTCACAAGACGCAGCCAGTACCTTTCAATGTATATTGTGAGCTATATTGTCATGCTGAGAATTCCCTAGCTAGTCAGCTTATTTTGAATATCAAATTCGAATACAGAATGGCTCGGACACCTCAGTGACATAGCTTAGTTTTTTTCAATTGCAGCCTCCAGCTACATGACTTGTGTTATGCTTTAATCCCCAGCTTGGCGTATTTAGGCACTCAGTGAGGGCTCATTGGGCCTCATTGATTGGCCACGTGATGAAACTAAGCACACTGCGTAGCTCACTGAGTATGGGCGCCTTCGTAACGGCGGCAGCACCTAGCATAGGGGATTGATCTTTAGCCAAACTAAAAGTTTATGCAAACTTAAGACTTGGAGCGTTCTGAGACAGGCATAAGGGTATAAACGCTAAATTTATAGCATTTCTGACTTGTAAAAAACCGAGGCCCCGATTATTGGAAGACAGAAAACGGTTAGAAGATTTGATTTACAGCTAGCGTGACTTCATGGGAGAGGTTTAATTAGTAACTTTCATTACCCACGCTTCCAAGACAAACAAAGGCTTGTCTTCACGGGGTGGTATAAGCTGCAAATGAAACAGAAGAAAAACAGAACTGTACCTATTGAAGCCTAGTATAGGTAGACGTTTCGCTGCAGAATTCCACCTACTACAGCAAACCCCTGCTTAATTTGTCGATATATGAACTGTTAAATACATTCTGAATAAGCGCGGATCACTCTCTTACCCAAGCCTTATCATAATATTCTAAGCCTTGTAGTCTAGAATTTATCTGAGGCGGCCTAAAGAAGTGGAAATTGAACTGTAACCTTCTATCTTCCGTCCTGGTGATCCCACATACTGCCCCTGTAGCGTCCATGCGAGATACCTGACCAATCACTCCACTGGACCGTCATTTCCGGCTTATCATGCGTAGATATCTTGGAGCCTGTGCACGCCTGTCTACGGGAGTAACCTCATGCATTAGGCAATCAAGACTCCCATGTAATCCCCGCTCACCAGTGACTGACGAACTCCAGGTCTCCCAATTTCGTTCTAATCTGTCATAAACATATTCTTCCTCTCCTTATTCAAATGCTTTCATCATCATAAGCAACATTAACACAGACAGCTAACTTTTCGGGAGCTTCTCTGTCAACTTCCTATCCGCGTACCCCTTCGCTGGACTTGGATATCTCTGTTTCTGAACACCATAACAATATCTGCTTCTCTTTCCGGTAACCATACATATTGCTTCAGATCAACTTTGAATGAGCTTAGCTGACGCCGGCTTCCTTCTAACCCCGCTCATTTCACTTTCTGAGGGGCATTTTCATGAGACGGTTTTTCTTACTCACATACTCGTTATACTGCGACCGACGCTTCCCAACCAATGGGGCTGACACGCTGTGTCCTCACCAAGACAACATTTCTTTCTGTTCGAGTTATTTAACGTTGCGACCTTTCTTTTACAAGATGGCTTGTCGTATATATGACGGATGGAGTGACTATGTGGCACGAAATCTTTTGGAACAACACCTACCGGCCTACCGCTTCTCTGCACAAGTAAGCAACTGCATCTTCAAACCCTCTCAGCAGGAATCATCAGTCATTCGTCCCTTGAAACAAGAATGCATACGCGCCCATCGATGAGAATTCACAAGATATTGTCTTCAATAAACCTTTTTCCCACATCAGACTCGTTTCCACTTCGTTGAACAGTCAAAAATGACACTATTCTTATGGGCAGTGGCACATGGCAATATTCAATGACCTTCCTCGCTGGATCAAAGTCCCTTACGTGAATAAAGGACCATGTGAAGGCTTCTGACAAAGACAAAACCTCGCAGAATAGTCTACTTTGAAACAAAATGGCGTCTCGTTGGGATCCAACCCTTACTGTCCAGCCTTTTACTCTCGGTTCATTTCCTAATCCCATTCTTTACAGTACGAATCGAAGTATCGAGCTTTATTGGCCTTCAGGATGCCGAGAGCGACAAGCGTCCCTCCAACGCTTCTGCAATACCATTTCTTCGGTGGTCGCCTCGGGAGATAATGAACATCGAAAACGTCTCACGCATGTATGAAGTGTTTGAATACAGTCTCAACAAACCCATCATGGTCTACTGTGGGAGCGAAGCACTCGACTCACAGCTGGTATGATATTGAAGAGAGGGTTTGGATGTCACACCTTGGACACAGTCCTGGAGCTAGGCTATAGGATTAACTCTCTAGGGCTTGGTGCTCTTGTTTTTTGATGAGGCCTTCCAAGGGCATTGTCAGGTTCAACTAGCAATGCTCTCGAATGGATACTCAACACGTCCTGGATTCCGCAATGGACCGATTCTTATCTGAGCAGATACCATCATTTCGCCCATTTGGCATGGAAGGCGAAGACTTCCTTGGAATTCACTGCACAAAAAACAAGTCTACTTACTTGATAGTTCATTTATCTTTTCACCCAGAGGCCCATTGTGAGTGTACATCATAACTGCAACGGCATTTAGATCCGAGCAGCGCGTGGCGCCAGATATGCACGTTATGCCAAGTGCCAAGAGAAGCAAGGAAGCAACAAGCAATTTATTGCTTGAATACGTGGGCTCATAGATCATTGCGGTCGGACTCTCTTCCTTGCCCCAACTCCAACGTCCTTTTGATCCTTCATCCTTCCGCTCGGCACCCCTCATTTTTGTTAATCTCCCAAGTTCTCTCCGAGGGGCTATTCACAGGCTTTCATTGGATTGCTTCCCAACCTTGTGACACGGACCTTTCTTGGTATGAGATGGGCCATACGGTAGCAGCCGGGAATTGGGTTGGGTGATTCACGCGCCCCACTCGTCCCCGCTCGAAAAGGGGAAGGATTCGCGGCATTTGATAGAGCCACCTCATCAGACTCACTGCTGACCATTAGCACTCGGATCTAGTCTTCAAAGAAAGTTAGCGTGCCCGGCCGCCTTGCTGATGACTCGCCTCCCCTCTATTTCGGTTCGATAGGGCGCTATCCTCTACTATCTCTCGTCGGGCTCTCCGCCCAAGGGGCCGCATTCCAGGCATGGATCAGCGGGCGGACCTTCCTCGCTTGCGGGTACCTGGATCTCCCTGCGATTTTCAAGATCAACAGCAAGATCAACAGTTAGAGAGAAAGTTGTCGCAGATCGGCCGTTATCTCAACATTTTACAGGTGGGAAAGGATTTCTCCTCTGTCCCCGCCAATTTTGCTTGACGAAAGCTTGGCTTGTTCATCATCCGGCGTTAGCTTGTGCGCCACAGTAGCATCGCAACAGCATTGCTTATCGGGAATCACTTCAATCCTTCTAAATGAAATGGTCGATCATTTCCTTGTTTGCCTTTGTTCATCTGAACAAGGTCATTCTCCGTATACGGTCCCATGCCTAGCTTTCTGGACCCGAATACTAAAATTCGAGAAAACATGCCTTATCGCGACACCTGTTCCCGTCGGAAATCCGTGTGTCTGCAGGACTGGTGCCAGTACCGGATGATGGTGGAGGCGCACATAGAGGGGCAAGTGGCTGATTTCGAGCCCTGTTGACGAATGTGGGGATCGATATCTTCAGAGTCTTATGCCGGCTGGCCGTCTCCAACCCGCGAAGCCACCCGTTGCAGGTATGTTTGCTTTGCAATATACCCTGCATGCGCTAAGGTGATATTGTCTGGTGCGCTCGACCAATCGTATGTCAGCTGTTCCTGTTTTTGATAGGAAAGCACGTTATCATATTGTCCATGCGATTTCAGACCACACCCTCTTTTGCCCCCTTTTGTCCATTTGATCAAGGAAAATGGGATTAAGCGTCCGCCAAGAAACTTTCCGTTGCTCATATGGCACCCTAAATGGACATGTTTAAGGGGCGATAACAAGTTGTTATCGAACGGCCATAGACACAAAAGCTAGCGCGATCTTCATCACTACCTCATGAGAGCCGTGCGCAATTCTTCATCAATCTCTGCAGAAATGACCATAGCATTTCGCGCGAACTAGTTCGACAATTCCATCGGTCTCCGACGGCGCCAGATATTGGCCGGCCAGAGGTGATTCTGCTGTCCGGGTCAGCCTATGGCCATCCGGTATCGACGATAATGTTGCATCGAGACGAAGTCTCATGGCGCGGAGGTATGGATTGGATCCTTTCGGAACTCCTCATTCCGCCATCATCATCATCTGTCACGAAACTAAAGATAGATAATGGGAAGTTATATAAACCCAGTGCTCGCTGCTTCGTTTTGCTTCTTCATCACACAGCTTCCTCATCCTCTACTCCACTATCCAAAGATTAGTCCGAGTCCAGTTTTCTTCAAGAACAGCCAGCCTTCAAAATGAAGTTCTCTACTGCAATCCTTGGTAGCGCCCTTGTCGCCAGCGCTCTTGCTGCTCCTTTGACCGAGAAGCGTGCCGCTCGCCGTGCCGCTCGCTCCGCCGCTAAGCGCCAGAGCAACCCTCCCTTCAAGCCCGGCACCACCGAGGCCATCGATCTCTCGAACACCTCCGAGGTCGAGTACAGCTCCAACTGGGCTGGTGCCGTCCTCATCGGTACTGGCTACACTGCCGTCACTGCTGAGTTCACCGTTCCCACTCCCAGTGTTCCCAGCGGTGGCTCCAGCCGTGAGCAGTACTGTGCCTCCGCCTGGGTCGGCATTGACGGTGACACCTGCGACACTGCTATCCTGCAGACCGGTGTCGACTTCTGTATCGAGGGTAGCACCACTTCTTTTGATGCCTGGTACGAGTGGTACCCCGACTATGCCTACGACTTTGACCTCACTGTCGCTGCTGGTGATGTGATCAAGATCACCGTTGACGCCACCTCCAAGACCGCCGGTACCGCCACCGTTGACAACGTTACCACTGGCAAGTCTGTTACCCACACCTTCACCGGTGGTGTTGACGGTGACCTGTGCGAGTACAATGCCGAGTGGATTGTCGAGGACTTCGAGGAGGATGACTCTCTTGTTCCCTTCGCCGACTTTGGCACTGTCACCTTCTCCAGCGCCTCTGCCACCGATGGCAGCTCCTCCGTTGGTCCCGAGGATGCCACCATCATTGACATTGAGAGCGGTAACTCTGTCCTCACTTCCGTCTCCGTCACCGACAGCACTGTCGTTGTCAAGTACGTTTAAGTGGACCATCAGGACCATATCAGTAGTCATTTCTTGAAATGACTCCTAATTGGATAGCTGGATATAGCTTATTAAAGCTGAATTGTGGTGAGATTGAAATGAGTTGATGTGTTGGGAGCTGTCAAAAGTGCATTCTTTGGAACCTGTTGAGCATGCATTGAGCCTTTTAGTATATTTTCATTGTCTATTTTGACAATCGCATGTATGCCTCATGAACTTTGGTCAAGAAATGTCATTTACATTGTGCTTTGAAACTCTTCGCACCCGTCGTATTCACGTAGACGATACCCTGGCCTGATCAATCTTCTGATGGCGTTCATAAGTAATTCGTACGTAAGATGGCAATTTAGTTTGAATAATTATTTCCTCGTCCCGGGTACTGCCTTGCTCGACCTCCTTGGCTTTGAGGTTATAAAATTAGTTAATAATGATAGTCAGCTCAGTCTCCGAAGAGTGACTAGTCTTACCCTATTATTTGGCCTTCCAACTGTTCCAGCCATGCATAAGGCTATCTCTACACCGCCTCATTAAACCAATATTGCAACATGGGAGCAGCACTTTGACCCTCAAGACCCCTGCTTCGGGGGGTACAATACTTTCTTCGGCCCGATAGAGGGTCCGGTGTCCGTCCGCTTGTGTTTCTGCAGGTACATAGTCCGTCGATTAAATGCCAGCGCTTTCCCCTCCCATCAAGATATATAAAAATCATGCTTTGATCGTGAGTCTCCTTGCGCTCGGCCTTCTTCTTCTCCTACTCCACATTTATGTGGAGCCACAATTGGGGGCCCACAACTTAAAACTTTGACTGTCGCCATTCTGCGACTTCATAGATAATCAAGCTTCAGGGGAATAATACCCTGGTTACATACAAGCTATCGCTTGAGATTATGTTTCCTAAAATATCTTGGGTTCAAATTATATGTAGCTTGATGTTTACATGGTATATAGCTCTGATAATGGCTCAAGTACCTATGTAAGCTAGTCATTGAAACGATTTATCCTCCTTATTTTTGGCCTTATTTGCCACAGTATTCCCGTTCGTTTCCAACTATACGTATCTCCGCTCGGTCGCTAGACTCGTGCATGCGTTTTTGGGGATCAGAGATCTCACTCTGTTCTTTTACAGTTCCTCAAAAGCGATGGTGTAAATCATGACTGAAGTTCATGAATAGGTATATGTTTCATAGCTGGAAATTCTTCACTATATGCCAATAAACAGGAGTCCCCCCAAGAATACCAAGGATTCCAAAAAACATATACCTAGGTAAAGCACTGCAGCAAACTCTGATTCCATATCTGATATAATGTAAACACAATAACCATTAAGACTCCCTCAAAGACCTGCTCTCGGATGGAGCTCAAAGGCACATGTCAACCAGTAAAAAACCCCCGACATCATTTGATTTCCACAACAGTCACATTCGACTCAACTTCCCCGCTCTCCGACCCAGAAAGATCCTTCAATTGGGATGCAGTAACATCAAGCAACCCCTTCAGCCAAACGGCCATCCAGATACCGCGCGCACGGACAGAGTACTCGTGGCCTGTTTGAAAATACAGACCGGTCAGAGTTGCATCGCACGTCATTGTTTCGCCCGCATTGATCTCTACCAGGTCATCCGCCGATGCGGGAAGCTTTCGTGATATCTTTATTGTGTCGGCTGCCAGTGTGTGTCCGGTCGTTGTATCGCGTACTTCGAAGAGATCGAGCAGTGATGCAAGTGGATCAAATGGAGTATTCCAGCGGAGGATTGTGACTGGGGTGATTGTTGGGTTGTGAATTGAGATTTGTAGGGGGAGGGATGTTGGGATTTGCGCGTTGAGGGTTTGGAAATTGGTTGATAGGGTAAGCTGGAGATTCGTGATATAGCTCATTGTTGTGGACTTTTCTCGGGGACAATATCTTTGAAGGCCTTACTGAACGAAAGACACGAGAGTGTGGGATGAAGGTGTGGTTGGAAAACTGGGATCTCAGTCCTAGGGGCTAATCAGGCAAAAGCAAGTGGGGGAATCGGACGAACATCGTGACCGTTTATGGCTAGAAAGATTCACCCCAGTAGGTTGCTGAAATCCATGGCTCCGTCTCAGTACCAAAATCTGCAACAGGAAGGAGAAGCTGCACTCTTCCCAGGGCCCGTTGCAACCTTTCCCGGTCACTAGACTTGGGAGATGATGTCGAACAGGAGGACAAATTCAGGGGATCAAAGCGAAGATCACGCCGGACCAAATCTTGTAACTGCAACAGAGTTTGGAACCATCTGAGGTAGCACTGAACTTTTAGTAAACTTGGCGCTCTCGTCCTACCTTGATGGTACAGTTCTCCGGAGGCTTCGCTATATCCGGGTACAGTACCTGTTCCCTTTCTGATCGAGGTATATTTAGTGTGCCCTACAGCACACTCTACCCCAATGCAATTCACATATTGATCCCTCGTTCCTTCTATGTCTTGGACCATTTGCGATTCCGGGGGACTTTTATAGGTCTCACGATCGCAAAGGGACCCTGATGCCCGGGTATCGAAGGATGGAACAATGCACCACCGAGCCAAGGATGGCCAACAGTTTCTCACATCTACAACAATATCTCAGGAGACCCCTTATCCCATCCGACCAATATGCAGTGCAGCGGATCACTTTTCACGGGAGCCAGTACCACCTTACTGCTCAGCTAACCTTGTGAATGATCACGCCTGTGCATGAGAAGTAGCCTGAGTTTTTTTTGAGCGGACCATATTGAACAAAAGGTCGGAAATGGTATCTATAAATTCAGCTCGTGCAGCCACCAATATTGGGATGTTGATAATTCAAAAGAATCCTTTGCTTGTGATCAAATTGTAACCCATTTTGTGGTATCGACCTCCGTCACTCCTTGATTATGCATCTGATCTCGTTCTTTTCGGCGGTTCTTCTTCTTGCACAACACGCATGGGGTTTGCCAGCCGAGATTAACACAGAATCGGTTTTAGATGTTACCTTGAGTCAAATGGGGAATACCCAGATTAAGGCCGTGGTCAAGAATATTGGTCAAAAAGAGGTGACCTTTGTGCATTTGAACTTTTTTCGTGATATTGCACCTGTGAAGAAGGTTGTGGTTTATCAAAATAGTATGAACCCTTGTTTGTGTTGAAACATGACCGATACTCAGTCTCCAAATAGATGCCGAGGTTACGTTTGAAGGCATCAAGCGGCGCATCAAACTTCAGGGACTTACTGCCGATGCACTCACCACCCTTGAAGCTGGGAAGACCATAGAGGACGTATTCGACATTGCCGCAACAACTGACCTGTCTAACGGAGGTTCTTTGACGCTCCATTCCAGTGGATTAGTCCCTCTCGTACGCGACGGAGTTGTCTTTGACTATGTGCCATATCGCTCCAACCGCCTCAAGATTGAGGTGGATGCCGATAAAGCATCACAGATCGTCAAGGCCATCCCAACTCTGGATCGGCGCACTCGGATGACTTGCGAAAACGCGACTCTAAAACAACAGCTTACAGATGCGCTGGGCGAAACTTCTTCCCTAGCTGCAGCCGCAGCAATTGCCGCTCGAGATGGTTCCGCAGATAAGTTCAATGAGTATTTCAAGACTACAAACGATTCAGTACGAGCAGTGGTCGCGGCTCGGCTTGACGCGGTCGCAAGAGAGGCCAACTCGACCACATCGGCCACCACTTATTATTGCAGTGATGAGTATGGATATTGCGAAAGTAACGTCCTAGCATACACGATCCCAGCCCGAAATGCGATCGCAAACTGCGGTATCTATTACTCTTATTTGCCGGAACTCGCAAAAAGTTGCCATTATCAGGACCGAGCAACGACCAGTCTGCACGAGTTCACTCATGCTCCGGGAGTTTACAGTCCGGGAACCGAGGACCTGGGGTATGGATACGCAGCATCGACTGCTTTGCAGAGTCGTGAGGCAGTTATGAATGCAGATACTTATGCAATGTATGCGAACGGTAAGATGCAGCCCTCCTTCCCGTGATGAAACAGCACTGATCACAGCGCAGCAATCTATCTCAACTGTTAAAGTTCCAAGGTTGTTCGTAAGAACGTTCTTCGGAAAGAGATGATATCTTTTTACATGTCCAATCGAAATCTAGCTGTATACGAGAGTTAAAGAGTTCTACGCTTGTGGCTAACCTTTGCAGAAGATGATATAGGATCTGCAGGTCGACATGCGATTCCAGTATATAGTCGTGCTTTTGAGCCGGTATTCGGGTGGAGGAGCGTTGAACATTTGATGCTAGTTGATTTTGTTGTGTCGCGATCATGGTTGAGTCGGTCGAATCGTCGACGCAATGAATAAACATTTGTAGGACCTATTCTGTGCACGATGTAAAAAGCAGCAACTTGACCACAGGGCTATACTTTGCATCATTTCCGGTTAAGGATATATATCCAGTGAAACACGTCAGGGGTATAAGCGGACGACGACACGGGGCCCGCAGGTGCTTTCAATGGTGTGCGAGATCGTAGAGTCCAGTATTGGTCAAGAATGGAATTGCCTCCGAAACGGAAGGTTGAATATGACATCACAATCCAAGTCGTATCTTTCTGTGTCAATGGCACGAGATGTAGGCCGAGTAGTTCAACCGGAGACAGGGCGAGTAAGGGCCGAGTGTCTAGCAGCTCGCGAACAGCTGGACAAATTTGTGAAAGATCATCTGTCGACGCGAAGTGCCGGTCGGTCGCGGTAGCAATGGCATCGCTGGTACTTTTGTCGAGAATCACGTCGAACGGGGCGAACGGCAAAAGGTCGGAAACGTGGTTCCAAGATAACAAATCGGCCCGTTGCCAATGCATCGCCTCCGAGGGGGGTTTCTGGCTTTCGTATGCTTGTCCAAGACGAACAGCTTCTCCCGAAAAGTCGACATTCTGCATAAGATCACCATGAGTGGAAATGGGTTTTGCAAGTACGGTGCAACTAAAACTTACGACAATGCCATTGCCGTTCCAGTGGCGCTCTACGCACGCGTCACGCAGTTTCAGGCCCAGTTGGGAAACGCCTGGGCCCAGGTGTAAGACGCGCGGTCGTCTGACTGGTCGGCTTTCTAGGTTAGACACCACCGCGTCGATAAGCGCCTCGCCAGAATTCAGCCACTCGCCCACATCCTGACCGGTCGCAAATCGATTATCCCAGAACTCTGGGTTGTCATAGTCTGGGGCTCCAGTAACTTTTTGCGGTCTGCCCGTTGAGATTGCCATGCTCGATGAAGTGTTGAAAAGTCTGCGAGGAAATGCGACTCCCCGAGGTCAGGTGACCTTCGCTTTATGTGAAGAACGCATTTGATTACACTAAATGAAGACCACAAATTGCCATAATTTAGCAGATTCGGTTCTTTTCCTGTGAGAACGTAATTTCATCTATTTATTTCTAGGTAATTGCACACGTGGACTTAAGCTCCACTGCCCAGAGGCTAAGCTAAGTAGAAGTATAGACTTGCATATTATAATGACTGCCTGTCTCCTCTCTACATATTTATTCGCCTCATCCTACGACTACCTCCAGGGCTGAATGGGTTTGCCTTGACCCTGGAATTTCAAGAATTTCAAGAATTTCACTTTCCTTTGATGTATTGGTCTAGGTCTAGCGATTAGACATACTGACAGTCTTGGAACATTCCGAGCTTCAGGGGCTCCCATCACAAGGAATCAAATAAGCTACAATAATATAATGTGGAACATTATGGCTCGATTAAACCCCACGATTGGCCTACGAGTTATCGTTGTGATTGGTCAATAACATATAAGCTAATACGTCTCCACTTGCAAATTGTAGGCGTCTTCATCAATTGATTGATGGAATATTCTCCATATGACCATGTATTACATTGTGGATACACAACACGCTCACCGGAATTACTTCGGTAGAAGCTTGACAGGAACAGTAGACTCGGGAAGCACGGCTCTGTGACCCTATGGGCCCAATGGAGCAAGGTGAGACCGAATGGGTCCGGGTAATGTCCATCATTGCTTGTTTCAGGGGGTCCGTTAGCCACGAATGTCTAATCAAGTGGCCCGGCCGTTAGAGATTGATGGGTCCCGCAAAAGGAACCATTCTTCACCGAGCTAATTTGGATAGAGTGATCCTCTTCAACCCCTGGTTTCTAATGGAAATTGCCCCAACAAAGTCTCGAATTGAATTGTGAAAGGGGACTGGTCGAAAATGCGCATCTATACGGAGTTACGGGGTGATCTACCGAACAAACCGTGGACTATAAGTAGGGGTGTCTCTCTCTTCTGATCATGTTCAGCCTGGTTGTCATTCTCGAATCCATTCACTCTTTTTTGGTATTCTGTTGATCAGAGCCCACTCATTCTTTTGAAATTTCCTTGCCTCTACTCTCGCTATCAAAAAGTTCTGTTGAGCAGAACTATCAAACAATGCCTTCCTATACGCACCTCCTGTGCGCCGGTCTGGCTGCCAGCCTTGCCGCTGCGGCCCCCACCCCCTCGCGCGTTTCCGATGCGGTCAAGAGATCCTCGTCTTCTTGCACCTTCACCGATGCCGCCTCAGCCTCGGAGAGCAAGGCTGACTGTTCCACCATCATCCTCAGCAACATTGAGGTCCCCGCTGGCGAGACCTTGGACCTAACGGACCTGACCGATGGAACTGAGGTACGATCGCTTAGAACACGTAGTCTCCAACCAGCATACTAAATGGATATAGGTCATCTTCTCGGGTACCACCACCTTCGGCTACGAAGAGTGGGATGGTCCCCTGATCGAGATCTCCGGATCCGGCATCACCGTCACTGCCGAGGACGACGCCGTCATTGACGGAGATGGTTCTCGCTGGTGGGATGGCGAAGGTACCAACGGCGGCAAGACCAAGCCTAAGTTCTTCTACGCCCACTCCCTGGATGACTCGACCATCTCGGGTCTCAGCATCAAGAACACCCCCGTTCAGACGTTCAGTATCGAGTCCGACAACCTCACCATCGAGGATGTCACCATCGACAACTCCGACGGTGATGACAACGGCGGCCACAACACCGACGGCTTCGATATCGGCGAGTCCACCTACATCACTATCACCGGCGCCGTGGTCAAGAACCAGGACGACTGTGTTGCCATTAACTCGGGTGAGAACATCTACTTCTCTGGTGGTACCTGCTCCGGTGGACACGGTCTGTCCATTGGATCCGTTGGTGGCCGTGACGACAACACCGTGAAGAACGTCACCTTCACCTCGTCCACTGTCAGCGACTCCGAGAACGGTATCCGTATCAAGACTGTCTACGATGCCACTGGTTCCGTCTCCGACATCACTTTCTCCGACATCACTCTCTCTGGTATTACCGACTACGGTATTGTCATCGAGCAGGACTACGAGAACGGCTCCCCGACCGGTGACCCATCCAACGGTATCACTATCTCTGACGTGACTGTCGATGGTATCACTGGCTCCGTCGAGAGCGATGCTGTCGAGGTGTACATCCTGTGTGGTGACGGTAGCTGCACTGACTGGACCTGGGGCGACGTTGACCTCACCGGTGGTAGCACTAGCGATGACTGTGAGAACGTGCCCGACGGTGCCTCGTGTTAGAGTGCCGCATGGTACTTTTGCACTTTCATTAGTGTGACTTGGTATATTACCGGAAACCTTTCCGGTGCATAAACTGCAGCTGATCCTAGACAGCCACTAGTTGTGCTAGGGTATAATCATCCTTCGAGCCCGGATAGACCGCCTGTTGGCATTGTTAGCGAGAGCTTTGGACATTGTGATTGAAAATTTATATAGACCATATAGATTCTATCGAATCACTTGTAATACAACCCATTTTTCTCCACTGCCGATCTTCACAGTTCTTTCCCGGTTTGTTTATTATTGGTTTTTGATTTTTAATTTTCCCCTTTCCCTTTTCACTTTCCTGCATACAATCTACGGGAATAGCGCGGACAACCGCAGCAATCCGCGAATCCTGTTGAACTCAACTGCGCCGTGTCACCTTGGCGAACAGCCACGGCCAAGAATCGGCCAGAGTGTGGGCCTCGGAACGGCGCGCATAGGCCAGCAATGTAAACGCACAAACCTCCCTTTCGAGCAAACCCCCAGTTGATGCGTGGACTATCAAATGTAAAACTTGATTGAAAAAAAAAACAATATACTCGATAAATTACTTTCATTGAACCCGACCAATAATGGCATGCATATGTACACTGCGATCGTCCCAACCGGTACTAGTGCGGCCCGTTTCCAATTGGCGCGGGAGAAGTTATCCATTGACATCATTCGACAACTCACCGTACAGTAGGGGCTTAGTCCCACTGTGCCGTTAAGGACACGAACCTTCTTTGGTTTTTCTGGCTCGGATGCGGGACATGCTTTCCGTGCAAAATACATTCCACCTGTTGAAGCAGTCTTTTGCCAATCAGTATCCCTGAAGACGAAGTGGGGAAGGTGGTTGCGGGGCGCGTCAAAAGCCAAAACCCAGAAAGGCCGGGCGCAACTTGGTTCCCTTTGGTTTCTAATGCTTCTCCCCTTTTTCCCTCTCTTTGTTTGTCCTGGTCACCGTTCATCCTGCGCCGTTTATTCTTATTTATTTTTCCTCCCTGATTTATATAATTCGTTGAATTATGTCTGGTGAGAATCAAGTAATCTCGGTGGTGGGTTTTTGTTTATTTCCTGCAGGTGTGACTGCGCTAACTGGGCTTAGGACCCCGATTTGTACAGCGCAGGTGCTAGCTATCCTGATGACTGGCAATCGTAAGTTCTATACAAGTTTACAAGTTCTACAAAACTTCATTCTGATCCGTATCAGGGAAACTACCTCGATCGGTTCCTCGATTTACCGAGGTTTGATGGAAAATGGTCGACGGTGGGTGAATCGTGTTTACTAGATCGAACAAAACTAATCGGCAATAGATATCAATCCCTGAGAAACAAAGAATATCTGTATGGAAATTTAAAATACAACGAAAGATTGCCATCTAACATGATCACAGGATTCCCTCGGATGATCAGATGTTCGATTCTTATGAAGCTGGGTATGCCAATCCATTCCGAATGGAATGTCAATTCCTGAAGTTAATGATCTCAAAGACACCTGGTCGCGCTCGTCTTGGACTCGGACAGAGAGAACCCTCTGTTCCGAGCACCTATCACTAACCCAGAGCACATCCTCGATCTGGGCACGGGAAAGGGTACTTGGGCAATGTAAGCAACAACACATATCACTTGTGGTGAATCCGGATCCATGCTGACTCATTACCAGCGATGTCGCCGACATGTTTCCAGATGGTAAAAATACCTCGACTTGGAAGATTTGATATTCAGCGTACTAACGAGTCCTAGCAACCGTCCGCGGCGTGGATCTGTTCCCACCCCCTGTGACCTGGATGCCACCCAACTGCATACTCGAGGTAGATGACGCCCTCCAAGAATGGACATGGCAGAGCAATTTCGATCTTGTCCATCTACGAATCATGATCGGATCGTTTGATGCAGCTGAGTGGGATCGAGTGTACAAGCGCATCTACGAGTAAGCGCCACTCCTTCATTTCGTTCACCACTTCCATATTCTCTGACATCAACCAGCAACCTACGTCCCGGAGGCTGGATAGAACAACTCGAAGCCTTCCCCCAAATCGACTGCGACGACAACAGTATCCCTGCAGACAGCACCCTCCGAACCTGGGGCCCTAACATGTTAGCATGCGGCACAGCCGCAGGTCGAGAATGTGACATCCTCGATACGATGGCAGCTTCAATCCGCAAAGCCGGGTTCGTCGAAGTGCACGAGAAGGCCTATAAATGGCCTATCGGTGGATGGCCGCGGGATCGCAGGTACAAGGAGGCCGGTACAGTCAACTACCAGCATTGGATGGATGGGATGGAAGGGTGGTGCATGTGGCTGCTTACCAAGTTTGGACCTCCCCAGCCTTGGACTAAAGAGGAAGTTGTTGTTTATGTTGCGAAGATGCGAGCGGAACTTAGAAACCCGTATTATCATGGGTACCAACGAGCGTAAGTTTCTGTTATTCTGTGCGGCTGTTTGGATGGTGCTAATTGGATGCAGGCGACGTGTGTGGGCGCGGAAGCCTTTTGAGGGCGAGGCTTTGCCGACTCCTGACTCGATGCCTCATTCGTCAAAGCCACCCGTGTCAGATTCGCAACAGAGAAGATAGTGAGATGTTTTCCGTGTCCTGCTGTCGATCGAAGGGGATATTACACGCAACTAATGGCCCTGGCCTTGATGGATCGTCGCCACATTAATGTTTGCTTTATGTATCACGCCCACCATAAATGTACGTTTGGAGCTGCCCTGGATGGCGCTCCTTAAGATTTTCGGGCTGGAGGCTGTGTCATGTTTGCTTTTTTTGCGTTGTCATGGTCCGAAATAAATGATGCAGATCACTACTTAATGAAGGCACATACCATTGGGAATAGGTTCGTCAGGATAACTAGACATTGTGGAGACTCTGCCTAAATCGCAATTTAGGCCTTCGGGACTGATCCTCTAGACGATAAACCCTGTTTTTGAAAGATAGAGTTTAATCTTAACAAGGATCATGCTCTCTAGCCTTGCATTAGTACTTGGAAATTTGGTATTCATTCATTTTCTAGGCCGGTGATTGGTCCATCGCGAGGAATGCTCGGCCCTGACATCACCACGATCGCATCTCATCGCGTCAAGATTTAAAGTCAAGGGCATTACTTCTTTTAAGTATTGAGCACTCAGTTGTGTCTGAAAAGAAAAATTTCTTCTCAGTATACACCAAATTTAACTTGCAATGTCGGAGATCCGCAGAAAGAAGGTGGCCATTATCGGAGCCGGAGCCGCAGGCATGGTATGTGCTCAACACTGCATCAAATGAACCAGATCCTAAGATTACTATGCCAGTCATGCGCGGCGAAACTAGCAAATTATACAGAGAAATTCGAGGTCACGATGTTTGACATCGACTCTCACACAGGCGGCCAAGCAACCTCAATCACACTAGATGAATCCAAGTACGGAGCAAGCTGGCTAAATGACGGAGTTCAAGGAGGTTCAGCCATCTTCCGTCACACATTTCGCTTCTTCCGCCAATACGGCTATGAGCCTCAGCCAGTCCGACTGCAAGTATCATTCGGCAAGGGGCCAGGCAGTTTTTGGACAAACGTCTTCCCGAGCCCCCTTGTTGATCAGCATTCCCGGGAAATCAAGAAGCTGGGCCGAGTGCTGAAGTGCATCAAGTACTTGATGCCAATTCTGGGCATCATGCCGGTCAAAGTGATCCTACGCTTGTTTGGGTTCAGCCGCGATTTCAGCAACAAGATGGTGTTGCCTTTACTGGCATTATTTCTTGGAACGGGGAACCAAACTCCGAATGTTTCGAGTGTACTTCTGGAGCGATTGTTTGATGACCCACAGATGAAGTTGTGGGAGTATGATCCGGACACCTTATTGCCGAACCTACCGGTGATGTATACGTTTCCGAATCTGGGAGATTTCTATAAGGATTGGGCTTCAGATCTCCGATCTAAGGGGGTGGATATTAAACTCAATACTTCTGTGTCGATTCTAGAGCGCAATGCGAAGGCTGTTGTGTTGGAAGTCCGAACCAAAACAGATGATGATGGTGAGGAGCTGTCAGGAGCGAAGACTGCCACTTTCGACGAATTGGTTCTTTGTTGCCCAGCAGACGAAGCAAAGAAACTTCTCGGCCAACAAGCCACATGGCGAGAGAAGTGGGTTTTGGGTGGCGTGAAATTCTTCAACGACATCACCATTACTCATTCAGATTCAGATTACTTTCAGAAAATTTTTGAGGCGCAATATGATCCAGGATTGTGCGCACAGCCGACTACCGACGACCGGAAAAAGCAGATCGCATTTGCAGAACAAAAGCCCGTCTGTCAAAAGGATGGTTGGCTAGGATATCGGCCCATGTATTACACGCATTCTTTTGAGTCTGACCCAGACAAGATTGAGATGGGATTCGACTGCACGAACTACCAGCATCAATTCCGTGACAATCTAGGTATGGGTAGTTCATCACGGCCCCTGGATCAACATGTCTTCCAAACGATATTCTTAAATGACCAGCAGAAGGATTTGTGGACGTGGAATGATATCGACACGTCAAAGATTATTGGACGAAAGTGGTGGCATCAGTTTGGTCATCGGTGGCAACATTATCTGCGTGTTGTTCCAGGTATGATGTTCATCAACGGCAAGAATCGAACTCAATATGCTGGGAGCTGGACTATGGTTGTAAGTATATTCTTTCGGCCACTTCATTGCTTTGAGCTAATCAATGGATTTAGAATATGCATGAGATTGCTTGCATCTCAGGAATTGCAGCTGCCCACCAACTTGGTGCGGCCTACGAGCCTTTCGATGATTTCGCCGAAGACTTCTTCGGCAAATATCTACTAGTGAGTCATGGAACACGCTATAAAAGAGCCAAGGTGAAGCAAAATTGAATCGTAAATTTGGGTCATGTATAATATCTAAATATCTAGAGAACATATCGGAAGCTCTCAATCTCGTGGTCTGTCTTGTTGGAGAATTCGTCCTGCAGTTCCTCCGCCTCAGTCAACTGTCTTGGGGATCCGTAAAGGCGATCGCGACGGCGGTTTTCCCAAACATAAAAGACATAAAGGCAAATCAAAAAGAAGATGCCCAAAATCAAACCAGACATGGCCGCTTTGATACCGGTCTATATTGTATTAGTGACGAGCATACAGAGGACAGCAGAACAATTCACTCACGGGGTATGACGGCTTCTCATCAGGAAGGAAGAACTGAGGTCCTACAATATTTCCGACGCAGTATGCGATAAACATCATGGCACTGACGGTACTCTTCTTCGTGAAACCAGCCACGTTTGAACTGATGAGACTCAGTGACAGGGGTATGTTGACTGCAAACACAGCTCCCAGGGACAGTCCAGTCAAGCGACCGGTACGGTTGTCATCATCTAATTTCCAGATGAGAGCCATGCCAATCACTGAGACGGAACAGTTCAGTATCATCATGGGAATTCGGGAAGAGCGCACAAAGGTGGCAAATCCAGATGTAAGCAGCAGAAACACGATCTGTGCAGCACCCATAGGCATCTGCATAATAAGAGACTTGAGGTTTGAGAAACCAAAGCCTGCAATAATAATAGACGAGAAGCTAGTGATACCACCATTGCATAAATTGACGCAAAGGGTATACAACACAAGACACCAGGTCTGTGGATCCTTAATCGCCATGAACACTTGGTTCCATCGGAACTTGCCCACATCCATGACACCAGTCTTATTACTAAGTGTTCGCTGCAAGGCAATGGCCTTCTCGGTCTTGTTGAAGAAAACAACCTTGGCAGGGGAGTCCGGCAAGAAGGCCGCAAGAATAAATCCATAGGCGGCAGTGACAGCGCCTAGGATAAGGAATAGCAATTGCCAGCTATTGACGGTGTTGTTCTTGATGAGGCCAATTCCATATGCAATCAAACCACCAATGATTGATGCGATGCAGTTTCCAAGGAACCAGGCTGCCTGTCTAGCAGGCTGTTCCTCTCTCTTGTAGAACATTCCTGTGATCATGGCAAAGCCAGGGGCGATAGATGCTTCGCCAACTCCTAGGAAGAATCGTGCAGCCATCAGCCCACTCCATGAGGTGCAGGCAGCATGGCACATTAGGACTCCACCCCATATAAACACGGCCAGACTGAGATATTTTCCGAGAGGAAGTCGTACAATTAAGTAGGAGCTGGGCCAACTCCACACAAGGTATCCGAAGTAGAAGACAGCGGATGACCAATTATATTCTGTGCCTTTGAGATGCTAGATCAAGACATTTGTGGTTAGCAGATGTTGACTTCGAAAAGCTCAAGCAAGGGCAGTGATGAGATACCAGGTCTTCTGTTAATCCAAATAATGTTGCTTGGCTGAGGGCTAACTTGTCCATATATTGCAGCATGTAACAGAATCCCATGAGAGGAATCAGACTAGAAAGTTGTTAGAAGACATTTTTCTCAGACGATCGATGGTCACTAGATTGAGGAAGGGAGAATAAGGGGGCCCCATTGAGTATGTTCAACTGTCCGAAACGTGGTGGGTGGATTAAGGGGCAAGTGTGTGACAATTAATTGCTGCCGGGACATGATCCCATCGCCAACACTTACAAAAGGTCAAGTTTCCAAAGAACCTTTCTTTCCATCTGTGGTGTTGCATGGGTTTCCAAAACCTCACCAAAGTCCACATCTTTGGCCGCGGGGTTAGATGGCGCCTTCAATATGTCGAGATCGACTGAATCAGGTATTTGTTTTTCCATCTTGGATATTTTGAATTGAGAAATAAAGTAGGAAACAGACAATTGAAACAAATACCAAAATCGAGATTCAGCTGTTGAAATTTATTGAATGACAAAGATTGGTGAGTAACGCAGATTAGAAGTTTCTGCGCTGTGGAATGATTATTGACAACCTTAACCTCAGACGACGGCTGCAGCCCCATACATAACCTCGACCATGGAAGGAGTGGCGAAAAGCGGATCTCCCCCGCATTCTGAGCATCGTATTCAAGTGCCAATTTTATGACACATAAAGCATCGTTCAAGCCACATATCGTAGTCTATACCCTCGGCCGGGGGCAGCTAGACTGCGATATACGCCACAGGAAAATCATTCACTGGAAAGCGGCTGCAAATATCGGCAGTCACGCGCGACTATAAAGGATTTCGAATGCCGACACGACATCCTACACGCCTCAGGGATATGAATAGAGTTAGTAGGCTCCGCCTATTGATAACAGCGTTCCTGCCAAGTCCCGGAGATTAGAGCTTTCATCGGCAGACTAGCCAATATCGTCGTTCCGTCGGCAATCAGCCGGACCTCCTCCTATCGGCAACCCACTTACCTATCAGAAAGCGATCAATGCCATGGATTGGGCTGAATGCTGATCTGCTTAGATTAGAAATACGATAGTAACTGGTGTGTCATAGGCTTACCCCACAAATTGAAAACGTGGGGAGACGACCCACCCTTTGCCGACAGACCAAGTCTGCGTTCATGAGCTCGCCTAATGTCGCCATTCCGCTGCCAAAGATTACAGGGTCCAAGTTTGATCATCGGCAAACGCCATCCGAAGACTTCGCCGTATTTCCGATCTTATCGATAGGGAAATGAGGTCTCGGATGCAGCGGAAAGATGCCCCTCTTCTGTCTATTAAGAGATGGATGCCCCTCGAAGATAACAGGAATTTTTAGCCAATTTTGCTATACGTAGGCCTATCGCATATTTTCAGCACTCTCCCAGCATACCTGCAGCTTAGACCGTCCACAATATGACTGTCTCCACCATCCAATTAGAGACCGTGCGGGCGTCCGTCGATGCCGCACTGGAAACATTGAACGATTCGTTGCGCAAATTGAACCATGAGGTAATACGCACAACAAACTGATCTAATTCTGTCATCTTCCTGCAAAACTGACATACCTTATCGCTTCAGATCTGGTCGAATCCCGAACTTGCCTACCAAGAGCACCATGCCCACGACACCATCTGTGACTTCCTCGAACAACAGGGTTTCACCGTCACTCGCCATGCATATGGATTAGATACTTCATTCGAAGCCATCAGTGGATCAGGCGGCCGACTGATCAACTTCAACGCCGAGTACGACGCGCTTCCCGATATCGGCCACGCCTGTGGACACAACCTTATCGCGACCAGCAGTATCGCTGCATTCCTAGCTCTCGCCTTTGCATTGAAGAAGTACGGGATTCCTGGACGAGCAAAGTTATTAGGAACACCAGCTGAGGAGAATGGCGGAGGCAAGGCCAAGCTAATCGATGCGGGTGCCTACAAGGACGTGGATATTTGTCTTATGGCGTAAGTTTTCCTCTGGTCATCTCCTGTTGACAATTTCTAATCCTTCGGGCAGTCACGGTGGATCCCAGACATTCTTCCCGGACAAGCCGGAAGTGACAGGAATCGCCGGAACACTCATGAACGCTCGCAAGAATATCCATTGCGAGTTCTCGGGCAGGAGCGCGCATGCGGGTGGAAATCCTTGGGCTGGAGTTAACGCTTTGGATGCGTTAATTGCTTCTTATAATAACGTGGCAGTGCTTCGTCAGCAACTCATGCCGGATCAACGTGTCCATGTTGCCTTTACAGACGTTCCTAAGGTGGCCAATGTGATTCCAGCGTATACCAAGGCGTTCTGGCAGGTTCGAAGTCCGACATTGAAAGGACTCAACTCGCTCGTCGCCAAGGTCCGCAATTGCATTGAAGCCGGTGCTTTGGCCACTGGTTGTCAAGTAACAGTCTCCGAGTGGGTTCTTCCTCTACTAGCTTTTCTTTCTCGCAAATTGCTGACACAATCTTTGTTCTTCGCAGGGATGAGCTCTACACCGACGTCCGATTGAATGATAAGCTCTGCGAGAGATACCAGGTGCACATGGGCTCGTACAACCGAAATGTGATGAAGCGTGACGACAAGGTCCTGACGGCATCATCAGATATCGGTATGTTGTCTCATCAACAGTTCGGCAATGACATAACTGACGGTCATAAACAGGAAACGTTAGCTATGTTGTCCCTACGTTACACACAATGTTCGGCATTCCCACGGAAGGTAACAGCTTCCCTCATCATCCTACATTTACAGCTGCGGCTGGCACCGATGCGGCACACGCTGAGGCGATTATTGTGGGCAAATCGCTTTCGTTGATTGGATATGATATAGCCACCAACGATGAGATGTACGAGATCGTTCGCCGGCAATGGCAAGATGAAATTGCCCGCGAGGATTGATACATGGGTGAATAGAGTTATTAATTGTATACCCAAGGCTATTTGGTCGGAATTCAAATAGTTGTGAATGTATTGCACAGGTGCATGAACTGTTAGCATTTCCATCTCCCCTCGCAAAGTCCTTAATCTTGGTATGTCACCGTAATAAAAGGCAGATTACCAGGAATCAACTGCCGCTGTCAACCTATTTTAGTCAAACCTAATGCAGGCAATGCCTTACATAACGGGTGTCTAGGCCCACTTATATCGGCTTATCGGCTTCGGCTCCAGGTTTCTCTCGGAGTCGATGATTCAATTCTCCCCTCTTCCCCACCCACCCTCTCTCACGCCGATGTGTGACGATTAATCCACTGGATCTAGCGAGAGGTGGGGGATTGTGTCTTCATGTCTGGACGGAACGCGCCGCGCTCGAAGAGTGGTTGGTTCTCCCCTCCAATCCCCAATTTCTGTTCCATATGACTCCGACATCGCGACTAATCCTACTTTACTCCACTTAGGCTGCAGCACCTGTCGCCGGCGCAAGGTAAAATGCGGCGAAGAACGCCCCGTTTGCAAGCGATGTTTGAACCTTCATCTGAGCTGCGAATGGGGTGTTCCTGTGAAGCGTGGCCGCAGTGCGCAAATTCGACATCTTCAGCCCGCTCTGACAGCTCCAGATCAGGTGCTTTGGCCGGGGTCAGAAGCTGGTGATATGGTGGTGGACCTGTCGCACGACGCCCTCCTCGATGGCTTTTCACCAGTTTCCTGGCCTGGTGATACACTTACTTTGGAGCCTCCGCATGTACCACCTTTTTATCCGCCCATCGCGCCCATTCGAATAGCGACGCCCCTCTACCCCCCACTGGGTGGTAACGAGCTCGCGTGTGCCAACTCTCTCACGCTCACAGAGCATGACCAAAGATATTTCCAATACTTCCCCTCGTCGTCCATCGTTTATTATTATATGAAAGGGTGGGATTGGAGCAGCTTGGGCTATCTTTACCAAGGCCCAGCTGCCACGAATAAAGTCATTATGCGAATGATTCTGGCATTGTCCGCCAGCGACATGCATCGCCATGGATTAGCGGTCCGATCACCAGGTCGACCGACTGCTGAAGACCACGGGCGATATCACTACAGCTTGGCCGTGAAGGAGTTCCGGCAACTTCTGGAGACGCCCCGGAGGCATGTCTCCGTGGCCGAGTTGGAGATAATATTTGCCACCATGTTTCTCATGGTCACCTATGAATGGCAGTTTGGAAACTCTGTGCGCCATCTGCAGCTTCACCTACACGGGGTACGCTCGTTGCTTGAATCTCACCCCCAGCTTTTTCAGGTCAAGAACGCCAATGACGTGTTTTTGGCTGCTGAAGACGAGGCGACATCCCCGGAGGATGCAGTCGCCACGAAAGTTTCATTTATACCAGAGCAATTTCTTCTCTGGATGCTGTAAGTTTTCTGATTATTTTTCCAGCTTGGACTTGCGCTCACATAGCCAGGTACATTGACGCCAGCTGCCAGCCGATGGGCCTGACAGAATCACTTTACGATTATGTCATGCAATCTCATAATCCCGCTCTACATCCAGATCATCTCCATCGATGCGCTCGTCTTTGGGGGCGATGTTTCTGGGGCGAGCAGTATCCAGACCAAGAGGTCTTGGATGACATTGAAAATTATCGAGCCCTAGAGCTACTACACGCCGGATTTCACTTGCGCTACCGCACCTGGAAAGTCTTGGTAGGCTCTGGGTCTGGGCCTGATACCACTGAGTCACTTTTCCGTGAGATCCTTTCCACGCGCGATGTATGTGCTTCTATCCCGCCCTGATTTTCGATCACAATCACGTCTAACAATCCTAGAAATACTCCGATCTTTTCATCACCGCCAAATTCGCCGGAGCTGTTTCCGCCCGACGTACTCTCAACACTATCTACATGGGTGTCTGTACATTCCACGCCCAGATTCTACTTCACCGCCGGTTACTTTGCGTAGACAGACCACCGGCGGCAATCCATAGACAAGCCACGACCGGGATCATAGACATCGCCCGCAAGCAATTCACAGCCGATCCCCGACTTCTACGACGTCTACATTGGCCTATTCTGATGGCCATCATTGAGACAGACGATGCCAACCACCAAGCGTGGCTTCGACAACGCCTACTCGAGCTACGCGACTTCCATTCGGAGTACGCCTGGGCCAACGAGATGGCGGATGAGATCCTGGCTCGGCAGGACGTGAGCCAGGGCTGCTACGTGAATCTCGCTGAGATACTACTCCAGCGATGCCATGCGCTATGATACGTCTATGATGTTTTTGTATATTTAGCCGTAATGTCTATAGACCTATTAATTTGTGGCTTTGAACGTCACGATGAGAATCGCGATTTCGATTCCAATTCCTTCAACCGATCAGTTTCACGGACTATTTTCTAAGAAATACGCATCGTATGCGACCTCGCCCTTGGCTCTTGTAGCCCGTCCAACAATCACACGATCATTCATCCACTTGTACTTCTCATGTCCAGTCTCAATCCGGACATGAAGGTGGAACCAGTATTGGCTCGGGTCGACAGGTCCACCCTCCATGAGTGCTTGAAGAACCTCGGGAGGCCCTGCCCGAGTTCCCTCGGTGCTGCAAGTTCTTGTTGGTTCATGCTCATTTGGCAGATACAGGTAACTTCAACAAACCAAACTCACCGAATATAAATGAAAGCTCCGTCATCGCTCTTGATCACGTAATTCGTGTTCACATGAGTCGTCTGATCCTCCTCCACAATCCTGCATATATTCATCAGTCAAACCTCTTCCATATTCAAAGATCTCCTTTTCACATACATGAAGTCAGCACCTCCAGGAACAACCTCTCCCTTCAAATGCGGTCCATTCACAACACCCGACATAATCGGCACACAACGCCGCCGACCGTAGGGCCCATGGCCAATCTCCATAGGCGTGTCAACCGCACATCGGAGAGTGAACAAGTGGCTCAGCTTTGGGGGTGGTGAAATTGTGTCCATAATTGAATAGTGATATTTGGGGTGAGTAAGAAGTTAGATGCGATCTGGAGGGGTTAAGTGAGATTGATTTAATTCAGGTGGGACGTCTCCCCACACCCGGCATTGTCGGCTCCCACAATTCAACGTTAGACTATTGGGCATTCGAATTATTCGTGTACTAATTGGTACTAGTATTTGTGTGTAGCTTTGCGTCTTACTCTAGCCTATGAGAACTTCATGTTCTAAATGAATAGTGTTCTATTGCTAGAATAAGTCCGATGCGGTTTTCACTGGACCTCGGAAGACTATAGTTCACTCGAACCAGATACCGGCGAAGCTGCCGAGCCTTTTGACATCATCCACTGAACAAGCTTCATAGGACTCCACCACTTGCCGACTTTTCCGCTTCCAGGAATATTCAACCACAGAATTTTCTTTGTAAGTAAATTTCCAATTTCCCTAGTGCTCTGGGCTATTGAATTCAGGACAGCCTTTGACTTGAAATACGCAATTATGTTTGGTCGCTCAACGTTGTATCTCTTAGCTTGGCCGCTTAGCAATTCCTTTTGATGTATCACACTCACTCGCTAGGATCAAGGTTTGCATGGCAGTATTCTCTGTCATGGACAACAAAGGATAAAGAAAAGCCGTTTTTGCGGAGTCTCTGCAACCTTTATTACGATAGAGAGAATTTGAAACCAGATTACTGAATGGAGCAGAATCTTTTATAGAGATGAAGTATTCGGATCTTGGATTGCCTATCAAATATCATTGACTTTCTCACTAGTCCATTGAAGCAACACTTTCGAAGTAGCCAGCGTATGGGGGTGATTTATCCCAAGGACCCTTTCCCGCCTAGCTAAGCAATCTTGGAGTAGATCAACAGCGTCGGAGAATCGACCTAAAAGTCTCCAAGCGCAGGCAAGATTTGACATAATCTGAAGCGTATCAGGGTGGTCTTCAGCGAATTTTGTCTTGCTTGTCTCCATCACCTGTACATGAAGCCTTTCAGCCTCTTTGTAGCGGCCTTGCTTGAAAATCGTCCACGCCAGATTCCCGATGCAACTTAGGGTATCAGGATGGTCCGAACCGAGTTTCATCTTTCTTATCGCTATCACCTGCACCTGAAGCTTTTCGGCCTCCTCATAACGGCCTTGTTGCGAAAACATCATTGCGAGGTTGCCCATATACGAAAGGGTATCAGGGTGGTCTTCACCGAGTTTCGTCTTGCTAATCTTTAACACCTGCACCTGAAGCTTTTCGGCCTCCTCCAAACGGCCTTGTTGCCAAAATGTCGATGCAAGGTTACCCATATACGAAACGGTATCGGGGTGATCTTCATCGAGTTTCGTCTTGCTAATCTCTAACACCTGCACCTGAAGCTTTTCGGCCTCCTCATAACGGCCTTGCTTCCAATGCGTCATCGCCAGGTTACTCATGTGCGTGAGAGTCTCAGGGTGGTCTTCACCGAGTTTCGTCTTGCTTAACTCTTCCACCTGTATCTGAAGCTTTTCGGCCTCCTCATAACGGCCTTGTTGCCAAAATGTCAACGCGAGGTTGCCCATGCTTTTAAGAGTATCAGGGTGGTCTTCGCCGAGTTTCATCCTGCTTTTTCCCATCACCTGTATCTGGAGCTTTTCGGCCTCCTCATCCCGGCCTTGCTTCCAAATCGTCAACGCGAGATTACCCATATCCCTTAAGGTCTCAGGATGGTCTTCGCCCAGCTTCGTCTTCTTCAACTCTACCGCCTGTATCTGGAGGCTTTCTGCCTCCCCATAACGACCTTGACTCGCAAACGTTAATGCGAGGTTACCCATACTTGTTAGGGTATGCGGATGGGTTTCCCCAAGTTTCTTCTTTCTTATGTTCATCACTTGCACCTCGAGCCTTTCGGCCTCCTTATAACGGCCTTGCTGCCAAATCGTCGCCGCGAGTTCACACATGCTCGTTATGGTACTTGGATGATCTTCGCCGAGTGTCGTCTTTCTTAGCTCCATGACCTGCATATGAAGCTTTTCACCCCTCTTCCACTGGCCCGAACGCCCATACGCTACTGCCAACATTGCAGCACTCTTGAGAGAATCTTCATTCTCTACGCCTAGCAGTTTCAACCTCTCTTTCCTTGATTTCGTTGCCATTTCCAGCATATCCGCGATATTACCCGTTTCATATGCATACCATGTACCGTTGTAAAGTAGTGTAGCCCAGACCTTTCGATGGTAGAGCGATAGTAACTCAGGTCGTTGTGATGTTGCCAATTTCACGTGTGGAAAAAGGAAGCGGCATTTCTCCCAATCCTCATCTTCACAGATAGGGAATTCATTGCAAAGAATATTGACGGATCTCTCTGAAAACAATTGTATGTTTCCGTGGATCTTCAACCATATACGCGTGGTCATTTGCACTAGTCGATGCATTGTGAAGATTGTGCCATCTTCGACGATCGAGATAAACGAATAGTCTCTAAGGGTTGCAATATCATCTTCAAAATCATCAACCACAGATTCGGATGTGTCTCCATCATTATCAGAGTCGTTTATAAGCTCTTTACGTGAGTCATGGTTGCTTTTGTCTTGAACCCGAAGAAGATAATCTGGAATACCGTGCCGATCGAAGAAACACATAAGAGAGAGCAAATCCGCTGCAGATGGATTTTTTCGACGAATACAGTCAAAAGACATTTGCCAGGTGACTAGTACTGAGTTACTTGCCTCCCAATCCCGATAAAGAGTATTCGCTTCCTGTTTAAGGAGATTTGTCGCTTCGCGGTCACTCTTTCGAAATTCTGCTAGATACCGCGCGACAGAATAGCGAGGCGCTCGGCTTCTGATGTATCCTGCTGCCTGTATAATAGCGAGAGGCATAAACTCAAGTTCTTCCACTAGCTTTTGGCTATCTTCATTGTCGTCTGATTTAAGCTTTTTTAGCAGAAGTTCCAGCCCTTCCGACTTGTCCATTGGCTGGATTTCCACAAGATCCCTATATTCGACAATTTTCAAGGCGACTTTCTCGGACCGGCTTGTGACGATAATATATCCGGGTAAACTAGTAGGGAGGTATTGTAGAAGCGGCTTTGTCGCGGCATTTCCGATGGGCGGATGCATATGAAAATGATCATCGTCATCAACATTGTCGAGGATAAGAATCCACTTCCCCCTCTTCTCATTTCGCAGCCAATTTTCGACCAGTCTGAATATGTCGATCTTAAGATCCTGTCGATTTGGAATTTTGACCTGCTCGGCTATGTCCCGGAAACTCTGCTCGAAGCGTGCGGCATTGCTTGCATGTACCCAGAATACCCACGTCTCCGGTGACTCAGATCGTACCCTATATGAGTATTCGATGGCGAGCTGTGATTTACTTCGGAATATTAGCGATGTATTTCAATTCTTCACAGATCGTACTCACCCGACACCACCAAGACCAACAAGCGCTATCCTAGACCCGGGGATCAAACCTTTCTCGTGGATTTGGCCAAGAAGTTGGTCTCGGCTAACAAAATCTGCATCGCGCTTGAATGGGACAGTTGATAGAGGACTAGGTGGGGTTTCTGGTCGCTCTAAGGTAACGAGCATTATTACTTAGTCGCTCTTGGCATTTGTTTCCCTGAACTTACGAGGCAAATGGATTTGTGTCGTGACTGTGCCATTATTAATTCCCACCAGGACACCATCGTTCGTGCCAGAGTTATTTATCGTGGTCATGATAGAATTCCCGTATTGATTGTAGCTCAAGTTGGTTTGCTTGCTCTCAGTTGAAAGAGGGGCATGTCTGTAGCCTCGCTGTCAGGTGATTTCGGCGCTTAAACATGCAGTCCAATATAATTAGCTGGTAATTAATATACAACAACCATTCCACTGTCTCCAGTCTTCTCTCCTCTTGTTTCCAAGTAATTTTATTTCGCTCACACCATGCCGGACATGTTGAGCTCATAGACATGGAACTTAACCTGAAAATGAACCAAGAGTATAACAGGGTCTTATTGCGCTCCAAAAACATGTTTCCGGAGAGGGGCTTGAAAAAGCTGAAGGCAAAAAAGGATACGACGTTAATGAAGCAGGCATTGCTGCTTTGATAGACATGGAAAGAGGCGTTCAAATTACTTCATGTGGCTATCTGAGAAGCGTAGATATGCAGATAAGTTGTGGATGTGGCCAAAGGCCGGAAAAAAGCGAGAGTGAGAGTTAGAGTGATAGAGTTGGTGACTAAGGAAAGTCGTTCCATCAGTCATCAATCTATAGTTTCTGGGGTGACTTGGTATGCGGCTTACTCAACTACATGATAAAAAGGGTAACTTCACTGAAAGAACGCCCAACTCGTACTTGCCTCTACTACCCTGTATTGAAATTATTTTCTGCCTTATACGCTCAGTGTGCTGCCGAGGCAATTGAAGATGGCGGAAGTCATGACGATGTGCTGTCCCTAGCGGATTTAGTCCCGAACACCCTGGTATTGGTCAGTCTGTGCGCAAGGAACGCGCCGAACGAATTTAGAAAAGCGTCGCTCCGGCATGGCTCTGCATGTGGCGGATGGGGTACCGATGGGGGGTGACATGGAAGCGAAATGAAAGAATCCGGGGACTGAGCAAAACCCTGATCTTGAGTTTCCACATTTTTTGTGGGGGAGAGTATGCAAGTGTGATTGGTGTTGGGTTAGTATGGGCTCACTTTACTCCAGGCACGGATTTGATGAAGGATAAACTTGGCATTTGGATGATCGAGTGGCGCATACTCTGGAGGCCATCGACATGCAATCCAGGGTACCGCTTATTAGGGAACATTTCGAAGTCGATGGTCAAACCTTTGGATGATACCTAGTCATGTTGCGTGTCACTTACCCGCTTACAGCTAAATATTTTTAATTTTACATGCTTTACTATGCTTTCAACCTAACGGTCTGAAATAACTACCAAATCACTCTACGAGCTACTACGCTTTTTGACCCAAACGTAAGTGACGGTTGAAGGTTCCTGAAACGTCCACGGATCCGTCGGCGTCGTCCTTCATTGAACTAGTCTAACCCGCTAATGCAAGTACCCCAGCCAACTATCCCTCAGGGTTAAATCTACCGGCTTCAGCCTGCAGAACTCGTGCATTGACCCTCGTCACGGATCAGCCCGACTCGCTTGGTTCAGGCATGGTGGCTTCATGAAATCCGGTGTCAATACAGGTCAATCTATTTACCCGCCAGCCTCAACCGAAAGAGGAACGGCAATCACAAGACTTGGTTTCATGCAGGGCTCATACTCATCTCATCACGGAGCGTGGACTCCTTCACGGCTATCTCGGAAAAGCGGGGAGATTGGCAGTGCCGTTGCAGAAGGTGCCCTGAAGACGTCCAAGACACTCAACAAGCTCTAGGAACTCCCTCCGTGTCCGCGGAGTACTCGTGAAACTTCTTCTTTTGGAAGAGCAGACAAGTCCGCAATGAACGGTCTCGCGGACCGGGTCGCCGTTTCCACGATGCTCGGCGCCAGCTTCACTGATGAGCGAATATAAAATGAAGCTGTGTTCATCTGAAATGCTTCATCAAGTTCCTCAACAACAACTAAAACAAAAGTTTACAGCTAACATCGGCTCAAAATGTCTGCTGCACTTTCTTACCGCATTTACAAGAATGCCCTCCTCTTCGCTGCCTTCTTGACTGCCGCTCGGGCACAGCAAGTTGGTACCTCAACCGCCGAGGTTCACCCATCTTTGACCTGGTCGAAATGTGCGAGTGGTGGAAGCTGCACCACACAGAGCGGTTCGGTCGTCATCGATGCCAACTGGCGTTGGATCCACAACGTCGGTGGCTATACCAACTGCTACACGGGCAACGAGTGGGATACAACACTCTGCCCTGATGATGTTACCTGCGCGACCAACTGCGCTTTGGAGGGTGCCACATACGAAGCTACCTACGGTGTTACTACCAGCGGCGATGAGCTTCGTCTGAACTTTGTTACTACTGCTTCGCAGAAGAACATTGGATCTCGTCTGTACCTGATGGAGGATGACACCACCTACCAGATGTTCGATCTGCTGAACCAAGAGTTCACCTTCGATGTGGATGTCTCCAACCTTCCCTGTGGATTGAACGGTGCTCTCTACTTTGTCGCTATGGACTCTGACGGTGGCATGGCTCGCTTCCCCACAAACAAGGCTGGAGCCAAATACGGAACCGGTTACTGTGACTCTCAATGCCCCCGGGATCTGAAATTCATCGATGGTGAAGCCAACAGCGATGGCTGGACTCCTTCCGAGACCGATGTCAACTCTGGTATTGGTAATCACGGTTCCTGCTGCGCGGAAATGGACATTTGGGAGGCCAACTCGATCTCCAATGCGCTCACTCCTCACCCTTGTGAGACACCAACCCAGACTATGTGCGTGGAAGATGCTTGCGGTGGTACTTATAGCAGCGATCGCTACGGCGGTACTTGCGACCCTGATGGATGTGATTTCAATCCTTACCGCATGGGTAACACCACATTTTTCGGTCCTGACATGACCGTCGATACCAATTCCGTCTTCACTGTTGTGACGCAGTTCATCACTGATGATGGTACCTCCTCAGGCACACTGAGTGAAATCAAGCGATTCTACGTGCAGGATGGTGTCGTCATCCCCAACTCCGCCTCTACCATCAGTGGTGTAAGTGGTAACTCTATTACCTCGGAGTTCTGCACTGCCCAGAAGACTGCCTTCGGTGATGAGGACGTTTTCGACGAGCGCGGAGGCTTGGCTGGTCTCGGTGCCGGCCTCGCTGATGGCATGGTTCTGGTCATGAGTCTCTGGGATGACCACTACGCCGACATGCTCTGGCTCGACAGCATCTACCCAACGACCGATACCTCCACCACCCCTGGTGCTGCTCGCGGTACCTGTGACATCTCATCTGGAGACCCAGATACCATTGAAACCTCCGATGCAGACGCCTATGTCATCTACTCGAACATCAAGGTTGGTCCGATTGGCTCTACCTTCTCGTCGGGTACCTCTAGTTCCAGCACCAGCTCGAGCACTACTTCCAAGACCACGTCTACTTCTTCCAAGACTACTTCCACTTCTACCAAGACTACTTCCACATCTACCAAGACCACCTCCACCTCCACTACCACGGCTGCTAGCACCACCGGTGCTGCTCACTACGCCCAGTGTGGTGGATCTGGATGGACTGGCGCCACCACTTGTGTCAGCCCCTACACCTGCACCGCTCAGAATGCCTACTACTCCCAGTGCCTGTAAAGCAATGACAACATGACAGATGAGGATTGGTGGAAAGACAGAATGAAATACAAGACTGGATTTGACATTTATTGAACTTTTTGTATTATTTTGACAGCCAGTATAGTTTCGGAACTCAGATACATCACGAGAGAAATACAATCTATTTGAGTTACAATATGTAGCATCTACCAGTATGGATAAAGTTCTTCGACCCCTGTATGATTTTTTCCGGTCGTCATTTTGGGCATAAAGGTACCGAGGTCTGCACAGGGTCTTAACGATCCTTCACCCCGCACTGCCAACCACCTGCAGGGACGGTCAGCGCTAGCGCCCAGCCATGTAACCTGGTGGGGGCTTTAATAGGGTGGCTTTAATTTCTCCGGGTTATGTGGCTTTTCTATACAATATATCAGGCTATTTTGACTGTGCGCGTAAATTACCACGCGGAGAATGCTCCGACTAGTCAAGCCACTAGCTACTTCATCATCGGTGCAGTACACATGGTTCATCGACTCCAAATGTTAGAGGACATAGTAAGTGTTCCTCCCTATAATCCCAGATTGAGGGTTCATGTTCTGATCAGGTGATCTTTATTACACTTGTTGCTTCTTCATACCACAGCACATGCATACCAATGTAGCAAAGCACAGCCAACTTAGGCTTAGCTCGGCACAAATTGCCCGGGGTGAATCATTGTATGTCTTGCATGGTGTTTCAAACCCAGCCGTGCTGGCTTTTGAAACCCTCCAGGGACAAAACCAATATTCACCAATCGGTAGCCGCCCGGGATTTCAATTCGACAAGATTGTATGCTGTAAAGTGGCCAAGCTCATTTTGAGTGACTTGAGACATTCTAACACTCAGGCTGTGACAAATCTCGTACACTAGTAGTGCGAATCTAATCCTCTGGCGGTCAAGTATACTTTCCAAGGATCCCTCTCTCCACCAAGAGTGGCAACAAACGCTAGCTTCGAAACGCTAGCCTCGAAAGTCATATGGGCACGGTCGAGACTAGTCTCAGTTTGGACTCATCCAAGGCAATACTATGACGATGATCAACAGAAACTAAAGTCTCTAGAAATAATTCACATGCTGCCTGCCATGTCAACAGTGGCTAGCGACATCTACACTCAGGTCCAAAGACTCCCGCAAAAAAACTCAACATTTGAGACCAGCTCCCACGTAAACGCTCAAGGCTTCAGTGATTCTCCCGGGTTAACCATCATCCCTTCAGCCACAAAATCCGGTAGAAGGCGTACAATCCGATATGACAATGGAACCGGTTGAAGGAGCCGGACCTATAGAGCCTCTTGCCAGAGGACACATTCACAATGCTCATGCTCTAGAGCATATTTCACTCGTTGATAGTTCTTGGTTCATGAACGCTCTGCTAGCCCCACTGTCTAGATGTTGAATACTCTCTGTGGGGATGATGTAGTCTCCCCAGGCGGCTCTAGTCTGTCCCACAACTGGACCTCCCACGCCATAAAAGGGACCTTGTGCCCCTGTACTGAAAGACAGGTAGGGGCGAAAATGTTCACTTTCTTGTCCTTTCGACCTTGTATGTCACCATCCAAGCTCGCCCTGGAAGCGTGTTAAACAGGTCCATTCGGGTTTGTCTGCTGGGTGCATTTAGTTATACGACCACTAGACATCCCGAAGGCACTACCTTGATCAAGATCATTAACGCGGATCAGCAAGACATCATGCAATACTCGGGTGTTCATCGCCTGACTCTCCCGCATCAAGAACAGTTTGATATGAACAGGGCAAAGAGCTGAAACGCAAAGCGGTACTTGTCGGAATCATTATCGCGACCGGCAGAGCTCAAAATTCTAGCTGGAGGGGTATGTTCTACCGCACGGGAAGCAGAAAAGCAGTTGCCGTTGCGATACCTAATTCCGCGGAAATGAAGCTCATGTGTCCTTCATCCCCGGCATCGTGGGGATGACAAGAACCGATCGGGAATGGGCGCTGCCGAGCTGTGCTGACTGTGTGGTTAAATGAATACCCGCAGATGTGGGGAAGCGCTTCTCCGGGAAGTGGCGAGTGCCGAGTTAGCCTTTACGGCCAGGACAAAGTGCCGTGTGAGACACTGCAAAGCGATGATCCGAAAATCGATCCCATGATCTGTTTCGGTGAAGCAATTTGGCAAAGTGTTGATTTGAGTTCTGCCTGTCGGTGACGACCCAAATGGGTCCCCCGGGAAATTTGTTCAAGTAGGATTACAGTATGTAGAATTAGTTTATGTCAAAGATGACATCATCGTTTGTTTCTATACGGCATCTTGTATACACCTCCAAGTCCACAAAGCTTCCATTTTGGCCCTAGAATGTTCTCTGAGAAGCTGTAGCGACGACTAAAATGAACAGGTATGTCGGGCCCCCGCGTTCCAAATAAGCATAAATTGGAGCTCGCTGATTGGATCTATGGGTGGATGCACAAGGGTTCGTCTGCATTAAGATGCAGCCCAGTTGGTACCAGATCGGCGCCAGTCGATCATCTAACGCCCTTGGTGTACACAAGTGGGGTGTATAGATCTTTCGGAGTCGTGTGAGAGGCTACTTATCTTAGCTGATGAGGCTTACGATCTTATCTTTAGAAAAAAGCTTAAGTTGAAAAGTATAAGTAGTTCGTGATCATTTTTATCTCAATTGGATATTGTAGTACACGAGAATGGAAACATAGAAGACATGAGGAAATAAAACAAGTCAGGTCGCTAAATCACAAATGCAATGCCAGATGGTTTTTCGTTCACAACAAAGCTCCTACAGCGAAGGCTTGGCCTGGCTGCGCTCGAACGAGGAGACGGGAGGAGCAGAGTTGGGGTTGGGGTGGTGCTTCTTGAGAGCCATGGTGACGTTGTACTCAAGGTCGAGAGTGGCCTTGGGGTCGTCAGTCTTGGGCTTGAACTCAACAACGAGGTCGTCCTTGACAGCGAAGACGGAGTCGATGTCGAGGAAGGGGTCGGTGCTGGGGTAGAGCTGGTTGATAATGGTGGCGTAGTCGGGGTGGGTGACCATCAAGTGGATGTGAGCGGGACGCATGGGGGAACGGTCCATGAGGTTGAGGAGGACACCGGCGGGACCGTCGGTGGGCAGAGAGTAGGCAGTGGGGTGGTAGCAGTACCAGTAGTACTCGCCCTTCTCGTTGGTGCGGAACTTGCCACGCAGGTTGTTCTCGGACTGCTCAGGGTCCTGGAAATCGTACAGAGCGTTGGCGGAGGCTTGCCAGATGTCAAGAACGGCGTTCTTGATGGGCTCGCCAGTCTCCATGTCCTTGATGACGCCGTGCATGTAGGTGACCTGACCGTTGGGGAGGGGGTTCTGGATGATGCTGTCACCCAGAGCGCGGAAGGGAGCGTTGGGAGACCAGAAGGGACCCAGGATAACGTTGGAGGTGGGGGAGATACCCTGCTCAGTGATAATCTTGTTGGCGATCTCGTCAACGAGAGACTCAAGACCGATCACATCACAGATGCGGTGGCACTCGTTGCGAATGGGGGTGGAGATGGCACCGATGGAGTTGATGAACTCAACACCCATCATCCACTCAGCGGGAGTGAGCTCAACCTCACGAGCGAAGTCGTGGATGTGCTTGATGAGGCAACCCAGGATCTCCTTGGCACGAGGAGGGGTCTTAGGACCCATGGCGTTAACCACATAGGGGGTGAAGTTGGGGTCCCAGCGGTGCTCGGTAGACATGATGGCTGAAGTATATAAAAGTAGGTATAAGAGGAAAGAGTTATACCAAAGCTGGATGAAGATGGATGAAGAAGAAAAATATTTGTGAAACGGGATCGACCTCTTTATAAGTTTTTTTCAACCGTGGGATTCTAATGAACGAAAAACCTACCCCGGATGACCATTTCGGCCCATTCCAGAGGTCAACCCCGGACCGCACGGTCGGCAATGAGCGGAGGAGAAGTGATTCTGCGAATCGGCAGCGGCAACATCACAACTCCCGTTTTCCGGGATTGTGTTTTCCACAGTGCCGGCTTGCCACTTATTCTAAGATCCGTGGACACTCGTTAACTCAATGGACAATACAGCCACTCAGAATGTCGCATTCTGTTCTGGGTAATCCGCTTCGAGCGGTTATGCCTGGTGCCGCCCCTCGCTGCCGGTCGCTGGCCCCCCGCACCTGGATAAGACTTCTGCGGGCGCGTGTATATTCTGTATCCTCGACTCGGTAGCTACACATCGTATGATCCGTCCGGCTGTCTTCTCTCAGGCATCTGCCATCTTCACCCGATCAAGTACGCGTTCATTCTCTACGACTTCATCCGCAGCCATGAAGCACCATTTGATGATTGGAACGTGGGTCGCTCCCGGGCGCATCTACACTGTTCAATTCGACGATGAGGCTCTTACCCTGGAGCTGGTCAAGAAGACCGAGATTCCGGAGGCTGAGCCCATCTCATGGATGACTTTCTCTCACGACAAGAAGACCATCTATGGCGCTGCCATGAAGAAGTGGAACAGCTTCGCTGTGAACAGTCCCACCGACATTGTTCACCAGGTGTCGCACCCCGTCGCCGGCCACCGTATGTACACCAACACCCAGGGTCAATTGGGTTGACACGGGCAAATCCAACGCCAGTTCCTCGCTAACACAATTCTTTAGCTCTGGCTCCCAGCGCCGAGACCAACACCCGCGCCATTTTCGTCCTCGCCGCCAAGCAAGCCCCCTTCAACGTCTACGGAAACCCCTTCTACAAATATGCGGGGTACGGTAACGTCTTCTCTGTGAAGCCCGACGGAGCTCTGGATGTCAATGTTCAGAACTACGAGTACCAGGAGAACACCGGTATCCACGGCATGGTCTTCGACCCCACTGAGACCTACCTGTACTCGGCCGACCTGACTGCCAACAAGATCTGGACACACAAGAAGGATGCGCAAACCGGTCAATTGGAGCTGGTTGACTGCCTCGAGGCTCCGGCTCCCGGCGACCACCCTCGCTGGGTTGAGATGCACCACACTGGCAAGTACTTGTACGTGCTGATGGAGGCTGGCAACCGCCTGGGTGTCTACGTGATCGATGAGCGCACCCACAAGCCCGTCTTCACCCACATTACTTACCCATTGCTTCCTTCCGGTAAGTCCAAAGCTCTCCATGAAGATCTTAGATCCAATTCCTAATTTTTCCAAGGTCTTCCTCCCCGCAATAAGTACCGCGGTGACGTGACCTTCACCACCAAGAGCGGCGATTACCTGTTCGCGACCACTCGTTCCAACCACTTCGATGTGACTGGATACATCACTGCTTTCAAGCTCGGCCCCTCCGGTGAGATCGAGCGCCAGCTCTTCATCAACCCTACCTCCACCAGCGGTGGTCACTCCAACGCTGTCAGCCCTTGCGATTTCACCGATGAGTGGGTTGCCATCTGTGACGACCAACTCGGCTTCGTTGAGATGTACCGCTGGCGTGACGAGAAGCTTGCCCGTGTGGCGCGTTGTGACATCCCGGAGCAGGGCTTCGGCATGAACGCCATCTGGTATGATTAAACGAATATTCAAAAGTACAGTAATTTTGTACACAAAATCTAGACTATAGAATCTGGAGAACCAAACTCATATAATTGAACCATGAATCCTAGACCAATAATGTAATTCCATAGGCACAAAAAATTTGATTAAGTTTGTAGACCCAAAAAGTACATAGTTTAACGGGGCAGAAAATATGGGGAAAATCGGCAAAGAACTTCGGTTCTGCTTTGCTTTCTTCCGGAGAGGGGCAACTGCCGATGACGATGGGATAATGGAGATGGCCGATTATTATTATCTTCAGTTGCTTGCTCATTCTGCATTACTCTATTCATTTCAAAAAGTTCCTTGATTTACCCCTCCAAAATATACCCCGCCATCATGCCGACTACCGGTCTTCTCTATGTGACTATGCAGCCCAAGGGCTCTTTGCCCGACACTCAATTCCACGACTGGTACAACTCCGAGCATGGTCCCCTGCGCCTGCGTCTCCCCTTCATCACCAATGGATTCCGCTTCCGGGCCACCGACGGCGAGGCCCCCGAGTATGTGGCGCTGTACGATATCACCGACATGGACGAGTTGACCCGCAAGACCTACCTGGATCTGCGAACAGATCTAATTAAGACTGAGCGTGAGAAGAAGACCATGGCCCAGATCGATGTCGGCCGCAAGCTGTACGATCTGGTGGAGGAGCGGAGCCAGGACAACTACATCCAGTTGGAGGACCGAGCCGATACCGATCCCGAGACCCGCGGCAGCGTCATGATTGCTGTCACAACCACCTTCCCCGACGCAGAGAAAGAGGCCGAGCACGACCGCTGGAACCGCGAGGAGCACATCGAGATGCTTTCCCGCGTGCCAGGATGGCGTCGCACTCGTTTGTTCCGCACTGCCGCCATTGACTCGGCTGCGCCGCGTGAGACCCTTGCTCTGCACGAGTACTCTCCCGTCAACGGTCTCGGTGGTGAGGAACACAAGGCCGCCATGAACACCCCTTGGCGCCAGCGCCTTCAGGACGGGGGTATCACTTCCAAGGTCCGTCGCACTTACCAGTGGTACTACACCTTCGGTCCTGCTCCCCGTGAGCTCTCATCCCTTGCCAACTCGGATGTTATCGGACCTTGGTCTTCCAACGACGGTAAGACTCGCACTCTGCCCTCGACCACCCGCCCGGCTGTTGAGTCGTACGTTACAACCAAGGACGGTGTTGAGATCCCCTACCGCTTGGAGGGTAGCCTCGACCCTGAGGCACCCGTCGTTGTGCTCAGCAACTCCATCCTGGTCAACTGGAACATCTGGGACCGCTTCGTGGATGCCTTCCTCGCCCGCAAGGAGAACCAGAAGTACCGCGTTGTGCGCTACCTGACCCGTGGCCGCCGCTCTGCCAGCGGCGAGCAGCCCGTCAACATTGATGTTCTTGCCTCCGACCTGAACACTCTGCTCGAGGCCCTGCGTGTCTCCCCCAAGGCCGCCCGCCTGATCGGTGTCAGCCTTGGCGGTGTCACCGTTCTTAACACTTCCTTGCTCTTCCCCGAGCGCGTTGGCGCCTTCATCGCCTGTGACACCAACTCCTCTGCCCCCGAGTCCAACCGCAAGGCCTGGGGCGACCGTGTCGCTATTTGCGAGAAGGAGGGATCTGTAGACCCCGAGACCAAGGAGCCCATCGTTGGTGAGGAGCTCGCTGAGGTCACCACCCGCCGCTGGTTCGTTCCTGAGTCCTACGAGACCCAGCCTGAGGTGCTGGCTCCCGTCAAGGAGGCCGTGCGCACCAACAGCCTGAAGGGCTTTGCCCACAGTGTGCAAGCTTTGTGTGCCTACGACATCCGCGACCGTATGGCCAAGGCCACTGTTCCCGGTCTGTTTGTTGCTGGTGCCGGTGACGGTGTCCTGCCCCAGACCATGCAGAAGATGGCTGCCGATTTGAACGGTGGTGCTGAGCTGAAGATCATTGACAAGGCTGGCCACTTGCCCATGGTTGAGCAGCCCGAGGCCTTTGCCGATGTGGTCACCGAGTACTTGAGCAAGATCGATGCTTAGACTGCACTTTTATGAGTTATATAAGATTGTTGATAGATTTTGAATTCAAGTTGCAATGTCCATAGCGAATGAGAAATGAAATGGTTGTTATGACAGAAATAATAAAGTCAATATTTGAACGACTAAAACAGGTCCACAGGAGTAAGAGATAAGAATAGAGAACAAGAAGTCAAACGTGATCCATAAATGACCTTGATCATCCACTTCCCGATGAATCAAATGTTCGAGAAGCGTTCAGGTGTGGATGTCGTGTGCCCCGTGCGGTATCCGAGTCCCGCCAAGGGCGCAAGTTCCCCTCCGCTTCTTCACTCCGGTGCTCCACGATTCCTCTCCTCAATCACCTCTTCCGCCATGACAGACAGCAAGGTCCCTCAGCCAGGACCGGCGAAATTAAAACGCAATGCGGGCCCCGACCAGTGGCTGGAGGCCGCAAAGGACTGCAAATACCTATCCGAGGCCCACATGAAACAGCTGTGCGAGATGGTGAAGGAGTATATGATGGAAGGTAAGGAGTCTCGCTTTTTCAGCCAGCACTCCGGATATTTATCTCGGTACTGATTATGTGTTTCCAGAATCCAATATTCAACCCGTCTCCACTCCGGTCACCGTCTGCGGCGATATTCACGGCCAGTTCTACGATCTTCTTGAGCTATTCCGGGTTTCTGGTGGGATGCCCGATGGCACAGAGCCCGAAGAACCCAAATCCACCATCACCTCAGCCGATATTGAGCCGCCATCGGAGATTACAGATCCCAAAGTTCGGAAGAAGTTACGAGGTCCCAACAACGACTCTGTGGAGGATGATGAGGAGGAGTCTGGAGGGCCACGGAGCCGGTCAGGGAGCCAAACATCCAATGACGTCCAGGTAAACCGGAATTTTGTCTTCCTTGGAGATTATGTGGACCGTGGATATTTCAGTCTGGAAACTTTGACCCTGTTATTGTGTTTGAAGGCCAAGTGAGTACTGAGGAATTCGCGCCCGCCATCATGAACGTGAACGTGAGACTGATATTCGTGGCGCTCAGATATCCCGATCGAGTAACACTAGTGCGTGGAAATCACGAATCCCGCCAGATTACACAGGTTTACGGCTTCTACGAAGAATGCTTCCAGAAATACGGCAGTGCCTCGGTCTGGAAGGCTTGTTGCCAGGTCTTCGACTTTATGACGCTGGGCGCCATCATCGACGGCAAAGTCCTGTGCGTTCACGGAGGTTTGAGTCCAGAAATTCGCACTCTGGACCAAGTGCGAGTGGTCGCTCGCGCGCAAGAAATTCCCCACGAGGGTGCATTCTGCGATCTTGTCTGGTCCGATCCCGACGACGTGGAGACATGGGCGGTCAGTCCTCGTGGTGCAGGCTGGCTCTTTGGCGACCGTGTCGCTGACGAGTTCTGTCATGTTAACGATCTCTCCCTCATTGCCCGCGCGCATCAGCTGGTAAATGAAGGATATAAATATCATTTCGCGAACCAAAATGTGGTCACAGTGTGGAGCGCTCCGAACTACTGTTACCGGTGCGGTAATCTCGCTTCGGTGTGTGAGATCGGAGAGGATCTGAAGCCCTCGTTCAAGCTGTTCAGTGCCGTGAGCGATGACCAGCGGCATGTGCCCAGCTCGCGGCCGGGCCGCAGCGAGTACTTCCTGTAACATGTGAGCAATTAGCTTTGCACCGGCGCGGGCGTTTGGGTTTTCTGCCATTGATTCTTCTGGGGATGGCGGGGAGCATTTACCATAATGATCTTAGAGACGAAATGAATGATATGTCTATATCCATCTACGGAGCACATAATTTTAACAATTGGGAGAGCTGAGACTCGTTACTTATCTACTAGGCCACACAGCTTGTCCTTGGGGGGAATGCATTAAAAAGCAAGGACTGCCGGGTGCACAGATGGGTTTCCAATTACTGTACGATGTGCAGCCCCGGAAATCCTGACTGGGTTAGGTGCATGTCGTTCGGCCCCACGTATGAGAGGTCGAATCAAGGACGGTTCCATTGAGTCCGACTCTAATTCATTCTCGAATTATCAATATTCCGCGATGTGGTCATGCTATCAAAATGTATGCTTACTGAGATTTGGTAAGCGGATCTCGGGGCTCGGGGTTTGTGCGGATCGTTCCGCGGCGATCAATTAGATAGATGAGGTGATGAGTGATACAATCTCTCCAACTGATGACGATCGTGCCATGCGCCATTAGTAATGGCATAATTAGCTTGCATCAATGAACACGTCTTGGAGGGTATTCATAAATAAGGTGCAGGTCTACCCCTCTCGATATCACTATCCAACATTCACACTTGCTCAAACTAAACCAAAATCCATCCGATCTACAAAAAATGGCTATTACAAAAGTCGCCGTCGCCGGAGTATGTATTGACCCACTTTATGCTTCAGGGTCATCAATACTAATTTAATAAAAGGGCACTGGCAACCTCGGCCCAGCAGTCGTCAACGCCCTGGTGGAAGCCAACTTCCAAGTAACCCTCCTGAGTCGCTCCTCGACACACGAGATCGACTCCCGAGTAAAGATCCAAGTAGTCGACTATGACTCCCTAGACTCCCTCGTCACAGCTCTCACAGGCCAAGACGCAGTGGTCGACGTCCTCCCCTCGGGATCCATCTCCGTCGAGATCCCTCTCCGCCTTATTAAAGCCGCACACAAAGCCGGCGTCCAGCGTTTCATCCCATCAGAATATGGCTGTGACACCTCTCACCCCCTCACCTCTAAGCTCCCCGTCTTCGGCGACAAAGTCACTGTCGTCAACCGGCTCAAGGAGATCTCGGCACAAGATAGCGCATTCACTTACACGCCTGTCATTACGGGACCCTTCTTCGACTGGGGATTAAAGATGAAGTTCACCGTCAACCTATCCGGACCGTCAACTCCCATCTACGACGGCGGCGATACGCCGTTCAGCACAACTACTCTTGCAGGTATCGGACGTGCTATCGCCGGTGTATTGGAGCACCCCGATGAGACGAAGAACCGAAATGTTTACGTCTCACAGGCAGAGGTGACACAGAATAAGCTTCTCGCGTTGTCCGGGAAATCGATTGAGCGTGAGGATATTAGTACTGCGGATCTGGAGAAGAAGGCGTATGAAGCTGTTAAGCTTTCTCCGCCTGATTTCAGGACTTTTGCTGTTAATTTGATTCGACTGGCAATTTTTAACCCTGCTTATGGCAGTGCATTTACTAAGACGGATAATGAGTTGCTGGGGGTTCATAAGTTTTCGGAGGATGAGATTGTGGATTTAATTAAACAATACTCTTGATTGTTATCAGTCAATGGTATTAAGATAGCTCCAATTACCTATCCAGCAATGAAAGTATGTATCTGAATCATGTATGACCTCGTGCGACCTTACTTTCCAATTTGAACCTTGGGAAGTATTCTCTAAGAAATTTGAAGTGTTTCCAAGGTTCAAGGAGCAACATGTCAGCAATATATATCGACAGGCAACCTACAGACATAGTGATACCCCAACCTTGGAATAATGTTAAATTTCAATGTTAACGTTTATTTTCTATCTATAATCGAAAAGGAAACAGGGATGTAGCTTGATCTCATGCTTGATAGTCCTAATGTTATGGGCGATCGGCTGTCTAGGTGCCATGGTGGTAGAAGGCAGGCGGGCATTGTTGGGTCGAGGCTACCCAAGGGAGACAATGAAGATTCCGTCATAAGTCCAAAATTGTCCTCATTGTATATATAGGGCGGCTGGCCTAATGGTAAGGCGCTTGTTTTCGGTGTAAACACAGGAATTCACAAGAGATTGCAGGTTCGATCCCTGCGTCGCTCATTCTTTTTTGTTTTTGGACCGGACCACTATGGCAGTAATCCACTTCTTTTTCTTAATCAGTGGGTGGGCCAAGACTAAAAAACCAAAAACCAAACGGTAATGTATTGCGGCTGCTCAACTGGCGTACACCACTATACTAGTGTTCAAAAGTCTTGTCCCACTGCGGTGTTTTTGACCATAAATTATGTAATCCTTTTTCAACTACGTTCAGTGTACGATGTACCAATCATTGAAGATGACTAGGGATCAAAGTATTAATCCGAGCACTGAGTCCCAGCCTCAATGCAGAAGATCTACTTTCATTAACTTCTGGTTGGCTCACGCTCTCCCACTTTGACAGGCGGATGAGTCAACCAAAGAGGTAAAAAGACAACAATCAGCGGGGAACCAACCCAACTTAACCTAAATCCTTAAACAACCAACACCCCTGGGTATCGAACTCAACCATGGCTTTCCCCTACACGGTTGCACCCCACCTAGCATACTTCGACATTGCCTCAGCGAAATTTGCCGCAAGTCGCCCAGAATTCGAAAGCTTCGGCGTCGGAGGATTCATTTTCTCCCAAAATGTAGTCGCGACTGGATCCGAGTCGCAGTCAGACTCATGCCCACGCACTCTATTACTTCGACGAGCGCCGACTGACTCGATGCCTGGATGCTGGGAGGGACCCGGTGGTTCGCATGAGGCTGACGAGGACGGGACTCTGCTTGATGGTGTTGTGCGTGAAGTTCTCGAGGAAACTGGTCTGCATGTTTCGCGAATTGTGGAGCTTGCGTCGGTTGATGGGTGGACTCACAAGCGACGTGAGGATGGACGATTCATCCGCATTGCCAAGTACACGTTTATCGTGGAGGTCCATGAATCCGCGCGTGAAATATCTGGGATAACTCAGATAATTGATCATGATAATATCCCTGTTGTGTTGGAGGTTGGTGCACATGATGCATCTGAGTGGGCAACTGAGGAAGATGTACAGGCGTCTTTGCAGTCTGGCGCGGGCCGATTCAAATTTACGCCCTTCGCTGGACCTAATCTTGCTCGGGCCTTTGATTTACTAAAGAGAGTACCAAAATAAGAATAACATAGACAGACTTATATGAATCAGTTGAATGAGTGTTTTATGGCATGCTTTAGATTGTCTGAGAGTCGTCCTCCACGGGGGCGGCACCTTCAGCCTGCATCTTCAGGGCTACCTGGTCGACGTCTCTCCACACACGTAGCAGATTGCCACCAGCCACTTTGGCAGCATCCTCATCACTCAATCCCCGGCGCAAGAGCTCTGCAATGAGAGCCGGGAACTTCGACACATCCTCCAGGCCTCGAGGCACTGTCGGAATACCGTCAAAGTCACTCCCAAGGCCAACATGGTCGAAGCCCGCAATAGTCCCGATGTGCATAATATGATCCGCGACGCGTTCGAGCGTAGCATTCTCAGGATCAGCATCAGGGATGCCATCGGCGCGACCGGAATCCACACAGGAAATGAAATCAGGCGAAAAGTTAACCATGACGATCGAATTCTTTTCCCGCACTAGTTCAAGAACATCATCGGGCACATTTCGCGGATGCGGGCACAGCGCATAGGCCGAGCTATGGCTGAAGATGATCGGAGCCCGACTGCCGGTCCACTCGGTCTTGCCTGCACCGAGCACATCACGCATGGTATCCACGCTCACATGGGCTAGGTCGACAATCATGCCGAGTCGGTTCATTTCGTAGACCACGTTCTGACCTGCTGGACTGACTCCGTGCCACAATGGGTCGGACTTCTTCACGCCGCCACCTGACAGTTCAACGACCGCGGCATCAGCATAGCGGTTGTGGCAGTTATGTGTTAGTGTTGCATAAGAGACACCGAGTTCGTAGAAAATGCGAAGATGCGACAGAGAGTTGCCGATGGAGTGCAATCCTTCTATGCCGAGAGGAGAAATGATCTTGCCGTCCTGGAAGGCGCTCAGCGCGGTAGTGCCATTGGGCGGGGTCGAAAAAACATCGGGAAATGTCTGCTGAATACGAGACATCAAGTCAACCTGTTCCATGGTTTGACGTATACCTGTTTTATTGCGGTCAATACTGCGATCATAAGATGTAGTCCAGTGTTTACATACTCGGCGCATATGTTTCATCTGAAAAGTCAGTCCAATCGGTAGGACAGGGAACAAAGACACTCCAGAAAGTGCCACCAACATGTCCACGCTTCAGACGAGGCAGATCTACATGAGCGGGAAGTGTGCCATTGAGAAAGGCGTCCGTAAAGTTGGCACTATGAATGTGATTATGAAAGACCGATCGGATAAAGATAGGGAAATCATCATGGCCATCTAGAGCACGAATTAGCTATTAACCGCGAATGCTGTAGACTAGACCTTACCGATCAATGGAGTCTGAGTCAAGATGTGATGCACTCTTTCTTCGATGGTAGGGACACGATGAACATGGTGGCAGTGCGGCCTCAGGAACCATCCACCGGCAAGCAAGCTGCAGAGTAGCAAAGCCCAGCCTCGTTTCCGACATGACTTTGGCTTAGAGATTTCCAGGTTTTCGGGATCCTGGCTCAGAGCCTCATAGCGCTTCTGCAGTGTTACCTTCTCCATTGTCGGTTGTTGTGTCACCGGAAGATAGGTGACGAGGAGAAGTTGGGGAAGCACGCGATAAAGCCGATAACCCCGAGTTCCCGTATAATTTCCGATAGATAAGAAACCCACGAATCAACCGCAGTTGCTGTGGATATGGTGTTTGTCTACAAATTACCAGAAATTTCTCATTCAGAACGTGATATGTCAAAGACTGGAGAGTAGAAGGTGGATTGTACTCGGACAGGGATGTTTATTTGTGTTTGATGCGTTTGCAGACACGGGCAGACACTACCCGCTATACAAAAGGGCGGCTGGTCCGAAGACCCAAAATCGCTAGAGTTTGGATTACGAATCAAATCCAGGTTGCTTCGAATTCATCTTGAAGTGAGATTATAACATCGCTAAAACTGGGATAGCCTATCATAGCCATCATATGAAATCAGGCTTGCGTCATACTCCAGAATGCTTCTTCCGACCTAGTACAAATCGAGCTTCTTCATCGACTTCTCATCCAGTAGGAATTATGATAATTTGTCAGTGAGTTGGCATGTCCTTCATAATTTAACAGTCAGAACATGACCATCACTAAATATGTCTTTGGGGTCAATGAATGACTGCCAATGGAGACTTCTGCAAAATTTAGTATTATGAGAATTCAAGCATTCAGTCTTGGGAATTGCAGTGCGAACCCATACGTAACAAATAAGCAGTATATCTATATCGATATAAAAGTTTCCAGGCCAAATAGACCCTCCACAGTTCTAGATAAGGATGACTTGTGTCTAGTCTGACCCAGAGACAAGAAGTATCTCTAACAGGATTATAGCGGATCATTTGACTAGAGCCTCAGTCGTAAGAATTAGAAACTTAGTTTGCACCTCCAAAGCTTAGAAAGTAGGCCACCGACGAGCTGTAAAACCTGCTTTTCACGATCACATGCCACCATAAGCGGAAAGATCCCGAGGTTAATCGAATGGGTATCAAAAGGCGTTACATATAAGAAAGCGAGATCTCATTGTGTTAGTATTAAGTCAACTTTCAAATTAGCTCCTGACGATAATATCATCTGAACTATCTTCCGAGACTGTGGGTTTCTGTTACTCACTAACGAAAAATTTGCTTTATTCCAGGTATAGTCTACAATCCATGCAAAAAGGTTCATTTTTTGGTAACTCTCAAAGAAACCTCGATAAGGATGTCACTGGATAATTTGCCTTCAGTGATATTTTTTGATGTCTTGGGGACAATCGTGGAATGGAGATTTTGCATTGCGAACGAACTAAATGCCACCGCACAAAAGGCTCTACAAGATGAAGCTCGACAACTGAGTTCCGATGTGCGAGCACGTGTCTCTGATATGTCCTCTCTGGACTGGCAGGAGATTTCTGAGGAGTGGCATCGCTCATATATGGAATTTGGAAACACCTACGACTCATCGAAACCCTTTGTCTCAGTAGATGAGTACAACCGAATCTCTTTGGAGAGTATTCTCACCAAATGGCTTCTCCGAGAATTATTTGACGAAAATGACCTCAAAAAGTTGACTCTTGCTTGGCATCGACTGGACTCATACCCTGACAGTGTCCCAGGCCTTTCATTGCTGAACACTAAATTCTTGACGTCTACATTATCTAATGGCAATGTTAAACTTCTGGAAGACCTACAAGAACTAAACTCTTTGCCATTCAAGCACATTACCAGTGCAGAGCATTTCGGTGCTTACAAGCCGTCGCCGGAAGCCTATCATGCCGCTGCTCGCAGATTCGGTTTTAACAATTCGCAATGTTGTCTCGTCGCAGCTCATCTGGAGGACATACAAGCCGCCAAAAATTGTGGGTTTCAGACCATTTACCTCGAGAGAGCCTTGGAAGAAGCTTGGGATAGTGAAGAAGTTTCACGAGCCAGAGAAGAGGGGCTTGTCGATCTTTGGGTCGGCATTGGGGGCTCAGGTCTGATGGAAGTGGCTCGATATTTTGGATTGGAGAAGGGATTTTGAATCGTTAATCACACCGATTGGCTTACTTCAGCCATACTCCACTTAGCATGGAGACCACCTGCGAGCACTACCTGTTGTTTTCTCTGTCTCTTTCTCTGTCTATTTACAATCATTAATTTTGCCTACTTTCTTCGTTGTCAATGCTTTCAACTAGCTTGTCTTTCTTTAAGTATCCTAAAATATCGCCCAGAAAGAGAGGGGGAAATAAGAACCGCATACTCATAGCTAAATTTTGATTCCAGTCATTGGCACTATGTTACAGGAAGAATACTTCATTCATACTGTCTCACTTTCACTCAATTTCAAGTGAGTGATTGACACATTCCCCATCACGTGCAGCCAGTTGCTCTGTTACTCAAGCACTGATCGACGAGAGTACCCTGCAACTTGACACCCCACACTTCGCAACTGACCGTACTCGTACCACACGCGTTCAAACAGTAGTTCGCAGCATTTGTGAGGTTCTGGACTTGGAAAGTGGCATTTGCGCTCCAACTGATACAACAGCCAGATTTGCAGATACTCCGAGGGCCGCCCGACTTCCACGTAACATTGCCCCTGACATTTTCAAGGAGTGTTCGACAAGCAGATTTGGTAGCCTTGTGTGCAGACGAACAAGCCTCTTTAACCCAGCGTTTGCTTTGGGGACTTGTATCCGACTTCAGATTCTCAAATGCCTCAATCAAGTATTCCGAGCTCGAAGTACTAGCGTAAAGCTTGATCAAAGTCGAGTCGACATCGCCGCTGGATTGGTCTGTAACAGCATACAAGAGCGCCTGCTGCATCTCCAAGCTCGAAGCATTGAAGTACGCGCTATGACCATTCATCGCGAAGGCACTGTACAGGAAGACAATATCTCCCCACTGGCTTTGCTCCGCCGCGACTTGTGCAAGGCCAGCGATAGTAGTGAGCGTCTCACGATTGTCCAAAGTGTAAATGCCCACGTCGTTCTGGATATGTGGAAGCTTATCTGCAGCAAAACCTGTAATATTGAGCCATACCTCGCCCACAGAAGAGCTATTGGTGGCCACGTTGCCGTATGCTAGGGCTGTGATGCTATCTTCGTAGCTGAGATGTTGACAATGCGCACTAGTGGCTAGCACAGCCATCGCCGAGGCGAAGCTATAGAGCTTCTTGAACATCATTTTCGAGACGAGTAGGTCGTAAAAGGCGTGTTTTAGAAGACAAGGAGAGTGTACTTGGAAGACAGGTGCTCTGCCAATGAGGGGATTGGCTGGCTTATCAAAAGATCAAAGGAGGGTTGTTCTCATCTGGATTTTCTTTTTTTCTTTGCCCCTGGGGATTTCTTCACATGAAGCTTATATACTTGGCCTTGGCCCCCAAACGTTCATTTCTACTAGGCTCTATAGGAGTGGATATATAGAGGGTTTTCGGTTGAGCTTATGCTAATAGGTGACAGTGGACATATTTTCTCGGTAGAACATGTCAACTTTTGGTCCGAAGTACTCCACTCAAGGAGAAACCTGCATGAAGAGGCGCTCTTAGCCGTCTTTCCAGAACAGCCTAACTTAGAGCAATTCGTCTCGGCCCGGGCATACGCCGAATGTGTCTCAGGCTTTGTTACTGTTCTCCTGCTCAAACAAGCACCCCAAAGGTATGTCATCTAGTATCGACAGTATCTGTTGGATGATATCGTGAAAGTTTTGCAAGCAACATGGTTGAGTGATTGAGATTGATGATAGATGGATTCGGTGTACTGGTCCCTGTGTAGTGAGGAGACAACATTTCTCCAAATGAAAGCCTCCAACAAGCTCAAGCGTTCGATGCTACCCTACGAGATGTTATTACATTAGGCAGCAGCGTAAAATGAGATATTGCACTGGGCCGGGCCGGACCTAACTAAAGTGTCAGCTCATCTTATTGGCAAGGCTCTGTTTTCAAGGGCAGTGATTAGGCAGCAAAGCAAGCTCAGAGTTTGTACGGAGTCCGGTTCCTTTAAAAAGTCTAGCGAAGTCTGAGATCCACTAGCCTGGAAAGACGGCGACAGCTAGGTTGAGTTACCGTTTAGCTTGTGTCTCGCGGCTCGGGAGCTTGAAAGTGTGGTTTTCACCGATGAAGATTCTTTTGTTTTCTTATCCTCAAGTGGGTGAATGGTCCGGTCACTGTGGAAATCCGCCTTCTCCCCCTCTTTTCCTCTTCCTATTTCCCCCCTACATCTTTCCTCGGACTAATCCACGGGCTCAAATGATAGTTGATGGATTTAGCCCAGGCATTGGATTATCTTTCCACTCCTTCGCTTCCGAGTTTCTCTGCGTTAGCGCCCTTCCAAATTGAATGGCCCCCGCTTACATTTCAAGATCTCCCAGTGTCTGGGACTCTTCACCTTTTTCGTTTGATCTCTCATGATCTCTCATCCTTTCACATCAGAAATTTTGCACTTTGATTAGATTTCAGAATGCTTCTCGCTTTGGGTCGGATCATTTTCGCAACTTTTCCCTCGCGAGCTTTAAACATTCTGATCAGCCAAGGGGGAGATGGAAATCTGCTAAGGGAAGTAGATGACTATTTCTCTTCAACGACCATACACAAAGATTTTACCTTTTCTTCGTTCGCTCTTATATTTAGCCATTTTTTTCTTTCTGGCTTAGTAAGCTTTTATCCTGGTATTCACCCCCTTGATCGAGTTAATTGATATTAATCAAACTTGAATTAGACTCGTTATCTTCTTGGCCATGCAGCAGCGACACTTCTGATCTTTGAAATCTCTCGAAAGGATGTAGTTTTCTCCGATCAAGAAGTGGGGAGTAGCAAGCGACCTCTTGACTTCCGATCCATCCCCAAGGCCATACGTCTAATATATGGTACACAGAGCCTTTACACACTCTCTCGTGGGCTCGTATTAGCTACTTTCTATCAAGTTGCCCATTATTTGATCAGAGCTTGCTTGGAAGGAGCATTACTCAGACACGAACTACTGAAACCCTTTGCATACGCTGGCTCCTCTGTCCTTTTATGCGAACTCCATTTGCTCTGGACTTGTGCTACCATCTCAGAATATCGACTTCGACTCCCCTCCTTCAGAAAATATGCCACTCAAAGACAATGGAGACAATTAGGAGCCGCCAGCTTCACATACGGCATATGTGAAGCCTTGATGCACCAGGTCCAGAGTCTAGTGCAACGGTCAATCATTTCCTCTGGGGACGAAGTGCAAATATCCACGAGCAAGCGTGCTAGTGCCGAGGTACTTGCAGTGATAATCATGCTTGCGATTCGAGTAGTAGGACTACAACCGGCGTTCATAAATCTCCTATTGACCGAAGCAAGCCTTTTGCCCGCGAATTTGGAGACAATTATTCCGTCTCCGACAAAGCAACGTGGATCAACGATTGCAGAGCTGCTAGGCGGAGGCCAAATGCCCCTGGGCCTCGCTAGTTTTAGTAGTGCATTGCATGCTTTTGGCGTTCCTCAGGTTTTGTGGCTTCTTGAGCTTCACCTGAAAAAGTGTCTTATCCAGATAACATTTGAGTTACTCACTCTCCCAGTTGTTATGCTTGGCATTCTCTAATTCTTATAATGATAATTTAATGATGAATTTTCAGGATGTATTGACCAACCGAATCCATGTAATGATACCTAGGGCTCATTTCTGGTCTATTGCTCTTGCTATATTTCCCAAAGTTCCCTGTCACGGATCGTTGAATTGCTGCTCAATGCCAACCTAGATAAGATCAATATACGAGATGAGGAAGGCTCAACGGTATTTCATTATGTGGTATCCTCCCGTACAGGCATGGCGACCATATTACCCCTTGTCAACTTGCTTTAGAATGCCAACATCAAACCACTTCCTTCCACATTGAACGCTTGCAATCATAAGGGCAAGTCAGCCATGGGGGAAGCAATTGTCAATCATAGGAAACGATTTGGTACTCCTAATGGGCAGCTCATGGAATTGCTTGAAACGTTACTGAGAAACGGAAGTGATGCATATATGTGTGATGATGAAGGTCAAAATCTTTTGCACAAGTTGGGGTCCGGTTTTGCCGACACTGATCTAGCAGGAGTTTCCACCTGGGACATGCTCTTGGAGTTCATTGATGTCAATAACGTCGATGCTGAAGGTCGTAACCCGCTTCAATTTCTAGTTCGGTGTTGGAATCGGACCAACGCTGTTCGCCAATTAAGCAATCGGGGAGCGGATGTCTCTATAGCCGATCACAAGGGAAACGTGCCTCTCCACATGGTGATGACCGGCAAACTTGTCGGGTGGTTGTGGGAGTATGATAACGTTACAACCATGACAATGGATTCTGAGGCCCCAGCAAGAGCCCAGGAGGAGATGATGCAAGCCTTAATGGATGCTGGGGCCTCGAGGGATCATGTAAATGCAGCTGGAAAGACATCCTCGCAGCTGCTCGACGGTCTGACAGAGAGGGAAAAGAAAGTATGGCAGAAAGAGAAAGCCCGGCGTGCTGAAGTTGAGGGTTGGGGACAAGGCTTCTAGAGGTGAGAAAGTGTCGTTTTGGTTTTTCGCACACTACATGCAGATGTTCAAACCTAAACCCAGACGTTGGCCTTCCAATTGAGCTATGTACACGATCACTTACCCCTTCCTATCCTCAACGAAGCTGAATATGCTTTCCTGTCTACATTGCGGCAGCTTATTGCAGGGAATAAACTGGTGTAATCAATTGTTGTTGGAAAAATTAGCCTTGGGAGTCTTCCCCATCACAACAAGTCATGTTTTGCTAGTACTGCTGCTAGCAATCTCTGAGTTATTTACTAATTCTCCTAGTCCATAGCCTTAGCCAACCAATAGAGCTCCATCTGTTCATTATATAGTGAGTTTCAAATGAATGATCCGGCAATTGGAGTGAACTAGGCTTATTTTAGAGATAGAGAAAGGGTTCAGTTTCCACGGACGTACAAGTGAAGCGCACAGAATGTATCAAAGATGTGGAATATAGCTAAAAAGCTTTAAGTCTAATCTAGTGCAGGGACATGGTAGCTATGGCCGCATGGCCTAGCGCATTTCACCTATTCCAGCGAGTCAATCTATGTCGATAAGCCATTATTTCCTCGTAGACGAGTTTCCCAGTCTTGAAGTATTTGACGGTCTTGATCAGTGATCTTTCTCCTGGATTTCCCCTCAAACAACCGGCCTGTCTCAATCAATTGCGACAGTCTCTTACCAAGAGCAGATCTATCATCCAAATCGTGACCGCCAAAAACAGCCAAGCAATACTGGGGGTAAAGTGGCTGAAGTAATTGTGCTGGGGTCTTGAGAATGACAGCACCGCATGGGAAGTCTCTTTTCCTTCCATCGAGAAACTCTCGTATCGTCTTATACGAGAATTCATTTGCAATCGATAATGTGCGTAACTCGCTGGACCGGCGCTCGCTGCAGCGGCGCAATGTGAGAAGCAAAGGGTTTCCAGGAGAACGGGACTCAATATTGCTCCAGAAACTAGACATATATTTCCCTTGGGATAATCATGTTCCCATTTACATTTGAGAACCGAAGAAGCTTCCGAAAAGTCATCCGGGCTTAAAAGACTTCTAGGCTTTCTATGCAAAGTGAGACGTAAATTTCTGGCAGCTGCTCTGATAGAATCTTGACCGGATCCTGTTGCTAAAGGAAGCACATCCTCCAGCCTGAGCGAGATAGAGAGCAAGCATGAAAAATCGGAAGGTGTACTCCCAATCATCTGCTCTAGGGCTCTGATTGCACCTCGAGATGCAGTGATGCATGAAATTTCTCGTACGGTATGGAAGTCACTTGGCCGAAAGTACGATTGGAACGAAATATGCGCAAATAATAACATACCACTGTGTAGCACCGGGTATTTATCGCTCTCACATGTCCACATCCTCTCCAATTCAGAGATGAAGCTTCGTGGAAGCAAAAGTGGCTGCTTTAGATTAAAGAGATCCAGAAGCTTGGTGGCATTGGCGGTGACGTTTTCACCCCCGGAGCGAGGTGATTTCAGGATTTCAGCTAATTCACGGCTCGACTCAGGTAGTGCCAGATGATGAAATGAGAAAAATACCTCGCTGGCATTTCGAATGATAGTCTCACGTTTCGCAGGCGAGGGCGTATAACCTTGGTCACACTTTTTGGTGCTAAGGTTGCTTGGTATAGTGGGGCTTCCCCTTGAAAGCAACCGAATGATATCTCCGTGAAGGATAGTCCAAGCCCAATCACATATTAGGTCAACAATCATGCATAATTGTAATGCATCATCACGCTTCTGAATGCCTCCATGCCAGAGATGGATGATTCGCTGTTCAATTATAAGTATCTCATCTGGTGGTCATGCCATGTTTTTGGACTTCTTACCGTTCCGTCTCCATTTGGTACGCAAGCATAAACTCTCCATACATCGCCAATATAAGCCAGGAACCAAACCAAGGCTTTCTCCGCTAGCTCCTTGCCCAATTCCCGAAGATTCTTTTGTATATCAACAAGCCTTTTGATAGGGAAGGCAGTCTGCTTCTCAACAGCACCAAAGCCGGGGCCATTAGCCTCTGATTTAGCCTCCAGAACAAGGAAAGGAAACTGGATATGATTGGCATCTTTCACAGGACAGAGTCCAGATCTGGATGCATTTGAAGAGCGGCATACAGCAATGGAGAACTTTGAAACCCGACAATATGATCCGGTTTTTTAATCCCTATCTCGGGAACAGATGGATCTGGGAGTATCGTTGAATCAGGGCCGCTCGCGAAAGTACGTTGGTGGGTAGAAGTCTAGTAAGAAGATCCATCCATCAGTTGTGATTTAACACCTCAGAATCGACGGTTTCTTGACCATACCTTGTGACCAGGTTGATCACTTTCAATACACTTGCATAGAGCCAAGGGTGATTTGTTTTCGTGGAACTCCACAGAATACATATCTACAACGTGGTACTCTGGTAGCCATAGCCGTAGTTTGCACTTTTCACTGCCCAGTGTATAGATTAGCATTATTTGAAGCAATATTCAGTAGCCTGTCACCTACCACTCCATCTTTTCCCCGAATACCTGACTTAAAAGAGGGAATTCTGTCTCGACCCTCCAGGCTTGCTCATTGATGTTGAATTTTCGACAATACTCCGCCGCGGCAAGAAGTTTGTCGGCCTTCTTTATAATTCTCGACTTTTGCGGGCTATGGGATTGAGGCCGTTCCACGTACTTGGTGTAAACAACATGTTTCATATCTTGAATGGCGGTAAACATTGCTAAATGATATTGAGGCCAAGTATTGGGAATTTCCGAACCTTCAAAACTAATTCTGTATTGACGGACGAACTGATCATCGGTTTTCGGGGACATCCGTCTCCGTTTACATGGACGGTTCATGATGAGATTGATACAAAGTAACAGAAAAGCAAAGAACTTTGGTCTAGCAAGTTGGGCTGATTCCTAGCTTATATTCTCAACTCAAAAATTTTCTAATACAAATAGGTTGCTATTTTTGAAGATGTCTCGTACCAAGTATGGCCTTTTACATAGCCGCCCATGAAATCTCCGGCGTCGCTAACAAGAAACAATGCTAGCCCCTGCAGCTTCTTCCCCCTGAGCGGGTAATGTGTGGTCACAAATAGTCGATGGCATGCATGCCTGAAGGCGATCGACACAAGCACGCCAGTATATGACTCAGTCTCTCTTATGTTGGCCCGTGTCATTGGTACCAGCATCTGATGATATTAGTATGGATAGCCAAAAATAAGAACTTATCATAGGCGCTTGGTTGTTATCTACGGGATATCGATTCATGATACCCCAAGGCCCGTTTCAAGTGCGTCTAGGATTAATCTAGGACAATCGTATTCCAATAAATCTCTTCGCTCGCAAAAGAATGGATATGGAGTAGGCCATTTCTAAACGTGGGTCATCCTAGGGGATTAAATGCGACCGTAGGAGACTTGAAATCTGATCAATTAGGGCGGTTCGTCCGGAAGCCCCGAGCGCTAGTTCCAGAGTGTCTTGAGCTAGCGCCCAAAGAGCCCCACTTTGTGCACTAACCAGCATAATATACTTTGTACGACTTAATCAGCCTTGAGACGAATACAGAGATCTGCTGCTTCCGGTGAGAAGTGATTATTCTGGCCAACTTCGTTTAATATCTGCTAAAGACAAGATCGCATCCTGTGATGTGGTCTCATTAGCGCAGCAATCCACCGCGCCGCTGCGGGCGCTATATCTGATCTAATACATCGCCAGTGTTTTGATTTGACGGAAAACTGCTATCCGGACCGTTAGCCCCTTTTCCCGTTGACCACTGATATGGTCTTTACTTTTTAATCCTGTGGGGCACGACCCACCTCGCCCCATATTGTTGCGTCGTATTTAGATACGGTAGATGTTCTGCCTTGCACAACTCCATGTCCACTTCAATAACCCACCGCGCTTCACACGTAAGCCACTAAAATTACCCCCTTGTAGTCAAGTCATATAGTTGACGAGTCTCTGGCTTGAGCTTCAAAGAATTTCTGCTATACCTGTATAAATTGCGATTCGTGATATGGAAACAAAAGCTGTCAGACATTAGGGGACAACGAGCTGAGATTATTTAATAAAGCCAGAAAGTGGGTCGCCAGAAAAAGCAGTCGGTGATCAGTTCATGTTCCCTGACGTTTGCCTCGTGGAAATCTGCTTATACTTGGAATCCGATTGGTTCATGAGAGATCGATCTGCTTCTGCCTAAGAACGTTATTGGTCAATCAGCGATTAGTCTGCTTACCTCCCGAGCGTTACATATAATTAAAGCAAACACCGGTAGCTCCACCTCAGACCCACAAGGGGAACGCCTGAACTATGTCCGACCACATTGTACCGACCCTGTAAAATAATAGGTTATCCTGCAATCGGGTCGTCACCCAGGCTCATAAGTCTTCATAGCTGCGATACTGAACAAATGCTATTTAACCTATAAATTGGTCATTTCGAAGGCCTTACCTAAAATTGAACCATACTCGAAATATCCATAGATATACGTATATGATCTAAAAACATCTTGTATAAAGTTGTATTTTGCATGGGATTCTCAATAAAGTACAGTAAAATTTTCTATAAGGACCTGTTCATTTACAAAATATAGCGGGGTCCTGCTAGTAGTACAAGATGAGTCTTAGTTAGGATAATGTAGTATAATTGGTAAAAGTCCCTCAAGAAGGACCCTGACGTGTACCAATTTGTGTAATCTACAGCATGTGCTGTCTATGTGTGATTCTGGAATGAATTTATCCAAGAATAGTATGCGAGGTAATTAATTTGTTGCTCAAGATCCAATGAGTCGTCAGCCGTGTCTTGCACTGGAAACTGGTGGGCAAAAACCGTCGAGGATCCATATGCCAGGGAAGAGTGTCTCAATGCTTGAAGCGCCCCCCGCTCAAAGGATGAACGTTTTCTTTTCAGGTCTCGAGGCGACGAAGATGGGCTTTGCGATTCGAATCCAGGGCTCATGAGACCATTTTGCTCTATATGGCTCTGTTCAGTAGCATGGGGACCCGTGGTCAATTTCAGCGAAATCATTTCTCCCTCTGGTCGGCTACATTGGGCCAAATTTTGGGTGACATGTTCGTATGGCTGCTTTTGACGGGCTGGAGAATCCCGATTCGCTTTTTGATCTTGAACGTTGCATTTTTTTGAGTCGGGCAGGTTTGCTCGTGAGACAGAGACTTCTGCACTCCCATCTGTAACTTTTGATGCATTTGATTAGACTAGCACGCAAATTCCCTTTTTAAGGACTTACTTTCACCTGCATCTAGCTTCTCCTCTTGCTCTCTGACGCGATAAAGCTCGTCCAATAGTTGCAGTCGTTCAGGAGGAACAATTTGCCTTTTCACGCATTCTTGTGCGTGCTTCAGCCTTTCTGCCGTGATGCCATGACTGGCGCGCAAGTCGCACAGTATGTGGACCAGGAGTTCTATGCGTTCTAGGTGGAGGCTTAGTTGGCGTAGTAAAAAGAGAGAAAGAGAGCTTTTTGACCAACCATTCTTGAGGAGATGATCAGGTTCTCGGTGGCTCACCCCGATAGGCCACCATGGCGGCTTAGTCTCTTCGGGACTGAATTGTTGCATTTCACCCGCCACAGGCTTCCTTCCATTGTAGGGATACTGTGCTTGTTTGCGTGGCTCGACGACTTTCACATAGACTTTTGCGATCACTCGACAATTCGTTTGTTGTAGGTTTTGGAAAACCTTTTCGTAGTATCGTCGAAGAACTATCTTGTCTTTAACGGATACCGTGGTCATTTGAGCACACCAATTGTGTTTCTCAATCCGTGGAATCTGTTTCCGTTGTGAATCTGCCTTTGATCTGGCTTCTGTTTGGCTTGTGAATGCGGAGTTTGATGGGGGCGACACAACAGCGCTTGGGTAATATTGTAGTCTTAGGTCCTGCTCGGTCCCAACCAGTCTCGGGCCATGCGCAGCTTGGCTTACATTAGAGTAGGGATCGAGCTGCCCGGATTCCAGTGCTTGCGTAGATGGCCAACCTTGATTTGATTGCGCGACCGCTTTCATAAACTCCGTGATAAGATCTGCAGACAGAATAGTCTCGGTACTGTCAGCGATGGAAGGGGATATCTGCTGGCGAAGGTTTCCCTCATGGTCGATAAATATGAGGGCAAAATGTCCGTTCAGTTGGGCATTTTGTTGGAATAGTTGCGACATGATGCTATTCACCTTCCAGTCGGACTAGCTTTGATGTGTTGACGGAAAAGACATTGAACGGCAACTCAATCGACTTGTGCAATCAAATTTGACGATCAAATTGGAACATTAGCATCAACTTAAGCACTTTCCTAATTGATCAACCAAATTACATGCAATATCGGGATTTGCCTTTGTTAGCCACTGAACTAGTTAGATCGAGAATCATGATCGATCAATTATGCCTAAAAGTCTTGGTGGGGCTCGGCATGTATGGGCTCGCACAACTAGCCATTTATGGACTAGCGTGCTTTTGTTCAGGCAAGGGACTTGTCCATATTTGGCTTTCAACGTTGACTCCTGGTTCTTTACTGGATTTTTCTTAGCCGAGTAAGTGGGGCTGTGTCGTCGTTCTTAGCCGAGTATAGAATCATATACAGTGGAAGTAGAGGCCTCTGCAGCCAAGGTTCATGCCGGATTCCAATTCCGCCATGAGATACCGCAAATCGTGCCGAAACTTACTAATGAGCCAGAGTCATTGGGGTGAACATGTGTGCCATGATTTCCTCCTTGCAGCCAGTAGAATAGGACAGCGGTCTACTGAAATAATGGGAGTCGCATGAAGCTAAAGCAGAAACCAAGCCGACTTAACTACGCCTGAATGCATTCGCCCATGATGTCTAGCTTAATGAATCCTAGCTTAGTGAATCCAAGAATGGCTAAAACCTGTTTTAGGACCTTTTGTTTCTTTGATCCTCCTCTGGATGGAAATACTCGTTGTCATTAAAGTTAGCATAGAAGACACGCATATGTCTTATCTGTAGATCGTTAAGTCAACTGCAGATGATGACGGTGTTACTTACAGTGGCGTCTTTTTAGTTTTCATCCCTCCATTGTTGGCAATTTGATTTTTCTGCTGCGCCAAGACTTATTCTGCCACATTGGAACTTTTTGAAATTGCGTGAACACTTCATATGCTATCTCTGTAATTCTTTGAAGAAAATCAAGGCTATCTAAAGACCCCATTGTCATGGATAGCATTGAAGAGAATTCCAAGCTGGTCGGTATATAAAAGCTATGCGCCAAGATGTAGAAGATAGGGCGGTGTCCGACTTCCAAGGTTGATGAGGCGGTGCTTTGGGCGGTAGAAATAGGGGTGGAAGTTAACAAGGCGTCACTGCAAATGATTATATAACAATACCCTAGCCCAACGCACCTGACGTCAAATTTTGTGAAACCAACCTTAATAATATTTGAAGAAACCTTAAGTGCTCCTTAGTATCCCAGCCCCGACAACCCAAACGAGCAAATCGCCGAGTTGCCAAGTGGAACTCTAGCATGCGTCGGCAAGTTGCGCTAGCGTGAGATTATTCAACAATACAAATTGCAGCTAAAAGATGGTTGGGCTCCCATACACATCTTTAGGCTGTGCAAATTGCAGGAAACGCAAAATCAAGGTACGTAGCGCCCTATGAACTGGGCGTTTTTCTCCAACATACTGAGCATATTTATTGTTATGTTCAGTGCGATCTAAATAGGCCAGAGTGTAATAGATGCACGAGCAAAGGCGACTCTTGCCTGGGTTATGATAAGGATCGAAATATCCTTCACCATAGATTGACTTCTCAATACACGCCGAGTGGCCAGGCCAAACGACCGGTCCGCCAGCTTGTTGGGCATATCAATCCTCTTGGATTACCGCCAGTGTTCAGCATGAGCGCTGAAGTTCGTACACAATTATATTCAACATTCATGGAAACTTTTTTCGCGCCTTGTAATGTTACAAATGGCAAAGACGACAGTCTTTACTTTTTGTTGGCTCATTTCCCTATACTGGCTGGTGAGTCAGAACTATTCGATCAATCTGTCATCGCACTAGCATCGGCGTTTCTGGGAAAGAAGAACGGTGATGGAGTGTTGGCACGCCGAGGTCTCGAGATCTACAGCAGCGCGCTTAATGTGATGACAAGGGCACTCCGACAGAAAGGCCCCCCAACATCAAATTTGCTTTACGCTACTATTCTTCTTCACACATATGAAGTATGTTTCTTTATTAACTGCGCAGAGCCTCCTGACTAACGGAAGTGGTAGACTGTATATGGCAACACGAACGCCTTACACAATTGCTTTGTCCATATACAAGGAGCGAACGCCATTTTGAAACATCATAATTTCAAAACAGATGATACTCAAACTCTCACCAAGGTAATGTTGACCAGGCAGAAGTGGGCAGCGGTAAGTCAGAAAGGCATTCTATGAGATGTATTGTGATTGATTATTTCTAGGCGTTTTTTATTTTAAACTCAAAAAACGCATCAATATCAGATATTGAATGCCTTGCCCTCGAACAGGACGACAGCCCCGTGGACAAGCTTTTCGAAATTATTGCGCAGCTCGTCTTTCTACAAAGAAATCTTGAAAGTGGAGCCAGACTACATGGCCTACATAGAGAGCGGGCCTGTGAAACATTGCTACGACGGTGTTCGCAACTACAAGAGACACTTCATACGGACTGGCTTAGTGGGGCAGCTGAAGTACTTGAGGGGGAACCTTGTCCCTTTCCAGAAGATGGACCATCACACGACCATGCCCTCTTACCCTTAGATGCTGCGCTCACCCCATATACATTCAGGTCCCTCAACAGCGCTAAAACATACCTTCTGTTCTGGGTCGCTTCGCTGAAGATATCTCAGATGATATATCGAGCCGAGAAGCTACTTCACCGAAACTCGAACCCTACACATATGCTTTTCTACGCTGGTGAAATTTGCCGATCTATGGCATATTGCATGCAGCCCAAAGTACGGCTCTCCGCAGATCATGCCGCTCTATTTGCAATATCACAGGCCTCCAAGTGCTACATTGCTTGTGGAGCAATAGATCTGTTTACCTGGTGCCAGGGTATTTACCGTTTTATTAATAGACAGGGATTTGACGTTGCCTCTTGCGTGGGCGATGCAGATTGGGCACTGTGGTTTGCGGCCCAGAGTCAAAAAATAGCCTCTGCACTTTGATGGAAAGTGCCTGGGCGGACGATAGCGCCACACCTAATGGCTGATATGAAAAGCCGACATCGACCGGATGTGAATATGATTCCCTAGAAATTTACCTTGTTTCCTTATTTCCCTGGTGGCGCTAACATACCATAGGAACTACCATTTAACACATCACATTATCTCTGTTCTGACAAAGAGACGCTGAACACTGGTGTTGTTTTTGAGTCCTTGGAAGGGGGAAAGCCTTCTGGGAACCCAGTTCTGTATTTAGTACTGGAGGGGATTTTGAACAATGTATCTCTATAGACCGAATTAGGTATCCTTGCCCTACTTGACATGCTGGCCATATCAGTAGATGAGCTCGGCCAAAGACAATTCAAGCCTGTTCACAGCAAAACAATCACTTGTCATATTGGTCACTCTTTGATGTATTCTAAAATGGTCTGAAACTTCTCTAATGAATTTTATCCTAGTATACAAATAACCTTGGGATGTCACAAAACGGCTATGGGACTTATACAAGCTCATTCTCCTATTATCTACCTTGACAGCAAGCTTCATATCAGAACTCTCTCCACAATTTCCTCTTTTAGGATAGAATCTCATTATGTATATCGCGAATTATTATTGCACGGGGTAATCTCTCGAATGTGAGTATAGATTCCCGAGAGTATTCAACTGCGCAAAGAATACACTGAGCCTGCTCATACAGGAGCGAACATGATCAATCGAACCGCTTTGTCTCCTATTATCAAAAAAAACATGGGTTGATATTTACATTAAAACCACATAGTGGTCTGCAGCCATAGATGAAGTAGATTTAAAACAAAAAAGATTCTTCCATTAATATTATGAGTTAGGCCACTGGTGTTTGCGCAAAGATTTATACGGTCTTTGCATCTTGATCTGCTCGCGAGTAAACCAGTTGCCATGAAATCCATACGGGACCCTCTGCGGAAGGAAGATCCTTGCCACCACAGTTCTCATATCAAGTGCTTCAATGATCCATAGTTCGCTTCTAGAGTCTTCCAGAGCTCTTCCATTCTTATCCAACTGGCCTTCATCAAACATGACAGTCAAAATATAACCATCGTCTTCAGACTGAGCTTTACTTCGAGGAACGAAACACGGCTCTTGGGCACACCACCCTTCCGGGGCTTGGAACACCTTGATACAATCTTCGGTATCCTCACTTGATAATATTTCGTCAATGAGTCTCTCATCAACACAACCATCAACTTCCTTTGTTCTTTTCTCGATTCCCTGGCGAATCAAGGTTTCAATATCCATTTTGACAAGGCAATCGATCTTCATCGGTTCGCCTGTATTTGATCCATACATTTTATTCTTCGAAGAGCACCCATATACAAACTTCGGTTTATCCGTGGAGGGTGAAACGACTGGCATCTCAAAAGGGATAGCAGACAGCGCCCATTGGTGGGTAATGTGGTTTTGGGTGTGGTCCGACAGTAGGAACTTGTAGTAGTATAGTCGGCTGTCACTTCCCTGTCGTTTGGAGGACGGAACCGAACCTGTATTCATGGAGGCCATGGAATATAGCATATCGGCACTAGTGTAGCGACATGCGACCATGTTTACTGCTTCTACTTCGCCGTCTCTCGCAGACTTTGTAACTTCGTCCCAAGTGGTGGCAGTATGGAAAATAAAGCAGGCCTCTGTTTCAAACCATCGAATAAGAGCAGGGTCATGGCGGGGGAGAATGCCAAATCGCGACGGCGAATTTTGATCGTAATGCACTATAGGTCTCCCCCTCAGAATATTGATGGGATCTAACGACATTGGCAGATCCATAATAACTGTATGTTTGAGCGACACGCCAAAATCGTGCATCAGTTTCGGATTTGATATGCCTGAGATTGCGGCATTCAATCCCGAATTTTGGGACTTTTCTCCCTCTCCGCCAGGAATGACAGAATACCAGACAAAAGGAGGAAGAAAAGATGACTGAAATGATATAAAATCCCCAGTGATTCGGTCGATATATGGCTGTTCTTCATATGAGCGATTGCATCTGATTGCAAAGCGTGTTTAAATACTGACATGCGCGGTAGTCCAATCCTTCAAAAACCCAAGTAGTCCATTGCGACCGAGTAAATCTTTGCCGGAATCAAGAGTGGTATCCCCATAGTTGGTTGAGCTTCCATTGTACCATTCGACGGTCTCCAAACTTGGCAACTGCACCCTCATCGGCGGTCCAGTCTGACAAGTCGCGAGTGTCCTCTTGTCATGGTACACAATCGCCGTGTTCGCGACGCTGATTTTGCGCACTGGTGCACCGTGGCCGTTCAAGTGAGACCAAAGAATGAGAATCAGAAACCGGCAAAGTTGGTAGAGCGTTGATAGTGTAGAGAGTGTAGAAGTCAATGGGTTGATTAGGGCCGCCATACTTGGCAGTATCGGTGAACGCGCAAACGGCATTGACTTTGCAGCAAGATAGACATCGGTTAAGATGTACTTATTGACAAAGCAGGGTTCAATCTTCCCAAGCTCAGTTGTTCGAAATAAAACACCAGCGAGCATGCCATCACCATCAAACATATGCACTCGGCCAGCGAGGCCGTCCCCGAAGCTCGGATTCCCACCATTCCGAACATACTGGCCACCATGGAGCTCAACGGGAATGGTCCCATAGTATGTGCATGGCTCTAGGTTGCGTTGACGTTGAATTGGGGCAAAATTACCTTTCAGACTTCCTTCACTTTCTAAGCTTGTCTTCCAAGCCATTTCTAGAAATGGGCTCTTAGACTGGCTGATGAGACTGGCGCACCTGGACGTGTTTGTCACTACTTCTCTGGGCCCAGAGCAATTTCAGCTGACTCTCTACGCCAAGGCAGCTGCCGGCCAAACCGGATTTGGCCACGTGGTACTAAGCGTAAAGTAACTCTGCGCACGTCTTCATTGCCCGTGTTAGGGTAATGTGTAGGCCATTGAAGCAGTTGGCGGGAGTGATGACGTCACTTCCATGAGCACACTATGAACAAAAAAAATTACCGCTTAGAAATCCGGGAAGCCGTTGATTTAGATTGCAAAATGATCGGTGAGGTTTTCCCCCAGTACTTGCTTATCATTGGTCAATCGTGGAATCGATGACATGCATTCGATGCGCATTATGGGGGCGGGAACCTGGAACGTTGGTTGCACGTTGCAGCCCAAGTGAAGAATACGAAAACGAGTAGGGCCATTATTCAGTCGTAAAAGCCACGTTATGTTTAGGCGTAAGCAAATGGGATCCTAATTTATCTCAAAATTTCGAATCCAGATCGGGAAACGCATCGGTATACATCCGAAATTTACACGTATTGAACTTACTATGCTTATGCGCGTGACAGCCTATACTTCTTGCCGGGAACTTGGATTGCGTCCAGTGAGATTCACTTAAGGGAGCCATGGATCTCCGGAGCATCTAGAGGAGAAATAGGTTGAACATAGATGAGCATGGAGGCCATAAAGAAGAAGAATAAAAGGGTGGTTGTAATTGGTACGGAGTCAGACGTCCCAGCTCCGATATGCCTATCAAGCTGACATGAACATTATTCCAGGAGCTGGAGTTGGAGGTGTCGCAACAGCCGCTCGACTCGCCAAAGCTGGATTACAAGTCTCACTCTATGAGAAAAACGACTATTACGGTGGGAAATGCAGCAATATTGTTCACAATGGCTTCGTAAGGTTTGAAAGCCTGCAGTTGAAGACTGTCACTGACTTTTATCTCAGCGCTTTGATCGTGGACCGTCAATTATGCTGATGCCCGAAATATTCGAGGAAACCTTTCAGCATCTGGGCAGCTCCATGTCCTTAGAAGAAATGCAGCTTCTCAAATGCGAGCCCAACTGCAAGGTCTGGTTCGAGGATGGAAAAAGCTTCGCGACTTCCACTGATATTGCGCACATGAAACGCGAAATTGAGAAAATTGAAGGACCAAGCGGGTTCACGCGTTATATTGAATATCTCAAAGAGTGCCAGCAGCATTATCAGCAGAGTGTGATTCATGTGTTGAAAAAGGACTTCCCAGGCTTTTCTTCGCTTCTACGGCCCGCATTCTTGCCTTACTTATTTCAATTGCATCCCTTTCACACTGTTTGGCAAAGGGTCTCCAGGTTTTTCAGATCCCATCAGCTCCGTCAAGTCTTGAGCCTTGGAAGCATGTACCTTGGAATGTCTCCTTTTGAGGTCCCGGGTACTTACACACTCCTCCAATATGCTGAGTTGGTCGGCGGGGTTTGGTATCCTGTAGGTGGATTCTATCAAGTAAGTATCTGTCCATATCTGTTGAGGGCCAAGCTAAGATTCAAAGGTGGTTGAAAAATTAGTTCAGGTTGGCACAAGGCTTGGTGTCACGTATCATCTTTCGCAGCCAGTGGAAACAGTGACTGTGTCTCGCGGGAAGGCTTCGGGTGTCTCTCTCGGGTTGAACAGATTGGTTGAAGCCGATGCTGTTGTCATCAACGCTGATTTGATATACGCCTTCAAAACGCTCCTCCCACCAGGTCCATTAACCTCGGATGTACTAAGTCGTGGCAAGAACATGTCTTGCAGCAGTGTTTCCTTTTACTGGTCGCTTTCCAAGACCTTCCCCCAATTGGAGACCCACAACATGTTCGTCGAAGGTTCGTATGGACAGCGATCTACGCATGTCTATATGAAGCGCCAATCGCCGATGAAATCTTCTTTTTATATCCACGTTCCCTCGAGGATAGACCCTACAGCTGCACCAGCAGGGAAGGATGCGGTCATTGTTCTCGTTTTAGTCGAGAATTTAGGAGATGCAGATCCCTGTCACGAAGGGTTCGATGAATCAGACTTGGTGTCCTATGCGCGTGAACATGTGATCTCTTCTATTGAGAAGCGAACAGGGGCCGTTGGGTTCAACAAGCTTATTGAAAATGAGAGTGTGAACACACCATCGACATGGCAAGAATCATTCAACTCCGAGAAAGGCGGAATATTTGGCCTCGATCACAGTTTTTTCAACATTTTGTCTTTTCGACCCAAGATTAAACATGATAGTGTTGCTGGTGTATATTTCGTTGGCGCCAGTACACATCCTGGAGCTGGAGTTCCGACCTGCCTTGCGGGTGCAAGGCTCACAGCGGAGCGAGTCCTGAACGATCTGGAGGTTTCTATTCCCTGGGAAACTTCCACTTCCAATCCTCAAAAAAGGCATGATTGCTCACAATCCTTCACACTGGGTCTGTTCTCCCAGTTGCTATGGAAGTGGGTCTTATTCTTCATATCCGTTTCCATGGTCATCGGACTAGCTTTGGCGGATAACCCCTAGCGTTGTCTATGATATCTTACTTCTGTGTTTAAACCTCAGTACAAAATAGATCGGATACTTTCTTTACGAATCTTCCGGGTTGCTTGGTCAACACTTGGTGCTTGATCGATCGATCGATCGATCGACCGGGAACAGCGGGCGCAAACCAGCGTTGAAATACAGTTTCCCTGATTTACCTGCATCAATAGCTGCCCGATCGCTTTGTGTCACCAACCTTGGAAGGTGTCAGGAAAAAAAACCCATTACATGTTCATTACATTTTGATATCTTTAATTTGAATAAATTACACTGCGTCTTTGCGAGTTTGGGGGTGTCCCGCTAAGCCCGAGATACGTGCGAGGGCAATTTATCGAGTTCGTCACTGAAGATATCGCCCAAACTCTTCGCGCTCTAGCCCATCTTTCCAACCAGATTAGACAAAAGAGACATTAATCGCTTGAGCTAAAGCGATTTATTTGCTTCTGGTTTCTGGCGATAGTACATTACTTTGGGTATTCTTGGTTACACGCGGCATTCCGCAGCGGAAAACGTGAGGGTAACGCTTCACCCTAGCTGGAGTTACATTCCAAGTTTCCACAAATCAAGGGCTTTCAATACAGCTTTTGACGTAAGATATCTATCTTCTTCCCGTAATCCGGATCGATTCCTTACTGAGCCAATAAACTGATTGGACCTCGCATTTATAGGGAGAGGCTGAACATTTTTCTCTTCCCACTCCTACACTGACTTCGAATACCCGTGTTGGGTCGGCAAATGTTTCTTTAAGGCACCTCACAACCAGCATTTGGCTCAATGGGGCTTGATTACTGCCTGGTGTATGTCAAGCGAAATACTTGATGGGATTTCTGAATTTGAACTGAACATTTTGTAGCCATTTGACTTGGACTCTCCCTCCCGCGGCCCTGCTTACAGCAGCCTATTGGCCGTTCTTCTCACGACTGGACATTGCCAGAATATCAACTTTAAGCAGTGTAAATATGATCTTCCTGCTATTTAAATTGCTACTGACATTATTAGATTGCGGTTTTCTGCACCATACCATGGGACTCGTATTTGATTCGCAATCGTATCTGGTCTTATCCAGCTGATGCGATTGTTGGATACACATTATTCGACATTCCATTGGAGGAAATATTCTTTTTCATAATTCAGACATACCTCACGAGCTTGCTTTATATTATCCTAACTAAAGATCTGGTGCTTTCGGCATATCTGCTGCGAAAGAAGGACGATTTCACCAAAATCCTTGGCTCCGCAGCTTTGATGGCGGCAACCGGCTTTGGCATTATGTGCATGCTGCGTGAGGACAACCTGAAATATCTCAGCTTAATCCTAGTGTGGGCTCTTCCGGTGTTGATCTTCCAATGGTGAGGCTGCGTCAACTGCTAGAATCCAGTGGAAATGCTTACTAGGCTGATCGCTAGGCATCTGTGCGGAAACTTTTTTGCTGCATTGCCAAAGAAACCTATCTTGATTTCAATATTCCTGCCAACTTTATACCTATGGATCGTTGACTTTTTCTCGCTCCAACGTGGCACATGGGTCATTGAACGTGGAACAAAATTGGATATACGCCTTGGGGCAACACTGGACCTAGAGTAAGTCAATATCTGGTTTTGTGTCAGAGAAGCTGCTAACAATTACCCTTACTATTGAAAGAGAGGCGCTGTTTTTTCTCATGACTAACATTATGATTGTCTTTGGTATAATAACCATGGACCATGCTCTGGCGATAGCTGAGTATGATGTGATAATCAGCAATTCGGCTGAGAGACATCGACCTTCATTTTTTGGGGTCTTCTGCTCATACATGACCGGCCAACGAAGGAGTTTCGATACTAGGTTTCTCAAAGGGTTAAATGCGGCGATTGAAAAGCTGTCCCAAAAGAGCCAAAACATGTATTTGGGCAGCGCGATGTTCAACGATAGGCTTCGCGTTGACTTGATCATGCTGTATGATGATTTAACTCTATCCCAATTTATGATTGCCAAGCACTGACTAGGTCATAGGTACTCTTTTTGTCGGGTGATAGATGACCTGGTCGACGAAGCCCCAGATCGTGAAACAGCGCAGTCGAACATTAAGGAAGCATCTCAAGTTTTAAACTGGTGCTTTTCGACTAAGCGACCTTCAGAGCCACTTTATGGGTATGTTGATGTTGAAGGGAGCCCTGAGCATACAAATGATCTATCGCCTTTGCTTTCCTCTATAGCACTTCTGCCCACTTCTCGTCTCACTTTGAAACCCCTACTGGAGCTTTTGTCTGGCTTCGAAATGGATCTTGGATTTTCTGCTGAATATCAGGAATTTCCAATCGCAACCGAATCGGACTTGGAAATATATGCCCACCGTGTTGCCGGTACGGTCGCATCGTCTCTTCTTGAATTGGTCTTCCAAAACTACGAAATTGGCGAAATGAAACATGACCGAGATCAACAAGCCAGAATAATCAACTCTGGGCAACACATGGGGCGAGCTTTACAGTACGTCAATATTGCGCGGGACATCAAACGAGATGCTGCAATCAGCCGAGTGTATATCCCGTCTTCATGGCTGGCAGAGGAAGGGATCACTCCGAGCGATGTGCTAGCGAATCCATATGATGACAGGCTTGCTATCTTCGAAAATCGCATGTTGTGCAAAGCGAATGATGCATATAAGCAGAGCGTGAGAGCAATTGATGAACTACCTAAGGAGGTACGCGGGCCTATCAAAACGACCGTTGAGAGCTACATGATTATTGGAGAGATGGTTCGCAAGAGGCGCCAGGCCGGGATTAAGGAGGAAGGAAAGTTGAAAGTACCTTTGTGGCGGAGGCTGAGGCTAGCGTGGCGGGAAATGAATGTAAGCCATTAGTTAGGGTTACTACTGAACTTTAACATATTAAGTCAGATAAGAAGATGCTGTCCGAAAACTCCGACTGCGTCATTGAATATATGAAGTTAGAAGACAATGAAAACTTGAGTGACTGTTCTGGAGGGAATGAGGAAATCCCAAAAAGCACCAGCAGCTATTGCCTGCGCAGTTAGAGAACAAAAGAATATTGATTCTATTTAAACCAAGGAAGGGAAACATATAAAAATAATAATCACCGAGGCCTATTTCAAAAATTTCCAGAATTAAGAATGAGGTGAGGAATTCACTCCTTGCTTGCCGGGGGTTGGCGATCAGGCCACATTCGATTTCCGTCTCGAGCTGCAAGAGGATAGCCCGATCCTTTGAGTCTGGATGCACGCACGGTTGGTAATACACGCCCTCGGGTTTTACCCTGCGCAGCGATCGAGAGAAGGATTTGGAATACCGTACACTGCCTAGATCGGGATATGTGGGTCCCGGTATGGACACATCAGTCATTACAATCGATGACGGAACTTGTCACCCGGCAAGGTCAAAGTCTAAGCCTGATTTGAGTCATACCTCCTGCTTTGTTGATATTACAGAGTTGGGAATTGAATATTGTCTCTTCACAACAAGATGGATGCCGAACCCCTAAGCGCTATTGTTGTGGGTGAGTAGAATGATATTGTCTCTTCGAACATTCACTCACACATTCCAGGGGCTGGAGCTGGCGGAATCGCGACGGCTGCTCGCCTAGCGAAAGCCGGATACAAGGTCACGGTCGTTGAAAAGAATAGCTTTGTTGGAGGTCGATGCTCTCTCGTTCATCATGGAGAATATGTGTGTAATGGAGATTTATCTTCTAGTGATGCATTGTCCTGACCAAATTCCAGAGATTCGATCAAGGGCCATCCCTCTTGCTGATGCCAGAGGTATTTTACCAGACCTTCAAGGACCTTGGTACATCGCCTGAAGATGAGGATTTACGATTGCTGAAATGTGAACCTAATTATCGTATTTGGTTCTCGGACCATGATTACTTCGAAGCGTCGACAGACATTTGCAAAATGAAGCCTCAAATAGAACGCTATGAGGGTAAAGACGGCTTGCAAAATTTCTTCCGATTTATGAAAGAGTCGGGTCAGCATTATGATCTTTCTATGGATCACGTCTTATCAAAGGACTTTCCTAACCTGTTGGCCATGCTTCGCCCGCAACTTCTTTGGTCGCTACCGTCCTTGCATCCATTTGAGAGCATGTGGAGCCGTATAAAGAGGCACTTCAAGTCAGACAAGCTTCGGCGTGCCTTCACCTTTGCCAGCATGTATCTTGGCATGAATCCTTTCGAAGCTCCTGGAACATATTCTCTGCTTCAGTACACCGAGTTAGCCCACGGCATTCTATACCCCGAGGGGGGATTTGTCAAGGTAAGCACTTACCTAAGTGTGCCCAATTTCCTGACCACTTACCCATTCCTATAGGTGCTCGAAGGGGTAGCCAATATCGGAAGACGGCTTGGTGTGGAGTATCGCTTGGATACGGAAGTTGAATCGATCATTGCTCCAGACAGCAAAGCTCAAGGGATTCGACTCACGTCAGGTGAAGAGCTTTTCGCCGACGTCGTCGTCATCAATGCAGACCTTGTCTATGCATATAACAATCTTCTGCCCCCCAACTCTTATTCTCGAAGCTTGACCAAGCGCCCTGCATCTTGCAGCAGCATCTCATTCTTCTGGTCTTTCGACAGAATCATCCCGGAGTTGCAAGTGCACAACGTTTTTCTAGCAGAAGAATACAAGGAGAGTTTCGATGCGATCTTCCACCGGCACCAGCTACCCGAAGAGCCATCTTTCTACGTCAATGTTCCAAGTCGGATTGATCCTACTGCAGCGCCCAAGGGGAAAGATGCAGTTGTGGTATTAGTACCGGTTGGGCACCTTACGGATGACCCATCGAATCCTCAAGACTGGGATTTCTTGATAAAACATGCCCGAGAGGTCGTACTCAAGACAATTGAATCTCGAACGGGGGCTTCAAACCTGGCAGACAGCATAATTCAGGAGTCAATTGAGACCCCTCTGAGCTGGAAGGTGAAGTTCAACCTCGACCGCGGTGCGATCCTTGGTCTTTCGCATTCGTTCTTCAATGTTTTGAGCTTCAGGCCTAAAATCAGACACTTTGGTATTCAGGGGTTGTACTTTGTAGGTGCAAGTACACATCCTGGGGCAGGCGTTCCAGTGGCTCTTTCCAGTGCCAAGGTTGTGACTGACAATATACTGGCGGATTTCTCAAGGAGGAAGAGGCTGCGGGAGTCTAATCTTTTCAAAGTGCTTCTGTTCTTATTGCCATTGGTACTTATAGGGCTTTTTTATATAGCTTGATGATGAACGATAGCGTTTTATATAATTGAACATGTTTGAGCTTGTTTAAGAAGTGGTTTTACGTAAAGTATTCGACCTATTTAAAAAGGCCCTTAGATCATAGGTGCGATTCGAAGTTATCATGATTTTGCCGACATAGCAAGTTGTCGGAAGACAATGTCGTGTAGCGCTAGGTTTGACGGTACGAAATGACATAAACTCCGAACTCTTCTTCATTGTGACATAATTTTATGATTAGAAAGCCCTCTTTGGACACTCAGAGATTTTCAGCAATCCAAATTGGGTCATCGTTCGTTGTTTTTGTAAGTCCAAAAACATGATGTTCCAAAACAGGTCTGACTGCAGCTCTCAAAATTCAGCACGGTGTGTGCCCCGATGTCTTAATGTGAGCCACCTGTACCGCGTGGCGACCTTGCAGTTCTCGTTCCTAATGGAGAGAGTCCATTCGCTCCTCCCCGCATCGCTTGGCGTTCATCATTAGAGATAAGAGAGCCATCTTTATTTGGTGACAAGTATCGAAACATAAGATAAGTCCCTCCGCAGACTCCAAAAGTGCTGAAAGCAACTGGATAAACGTTCCTGCGCCGCGTATTAGTAGGTAGCTATATTTGGCATGGATCGAATGGTGAAATTCATTTCCAATATACCTTAACATCATCATTTCTTGCGGAAAACTTCCCTGCAAATAGTTGACGCGGATTATAGCGGGCGTCGTAGGGCTTATATTGGGGCTCTCTGGTTAAATCTGGTAGGTGGAAGTCAGATCGAGATATTCATTTCATTTCTAAACATTTTACTTTGACCAGGGGCCGATACAGTTATATGCTGCGAGTCTATGACATCACCAATAATATAGTGGTTAGTGACCACAGTTCATGGTCATTAATCGGTCCTACAGGGAGTACAGCCTTGGAATGTAATACTTCAAATACTCGTCATTCCATGTTCATGCATTCTGAGTCGTAAAACATTCAAAAGTGGGGCGATCTGAAGTGGATGAAGGCCCAAGATCCACCGAATAAGGGCCAATTCTTGGTTAAGGTCGGTCCCAAGGAACGATTGGTCTGGTTTGGGGCCGTGTTTTGACTTGCGACCGTGGATTTTGGCTTGCAATCGCCGATATGGAACTCTAAAAATTCTTGGCGATTATGGCCAAAGTTGGCTGGAATCATGGTTCCTGGCATATTCCACAGCCTCAAAAATATACTGGTCTGTTTCCAAGGTTCCCTGGTCTTGGTAGTCATATTGAGCTTAAATATGAAGTGGTAAAGTGGGTGTAGTGATAATGCGCATTTCATTTACGTATACGCTCATTTTACTTATAAGCACTAAATATCGGAGCATACGTATAATAGCATGGGCACCTGCAGAATCTCCAGAAAGGTCGATGCGTGATGGGTCGATTTAGGTCTTTGACTAGATGGTAGTATGCGGTGAAGGCGTCTTGTAGCTGAGCAGGGAAATGAGCCACTGTAGCGGGACGATAATCGACGCAAAGGACCTTTGCACCGTCAAGGGTCCTGCTAAGCAAGCGCGATGGTGCCCCGTACCATTGCTCGCGAGCGTCAACATCACATAGCAACTGCCATGAAAATGTAGGGCTGCCTTGCTTTGGGAGTTATTCTGATGCGAATAGACATTCGGATACCAAACGAAACCAATGAATCCAGGGGATAATTTGCGATCGTCCAGAATATTTTTATAGGGAAACTTGTCGCGTGGCCTGAAAGTGGCAAACCGGTTACCCTCTGGGTGCGGTTGAAATGACGGGCTTCGCTATCGTCCACAGTAGTCCTGAGCTGGAGTCTCAGTCTGACTATATATATGACTAAGGCTGTTTTGTAGCTCCATGCTTTGACAGGACGTAATGGGCGTGGAATATAAATCAATGATGTCCCTAAAATCTTCATCAAGGCAGCGATGAGAAATAGACAGTATAGACCGTTTTCTGAGAGTTGAAGATGCTGGAATGGCAGGCCATGATGAAATGCAGCAGTAGACAGATCGAAGGTTATGACTTAAATTCCTGGATGGTGTGTGCTCTGACTCCCCAGGTGGTACTGTTGTACAACTATTCTCAGGCGGTGGATCCAATGTTACCCAGCTCCGAAGATATCGACTTGGCAACACAAATATAGACCCTTTTCAACAGCGGGTCCGCCGATTTCAAAATAACCGGTCACTCCGGGGTAGGAGATTGGCTCATAGCCATCATCCGATCCACCGTTGAGTAACCACAACTATATACCCTATTGTGAATATGTCCAACATATGACTTGTTGATGTATCCTTTGGCCGGCTTATGGCCGGATTAACCATTTTTTGCTGCTGAGTCCCGTCTCTCCCTTCCGAATCATGTTCCTTAGTTTTCAGTACTTCTCTGCTTTCATTCCTGTCTCCCGCGCGCAATGGATCCAGCATGGAGCCCGACTGACCGACCTCACAGCCCGCCTAACTACAGTCAAACAATGGAAAATGCCGGCCCACCAATTGTTAGTTTTAACCTTTCCATATCCAAGGTTTGCTAACCCTCTGAGCTAGCAAAGCCCCGCCTTCGATAACCCGAATTTTGCCCGGCAGCCCCTACTTCCCTCGAACCAATCGCCAAGCCCGTATGGAGGACCAAAACCTTTGATTCCCTTATCCCATTCTGTATCGCCTTCGCCACATTCTACGAGTCCTATCAATCTAGGAACTGACTCCTATTCGGAACAAGCTCTCCCACCATTGGAGCAGGTCAATGCTGATGCTGACTCAACGGGATCAAAACGCTGGGAACAACGTCAAAAAGGAGCCCCAAGCTCTCTACGCAGAAACCTGACTCGTCGAATCCAACTTGTCAAAGGCACGGTCTTAAGCGTCGACCACCCTGTCCCAAGCCCAATACGAAATGCCGTCCAGCCCAAATATCGAGAGCTAGAGGGCGACTCCCCTGAAGAGTTTACTCATATGAGATGTGAGTACACTTTAATCCGTTCATCGAGGGTCATTGAGCTTAGTTGTATAGATACAGCGGCCACTTGCGATCCAGATGAGTTTACTTTGCAAAACGGATACAACCTTCGCCCTTCTATGTATAACAGACACACCGAGATGATGATAGCGATCACTTATTACAATGAGGACAAAGTCCTCACTGCCAGAACTTTGCATAGCGTCATGCAAAATATTCGAGATATTGTCAACTTGAAGAAAAGTCAATTCTGGCACAAAGGAGGCCCAGCGTGGCAAAAGATTGTTGTTTGTCTCATATTCGATGGAATAAAGCCATGCAACAAAGAGACACTCGATCTGCTTGCGACCGTTGGAATCTTCCAGGATGGTGTGATGAAAAAAGATGTTGATGGGAGAGACACAGTGGCTCATATTGTAGAATCCCACTCCATCTTACTCCATACCTTGATCAACTCTAACACCCACCAGTTCGAGTATACGACTCAACTCTCGGTCACACCAACACAGCAATTGATTCGACCATTGGGCGATGAAATTACCAATCTTTGTCCAGTTCAAATGATCTTTTGCCTCAAGCAAAACAACAGCAAAAAGATTAACTCCCACCGCTGGCTTTTTAATGCGTTTGGACGAATCTTAAACCCTGAGGTGTGTATCTTGATCGATGCGGGCACTAAGCCAGGGCGAAAGTCTCTACTGGCGCTATGGCAAGCTTTCTACAACGATAGACATCTTGGTGGTGCTTGTGGCGAAATCCATGCACTTCTAGGCCGTGGTTGGCGAAATGTATTAAATCCCTTGGTCGCCGCGCAGAATTTCGAGTATAAGATTTCCAACATTCTCGACAAACCACTTGAGAGCGGTTTCGGTTACGTTAGCGTTCTTCCGGGAGCATTTTCTGCATACCGCTATAGAGCTATAGTTGGTAAGCCCCTAGAGCAATACTTCCATGGTGATCACACTCTTTCTAAGAGGCTTGGAAAGAAAGGCATTGAGGGTATGAACATATTCAAGAAAAACATGTTCTTGGCGGAGGACCGAATTCTGTGCTTTGAGCTTGTCGCAAAGGCCGGGTGCCAATGGCGCTTGACCTATGTGAAGGCATCAAAAGGGGAGACTGACGTGCCCGAAGACCCGGCAGAGTTCCTAAGCCAGAGACGACGTTGGCTAAATGGCTCTTTCGCAGCGAGCCTTTACGCTACAATGCACTTTGGCCGAATCTATTCCAGCGGTCATAACTTGATTCGTCTGTTTGTGTTTCATGTCCAATTGGTTTATAATATCGCCCAGCTTATCATGACATGGTTCTCACTTGGTAAGCAACTACAATCTCAAATTCTTCTTTTGGTTCTATGAGACTAACGTGAAATCCACTCTCAGCATCATACTGGCTCACAACTTCCGTCATCATGGATATTGTGGGGGTTTCGAGCTCTGTTAATCACAATAAGAGCTGGCCTTTTGGGAGTGAAGCATCGCCGATAGTGAACAATTTTCTTAAGATCGGCTATCTGGCAACTCTCTTGCTTCAATTCATCTTGGCTCTTGGCAATAGACCAAAAGGGTATGTTTTTGACCTTCTTAAAGACAGTAGCAAAATATGCTAGCAAGGGCTGACTTAGCAACCACCAGGACAAAGCTGTTATACACACTGTCCATTACATACTTCTCGATTGTTCAAGCCTATGTTCTCGTCCTAACCTTTTATCTCGTTGTACAGGCACTGACAGGAGGGAATCTAACTTTTGATGTGAACGACGGTGTCGTGGCATTCCTCAGCTCCTTCATCGAGTCTACTGGTGGAATTGTTCTAGTCGCGTTAGTCTCTACATATGGCATCTACTTCCTGGCCAGCTTTCTCTACTTGGACCCATGGCATATGTTTACCTCATCATGGGCATATATTCTAGGGATGCCTTCATCGATCAACGTTCTCATGGTCTATGCGTTTTGCAACTGGCATGATGTTTCATGGGGGACCAAAGGCTCTGATAGAGCCGAGGCGCTACCGTCAGCGCACATCAAAACAGATGCCCAGCAGACTTTTGTGGAGGAGCTAGAAAAGGCCCAGACCGACATTGATACCCAGTTTGAGCAAACGGTAAAACGAGCCTTAACGCCATACCGACCACCTATTGAGAAAGAGGAGGCCAGCTTGGATGATTCGTATAAAGCGTTTCGAACCAATCTGGTAATTTTGTGGACATCTAGCAATGGCCTTTTGGCAATTTGTATCAACAATGCTGATCTGGATCGGCTTTGCTTCACGGTATGTACGATGAATTGTGTCTTCTACTATCTTTACTGATTGAAGTAGACAACATCAACACCTCGAACGGCAATGTATTTCAAGATCATCCTCTGGGCAACTTCAGGTCTCTCAATATTCCGCTTTCTTGGTGCTCTATGGTTTTTAGCAAAGACTGGTGTTTTCTGTTGTTTTACAAGACGGTGAAGTTTACAGCTACTTGAACTACGACAAGCTCCACTTCAATGAATTGCTCCGTCTCTTGTACCCGCATCCAGCTTCAAGTCCGCTCTTGTCCTTTCTTTTTTGCCTTATCTGCTGTTTGTTTTTGGTATGTGAAATGATTGCGGCTAGTCTGCAAATTTCTCCAGGCGTCATCCTCTCTCAAAAATGTTTGGGAGCCTGGAACCAATGGTGGTGTATGTATACAGTATTTTTCTTATGTACTCTAGAATAAGACAACGTCAAGTTTGAAACCACCTTCAATGTAATTCTGGAAGGGGGTTCTTTTACCAGTGCAAAATGCATATTTGACTTACAAAATAATCAACTTGTTCATCTCAGTGACACGCTAGTGGGTATACGCTAGTTCACAGTAGCGTCAGTCCACTAGCGTGTCTCGGCAGAAGTCCGAAATCAGTCCGTAAGTCTTGGAAAAAGGAAACGTTATCAATAGAGGCACAGGCACCTCGGAGGGCCGCGCTTTTTCTATTCACAACGTTCGAACATCAATCCCATCAGCCTTATTACACGATGACACTTCCTGAAATGGACAATTCTGGGGCTGCTCAGCTACACATCCCTGCATTCGGAGATATACCCGTTGATTATGAATTTGAAGCCGGGCAAAGATTTGCACATGGTGCCCTACCTAACCACCCACACAAGCGGGGTCGAGCAGCCCGTTTGACTATCACTGAACTATTTATGCTTCGTTTAATGGAAAGAGTGATGGAGATACCGAATTGGGAACATGATGTGTTCAATGACAAAGTTGTTGCTAAGTGGTATGCAGATGCGGTATCAAATTCGAAGCCATCGGAGCAACCAGACCCTGAAGCTAAATCTGATATGAATGTCGATATGGATCTTTTATCGCAGAAGACATGGGATTGGTGCATTGCAGAGCTACGGGACAAGGCCGAAGACTTTCGAAAACAGAAGTTTGTCCTTACTCTGAATGCCGATGCGGGCATCTGCAAATCAGATGAACTGATTGGAAGTCTACTGCAAACTGAACTACAAAACGAGTTCGGAAAATGTGTTCCGTCGAACTTAGGAGATCTGTCAGAGAGATGCCATTCGATTCCGATGCACGATCTGGTTGATCCTTCGAAGTTCATGCTAGTCTACGGCCGGACCGCCGTGCTCAGTCAAGGAGGCTTTGTACCCATGGTAGATGATGGTCTAGCATATCCGATTATTGCATCAAAAGCCATTGTCGCACCAACACCAGAGCATCCGCTTGACATATACACAACCAAGTCGTCACGATACGAGGGGGGCTCTCGGCCATATGATTATGAAGTCCGCCATTTTTACCGTTGGTCCAATCGGTTTCAGTGGCTTCCATGCGAAGTAGAATTTGCTGAGCGAAAAGCTTCTGGCACAGAGGTTCGCATAACTTCATATATCAATGACCTCCACCCAAAGAATCAGTCAGCTTATACAGCAATTGAGAAACTCATTTCCTTGAGCTTAGATCCCTGGAATCAAGTTTTGATCAAAGGGACAACCAGCCGCCATCCACTGCGGATCAAGACCTATGGGTTTGAGGAAAGTGACACCAACGGTAGATACAAACCCAATAAACCCGGTTCCTACTACGGTGTGCCTGGACACCACTGGAAAGAAGAGGAATGGAGCTCTTATATTGCGACGGTCAAAGAGTACCTGGCATTGCCAGAACCTGGTCAGAAATATGAAATTAACGATGATTCCCCGGAGGACTCCAGAGGACCTGGTGATCTCTTTGCCGCATTGACTCCGGAGGTTCTGACAGGCTCAGCAATGCATGAGCTGGCCGAATTGATAGAGTTGAAATATTATAGACTTAATACTTTCAAATATCCAGGGGCGGGAGTCTCGTACACTTACGAAGATTGGAAAAATGGCAAAACGTGGAAGCCGATAATTGAAAAGGCCAGAAGCCGCGATGACATCCGTCTCAATGTTCCTGTACTTGATGCAAGTTTGTTGGGCAATCACCCATACCAAAACATTTGCTTACAAGATGAGTTTCGGACGAAGGGGCTACAAGTCATTGTTCGTGTATCTAGCATCGAACTCACCCCGAAAGAACCAATCTTTCCTGGTGACAGTGACTTCCACGTCGATGGTCTTCTCAATGAGCATATCGTGGCTTCATCGCGATACTATTACGATGTTGAGAATGTGGAATCACGGATATCGTTTCAACAAGAGAATGACCTCTATGAATGGGACTATACTCCAGAGCCTGATGCGATGCACAAAATATTCGGTATTCCGCATACCCTTGAATACCTTGAATTCCACCATCTCCCATTTCCCCAAAAGATTCAAAATCTTGGTTCCTTGGGAGTGAAGCAGGGCCGCTTCTTAGCTTGGCCCAATACTCTACGATACAAATTGCAGCCATCCACACTCAAAGACAAATCTTATTCGGGTCACCAACGGTGTGTTATCATCTACTTGGTCGATCCCCACTACCGCATATGTTCTACCCGCAACGTCCCCATACAGCGGCATGACTGGTGGCGCGAAGCTGCTCTGGCGGCTGAGACAACCAATGCGGCTAAACTACCTCAGGAACTTGTTGATCTAATAATGAACGAAACAAGAGACTGGCCTATGGGAACCAGTGAGGCAGCGAGACATAAAAAAGAATCCGAAGAGGAACGCAAATTTGCTGTGAAAGCCCAGACTGATGGAATTGATCAACACAATTTCGAAGGCCCTATGATTCACGCGTAACGAATCTTTTTTTGGTATTTCGGTCCCTATGTCTTGCATCTTTGAGAAGGAATTGCATGGTTTCTGTCAATTTAGTTTGAGGTTTAACACTACTTTCAAGGCCAATAGCAATTTGCTGGGGATTGCTAGACATGCACCTCAAATTGCTCTTGTGCACTTTCTTTAATCCAGCAAGAAAGATACCTAGCGCTTCGGGTGTCAATAGCCTGTTCCACTACTTCTAGTATACCTACCTGGATACCTACGCTCCCACTCCCAGGGTGGCGTGTAGCGTGTAGTATGTCTACCTAGAGTTTTTTACACTCCACCGGGTCGGCTATTGATCAGTCGGGTGAATCTATTAGGGGAGGGGAAGGGGTTTTGTACTTGGATTGCGCTGTCTCCTTGTGGAATTGAATGGAAGTCGCTAAGTCAATATGCAGCAGCGACCTCCAGAGTATTAGGTAAATCTTATAGAGCGTTAACTGGTAGAAGTAAAAATAAACATAGGGCATTCCGTGATTTAATGCCTGGATGTTCATTCGCTCCCGCCTTTCTCCACTTTCTTTTTCCCCGATAAGTTTGAACCCCTCGGACGGACGCATTTTTTCACACTTCGCCAAATTATCTTATATAAAATGGCTGGCGATCGAGTCATGGCTGACGGTATGTAGGAGCCTTTATCAATTTGATCACGAGATTCTTTCCTTTGTTGTAACGCGCGCTGACAACCCCGCAGGCCTCCTCGCCGTATGGCATGCCTACCGTCTTCCTATTCTCATTGCAGTGTCGGCGCTATTCTTCGCCATTCGTGCCTACCGGACGCTTTCCCGATCGAAGACGCCGGCCTCAGCCTCCGTACCGTCCTCCCCGCGCAGCCAGTCTCCTGAGAAACTCGAGAAACTCCCCGCAACACAGAATGCCGTCTTGGAGAAAGAAAATCTGAAAGCCGTCCGCGCTGATGCCGGGACTAAACCCTCTGGCCCCAAGCGCGTCCAGGGCAAGAAGCCCGCAAAGACAATCGGTGGCCGTCGTGGTTCCAGCGAGGAGCTCCAGCCCATCACTCATATCCAACCCATTATCTTCTTTGCCTCTTTGACGACCAACACCGAACGGTATGCGAACGTCTTGTTGGAGGATTTGCGTGCCGCTGCTCAGGAGCAATCAAACCTGGAGAACCCCGGACGTGGTATTCTGCCCCCGCAGATTCATGACATCTCGTACATCGACTTTGACGACTTCTTTGTCTCTGCCCCAAAGCCACCGTCAACTTCTCCTGGAACACGCTACATGTACTGCATTTTGGTCCCAACCTACAACATTGACACGGTACTGAGCACTTTCCTGGGTGATTTGGAGGAAACACACAATGACTTCCGAATTGATACCGGTTCGCTGCACCAATTGGCTGGATACTCGGTCTTTGGCTTCGGTGACAAGGAAGAATGGCCAACTGAGGAAGAGGGTTTCTGCACACAGGCTAAGGAGATTGATCGTTGGATGTCAAAACTCACGGGTCGCAAGCGGGCATTCCCGTTGGGCATGGGCGATGTCAAGAGTGATGCCGACGCTGCTTTGAAGGATTGGTCTCAAGGAATCCAGGATACCTTGTCGGACATTTTGGAGAATGGTGGCTTGGGCGAGGGTGTTTCCGGTAGCGGTGATGCTGTGGAGAGTGATGAAGAGGAAATGGACGATGACGATTCGTCTGGAAAAGAAAAGAAGAGCTCCATGGTAGATCTCGAAGATATCAAGATGGGCGATGACTCCGGCCCTCTTCCTATTGATTTTACCACCGTGGGCAAAGTTGTATCTTCGGAAGCCAGTGCCAAGGAAATGGTTCCCAAGACCTCGCCTACCTATGCCTCTTTGACGAAACAAGGCTACACGATTGTGGGTTCGCACTCTGGAGTCAAGATTTGTCGATGGACCAAATCGGCGCTGCGTGGACGAGGCTCTTGCTACAAGTACTCTTTCTATGGTATCAGATCCCATCTCTGCATGGAGGCAACACCATCTCTCTCATGTTCCAACAAGTGCATTTTCTGCTGGCGTCACGGTACAAACCCGGTCGGAACAACTTGGCGTTGGAAGGTTGACTCTCCCGAGCTGATTTTCCAAGGTGTGAAAGAAGGTCACTATAAGAAGATCAAGATGATGAAGGGTGTTCCCGGTGTCCGAGCTGAGCGATTCGCCGAGGCTATGCGCATCCGCCACTGTGCCCTGAGTCTGGTCGGTGAGCCCATTTTCTACCCTCACATCAACCGGTTCTTGGAAATGCTCCACGCGGAGCACATCTCCAGCTTCATGGTGTGCAACGCCCAACATCCTGATCAACTCGAGAACCTGCACCGCGTCACTCAACTATATGTTTCCATCGATGCCAGCAACCGTGAGAGTTTGCGGAAGATCGACCGCCCGTTGCACCGTGATTTCTGGGAGCGATTCCAGCGCTGTCTCGATATTCTGCGGGAAAAGCGACACGTTCAGCGAACCGTTTTCCGATTAACCTTGGTCAAGGGCTTCAACGTGGATGATGAGGTCATCGGATATGCAGACTTGGTTGAAAAGGCTTTGCCATGTCTGATCGAGGTCAAGGGTGTCACATATTGCGGAACCAGCACGAGCGCTGGCGCCGGCTTGACCATGCAGAACGTGCCCTTCTATGAAGAAATCACCAGCTTTGTGGTCGCCCTCAACGCGGAGCTAGAGCGCCGAGGGCTCGGGTATGGTCTTGCCGCAGAGCACGCCCACAGCTGTTGTGTTCTGCTCGCCTCCAATCGGTTCCATGTGAACGGAAAATGGCATACTCGGATCGACTATCCTCGCTTTTTCGAGTTGTTGGAGAAGGAAAAGGCCGATGGAACCTCTTTCACTCCGGAAGACTACATGCAGGAGACCGAGGAGTGGGCGCTTTGGGGCAATGGTGGTTTTAACCCGGAGGATGAGAGAGTCCACCGCAAGGGCAAGAACAGAGACAGAGCCATTGAGGCTACTCCTGTGGAGGATGTCTCGAGCTCATGAGCAAATCATCATCCTATTTGGGTAACTTGCCTCTATCCCGATTATTATCGGACGGCACTTCAAATTGGGCTGCTGAGTTGCAAAGCATTTCTTGGCAACTGTCTAAAATCAGTTCATCGATGCTCATGCTTGCATTTCGACCAAGACGTTCGAGAGTCCAATCAAAGATTTCATCCAGATCAAAAGCTTTTCTGCGACCTTCATTTTGAAGTTCACACGGTCGCAATCCTATGACTTAGGTATAGATTTGGCAAACTTGCCGTGGAGACTTTGGTGGCGCCACTATCTTAGTCGATATATGTTCAATACATATCATTTGCAGTACACAATTGGGTAGGTACTGTGAGCATTGCCCATTACCCCAGAAAAGAATACCAAAATTATATGGCTTACAAGTCGATTTTACCCCTCTCGCCTCAAGTAGAACGCGTTTAACCTTAAGAACTATATCCTCCGTATGCACTGTTTGTCTGAGGGGAAATGATGACTCAGCAATGTATCCCGCTCTGGGATCCAGTGTGACTGCAGTGTCGTACTAACAAGCTGTCACTTTGTCTTTATAAGGGGAGAGGGCAGGAAATCTCATACTGTCTGGTTTTTTTTAATTCTATTAATATTCCTTTGAAGCCAAGATCACCTGCTTTTTGCCCGTCCTACCATGACCCAAACCGACAAGCCCACCGCGGGCTTGCTTCAGATCCCTGCCGCAGCCACACAGAAGTCTTCTGGCCCAGCAAAGAAGGCTCACAAGCCCCCAGCTCCTCGACTCAAGCTATTGATCCGTCGACTGCCACCAGGGTTGACCCAAGCGGAACTGGAGGGAATCTTAGGCGCGGAATGGAAAGTCGGCGCCGGAAAGGTGGACTGGCTTCAGTACAAGGCTGGCAAGGTGTCGAAAGAGTGAGGCCGCAACGGAGACGATATGCTTTCTTATAGAAGCTAACGGTCACCATCTGATCTAGCCCCGCTAAACCCTCTCGTCCCTCCCGAGCCTATATCCACGTTGTATCTAGCGAACATGTCGCCCCGCTCTCAGATCTAGTGCGACAAGCTTCGTTCCAAGATGCTCGCGCCACCTCCCATGATCCAATTCTCTTGGGACCTCCAAGCTTGGAGTTCGCCCCTTACGCTAAGATCCCGGGCAGTCGCGTGCGGAAGGATGCTCGCCAGGGTACAATTGACCAGGACCCGGACTTTATTACCTTCCTGGAAAGTTTGACACAACCTATTACGAAGTCAGGGCCCCCCGATACATTCGAGAGCGAGGAGAAAAAGACGGCAGTGCTCACTACGCCGCTGGTGCAGTTCATCAAGGACAAGAAAGCAAGCAAGGCCAAAGAAGCCGCGGCGTCTAAGTCATCCAAGCACAGCCGATCGGAGAAAGAACCCAAGGAAAAGGTGCAAGCAAAGAAACTATTACAACGGGCCGACAAGGAATCCAGTGCGACACCGGCGGAGAAGAAAGGCAGGGGCGACAAGGCTACCAAGGAGTCTACGAAGGCAGCTAAGCAAGCTACCTCGACCAACAAGTCCGGCAAGGGCAGCACAGCAAACACACCGAAAGAGACCACTGCAGCTCCGGAGAGAAAGCGAGAACGAGGCAACGTCACTGCGGCGACCAAGATCCTTCAACGCGACCTTGGGTTATCGCCAGCTGGGGGTCGGCGACGAGGCAAAGGAGCCAATGACACCGGGTCATCCAAAAACGACAGTTCTCGAGACTCGTCTGTCCCAGCACCAGAGAGCACTAAGAAGGAATCTGCAGCCAAAGCAGCCAAGAATGGCCCATCGGGAGGGTCCAGCAAAGGGAAGAAGGATACCGACTCTACGACGAAAGCGAACGACAGTGCTACACAATCTACTGCTAATTCAGCACCCGCGAAAGCGAACAAGGGCCCGAAATCTAAGCCATCCGCTCCTCCCGCCTCCACTGCCACACAGGCATTCCTCAAACACGCGAACCCCTCTCAGGGCGTAACCGAAGCATTGCTGGAAACGGCGTTCGGGGCATTCGGCAACGTGACCAAGGTGGAGATCGATAAGAAGAAAGGATTTGGATATGTGGACTTTGCGAATCCCGAGAGTTTGCAGAAGGCGATGGCCGCTAGCCCTGTGACGGTCGCTCAGAGTCAGGTGGTGGTGCTTGAGCGCAAGGCGAACCCTGGTGGTGAGAAGTCGCGGAAGGGTCGAGGTGATTCACAGCAACAACAACAATCGCCAGCATCACCAGCGCCCAGTGGAAATGCTGGAAATGCTGGAAATGCTGGAAACACTGGGAACACTGGGAACACTGGGAACACTGGAAACGCCACTGGGTCGTCTGCTCGGGGATCGCGAGGTGGACGTGGGTCACGAAACAAAGGAGCGAAGGGAGCAGCAGGTAATGGGGAGAAGGAGAAAGAGAAGACGGAGAAGGGAGGCTCGGGAAAATGATTGGGATATAGCTTTAGCCAATTCAACGACTGCATGAGATACCCGATAGCAATGATACGAGACATGACGGAGTTATGTATAACAGCAATACGCAGAGACGATACTGCTTGGGCAGTCGCAGGCATTGGTCCGCGCAAGAGGAACAGTACAACGTTGTTACATTAAGTTTACAAGGCATGATTTGTGTTCCCAAAGTCGTTTCATCCAATTGTTCTAAGCATTGTATTGGAAGGGGTCCCCTCCAAGCGCCCGGCATTGCCGAGTCCCTTGATGGGGAGGTTAATCCACTCACAAAGTCATCCATTTCAAATCACAACGAGATCTTCGTAAAGAACTCGAGGGATTTGAAAAACCTTTCAGACCTCCTCGACACCCACCAGGCCCAGCCGACCGAAGTCAGACACCAAACCAGGTCAAGATCATCACCACTCCCTGGACATGAAACGCAGACACTGCAAGCAGCACGCGTGACACGTCGAGGCGGGAGTAAAAGGCTTCACTTTAGGGCATCGAGGACATAGAAGTCATCAGCAAGGGTGGAGATTCTGTGGCTCTTTTAAAGAGCTTAGAAGAGGACGTCTACTCTAAAGTGATTCTTTGAACTGTGAGGTTGTTAGTGAGATGTTCGAGGATTGAATCCTATGGGGGTGGGATCACTAACGTAGAGTCGCTTGAAGAAAAGAAAATCTACGGGGCGACAGATGCCTTTTATACCTGGGACGGGGCCCGTGCTTGCTAAGCGAGGGACAACATGTTTGTGCTGTTTGTGTTCCCGGTGGGGCGGTTTAGAGCTGCCGATCAATGGGAAGAGCTTAGGTGGGTCTACATGCGGATCTATTGCAGAGATTTTTCTCACTTCTTTCCCATGCCTTTGATTGGATATTTGCTTTCACTTGTTGGAGCTTTTTCTGTTTTTCTTAGTTTACGAACTACCGTTGATTGGTTTTTAGAATTCTTGTGCTCCGCACATGTACAACGGAGTATGTCCCCTTGGTTGTTCTTCGAGCGTTAGTGCCAAGGTCAACTAGTCCATATTAGGTATGAGCTCTTTTGGCAAATCAACATTCACGTCTCGCTATCAATACGACCACTTGCCTAGGCTATAACGCAATGTAACGCCTTTTAAAATCAATTATTGATGCTTACTATCCTACACACTAAAATGGCGTCCAGACCTTCCACGTACTCTCTCAATGACTAGATTTAATTCTCAAAGAGTGTAATGCACTACTAAACATATATTGGTTGTATGTATATGCCCACGGGTCTTGAATGAAGAATCCATTAATGGGCTGCTTGCAGGTGAAAGGGTGGCCGCGCATACTGGTCTAAAATCATTGGCTGCTTCATCATAAGCACATGCAAGTTAGCCTATCCCCTATAGCCACGTGATAAGCTGAAAGTCGTGTTTCAAGCCACTTGGACTCTCATCAAAATGGCTTTTAATCCACAAACTAGCGGGAAAGGGCAGAGAAACGTCTTTGGCTATATCTAGACATATATTACTTCAATACGGAGATAATTACGATGTGACTCTGCGGGATTCGGGCATATTTAGCAATGGGGAGTGCCAATATTCATCTGGAAGCGACCAACAGTGATGCCAACATTCCAAGTCACTTACCAATGAGAATCCCTGTCCTAGTCCAGGGTATGCATGTAGCGCGGGGTGCTAGGTAACACGAGATCTCAGGGTTAAAAGGATGGGCCACAATTACTTGACTGAATCTTCACTCTCTCCTTCTGCATTTCCGCACCTTCAAATATATACGCTCACTAAATCAGGCTACTCAGTATGGCATCCACCAAATCTACTGCCACCAGGTCTACTGAATCGACTGGAATCGAGACTCTTGTCATAGACTCTGTAACTCTCCTTCCGTCCGTCATAGACGCGGCAGTCATCGGACTTCGACCCGGCCTTCCATCACTTTTCATCGACCTCGAAGGGATACAGCTTGGTCGACATGGTTCAATTTCTATCATGTCGCTGTATATCTCTTCCAAGAAGAGAGTGTACCTCATAGACATATACAGACTTGGTAAAGAAGCATTTTCGACCATCAACAGCGACGGGAAATCTCTCAAATCCATACTGGAATCTCCGGACATTTTGAAAGTACTTTTTGATGTTCGGCATGATTCCGATGCATTGTTCGGTCTTTACGGAATCTCCGTTGACGGTATCAGGGATGTCCAGCTCATGGAACTCGGAACGAGAACGGGCTCGAAAGATTTCCTAGCTGGCTTGAAGAAGTGTGTTGAGACCGACAGTACTATTACTCAGAAAGAAAAAACGGCATGGGGGCGTACCAAAGATCATGCCCGACAGCTTTTTGATCCTTCTCTGGGAGGGCGATACGCAATTTTCAATGAGCGTCCCATTCGACAGGTGATTGCAGAATACTGTGCGGGAGATGTTACGTTATTGCCAGATCTATTCAACGTGTATAGTGCTAAGCTACATCCACCCAGAGAGACCTTTTGGGGGCTTCATATATTGGAAGCAACCAAAAAGTGGATCAAGCTTTCACAAAGCCCAAGATTTGATGGAGCATCGAGAGCCAACGCCCGTGGGCCTTGGGATAAAGAATCTATTGAACAAGCGATTGATGATTGGAATGACGATATTATGCTCGAGGCGATGAATGAGCAGGAAGACCATGACAAGGAGTTTGAAGATATCCTGGATTGTGAGGAGGATGATGACTACGGCTGGCAGGATGACGGTCCGACCAGCTGCAGAGACATTATTAATAGTTGTGACTACGGGTACTACTATTCAGATTAGGATATAGGACTGTCTGACCTTAAAAGTTGCCGACAATAATAACAAGCTTGGAACATCTAACTATCTGCAAGCCAACATAGTCCTCGGAGATGAAGGAGTTGGGGTTGTCGAAGCAATCGGCACCAAATTTGTCTCTTTCAAAATGTAAGCTTGCATTGGACTTTTTACTGTTTATATTTTGATCTAGATATACTCTTCTATTTGAGAGCTTAACTGACTTACGTTGACACAGAGGAGACCATATGGGCTGGGTATACGGACATGGTAGTTGTCGTCACTGCAAGTATTGTCTGCGTGGCGAGGAAGCACACTGCGACCAACGAAAGATCTACGGCGAATCCAATCCATGGATCTCGATCAAGAATCTTTTGCTCAGGCAGCTATCTGGCCGGAAGATTTTCTTTACATACTTCCCGCCGAAATATCCAGTACTGATGCAGCTCCCTTGATGTGCGCCGGAAGTGCAGTGTTTTCGCCATTGCATGAATTCAAAGTTGGGCCGACCGAGCATGTGGGTGTGATTGGGGTGGGTGGACTAGGCCATCTCGCTATCCAGTTCGCTGTCAAAATGGGCTGTCAAGTGGCGGTGCTGTCGGGAACGCAGTCTAAACGAGCTGAAGCGCTGGCACTAGGGGCCGCCGACTTATATATTTTCACGGATTGTCCTCCCGCGATGGAGCCTCTGGACCACCTTCTTGTCACATCAGCCAAACAGCCAATTTGGGACGCTATCTTCCAGATTACGGCTACAGGGGAGACCTCGGACCATCTATGCTCTGACGGTAGATATGGATGAGATAAAGTTCCCCTACCTGCCCTTGGTCATGGAAACTTTGCAAATTCAAGGCAGTCTGCCCGCAGCTCGAGGTAACCAACGTGAAATGCTACAATTTGCTGCCAGCCACCTAATCAAGCCTATCGTGATGACATTTCCTTTGAATCAGAGTGGAACTGAGAAGGCGATGGAGACGCTTCGGGAGGGAAGAATGAAATACAGAGGTGTTTTGGTCCATGATGCCTGAATATAGGTTGGTGGAATTACTGTATTAGAAAAGGCACGCGACACATGTGTTACTATTTTGTAAATATTCAGAACACCGCGGCGGATTTATTTAACGAGAAAGCGGTCGTGATATGTAACCGAATTAGAGAACTACTGTAAGACGAACATGGCTTATCTTTTACTTGTATTCCTATCAATCCGATTTCCAACCAACTGTCACGTCAAACCTTATCGTGCATATCGCCGTTTACGCAAGGAAATCTCCGGGTGCGCGGCCCGAACACCTCCGATACCAGCCGCAAAAGAAAACCATCGAGATAAGCTCCGTTGTATGCTCCCCGCATTTCGACCACTCTCCATCATGGGCCGCCCCAAGGTTAATCCCGAAAACCGCCTGCGGGCCAATACTGCATGCACGAAATGCAGAGCCTCCAAGAAACGATGCAGTGGCTCATTCCCATGTACGAACTGCATTCGCAAGGGACACGCTCGCTCCTGCATTCCTTTTAAATCCAATCCAGAGAGTCCTAGCAGCCACCGGGACCCGACTCCTCGATCTCGATCGCGATTAGATACGATTCCGACATGGGATGATTCCAATGGACCATTGGAGACTCCCGTCAGTCCTCCGAATCGTGCTGGAAGTCCGTCCGATCGTCTACTGCAGCGGCAGCGCCCTGCGGCGGGTTCCCGCTCGCCTGAGGCAACACACCATACGCATCCGCGGATGCTGCGTAATCTACAGGGCGATAGAGGTATGAATTGTCTGCATCCATTCAAGAAACACAAAACTAATATCCAATCCACAGTTTATGTTGGTAAAGCTGCGTCATTGTCGTTTTTGCAACTCCTTCGGGAAACAGTGTACCAGCATATCGGACCATCACAATTCTCCCATAATTGGAGCGAGGACATGCTAGAAAACGAAGCCCGCCATGACCCACTAAGCTTCTCCGAAGAGAGCTGCAGTGCGGATGATAAGCGCCGCTTCATTTCGAACTTCTTTGCAGTGGTGAGTGACCCGACCCGACTCGAGGCGGCTCATATCCTAACCAGTTGACAGACGAGCGGCTTCCTCTACCTGGGATGCAACACCGAGGCACTATTGGCAGATACTACAGAGCCAAAGACTGATCGGGAAAAGACTCATGCCGCTATTGGGGATCTGATGATTGCCATCGGCGCTCAGTCATGTTTGAACGAGGCTACCACAGTTCAAATTGAGCGCTTTTTCATTACACGCGGACAACGCAGGACTTTTGCCAACTTTCTGGAAGATCCAAGTATGGACCTAGTCCGGGCATTTCTGCTTATGTCATTCTATATGTTTGGGGCCTGTCGCCGGAATGCCGCTTTCATGTATCTGGGTGTTGCGGCTCGGTCCGCCGTTGCTCTGGGGCTACACGAGGATTCTTCGGGATTGGGCCATCAGGAAAAACAAGAAAGGTTTGTGTCACTCTGATAAAACCTTAGGATTGCCTGCTGACTCACTTTATAGGTCAAGGCTATGGATGAGTCTATGTGTACTCGATCTCCTGGCAAGCTCTATTCTAGGTCGACCAGCAGCCACATCAGCACTCTTACCAGGTTGCGGAGACCTCAGTCGACAAACAGAAACAGCGGCAGAAGCAGGCGTATCTGCTTCATACCGACTATCTTTGATTCTGAATGAGATCATTGGTCGATTATATGGTGATCAGGGTGCCTCTATTGAAAAAGCTGAAATATTGCTTGCCAAGCTGAATCGTTGGAGTCAACACCTGCCAGATTCCTTACGTACCCCAGCTGAAAACGAGAATCCCGACGATGCACAGAAACGTGTCATCGGGAATATGCATGTGGCCTGCTTATACCACTTTGCGGTTATTCTTCTTACACGTCCTTTTCTTATCTCCACGTTGAGTGTGCGCTTAGCACGGTTGCACCAGACCCTTTCCACAAATGGAACCGGCGATTTCCCTGACGAAGATCCGGTGCATTCTCGGCTAGCGGCAGCTTGCATCGATTCCGCTGTTTACATGCTTCAAACATGTCTCGAAATTCACCAGTCTGGCCTTCTCCTGCGGAACATGTGCATTCTCAAGTAAGTATTTACCGCAACTCCGCGTTTCATCAGAGCCTGAAATGAAAAATGAAGACTAATCAAGCATATAGAGCATTCGTCTTCGCAGCCGCTTTGGTATTAGGATTCTCGATGTTTGCCCACCGAGATGTTGATACTGAAATCGACAGTGCATTTGCAGGTGCCCTGACCATTCTACGCATGTTAGCACAGCAATCTGCCCAAGCGGCCCACTACCTGGAGATCTTGACTTTACTCGAAGCCGCAGTCACCCAACAACGAGAACGCTTGGCATCCCAAGCTCGTCAGCGTCGTAGCAAATATGTAAGCCGGATATTCAGCTTGAGTGATAGCCCAAATGTGCCCCGTGCACAGAGTGAGAATGAGAACCGACCCGAAAGCGCAACCCCACTATCAACACAAGGCGGCCCGCTATTTTCCTGGATACCCCAAGGGGACGGCCCGACTACATTTACACCTCCAGTATTGGACGGCGCATTTTTGGAGTGGGAGGGCATGGAGTTACCACTATGGGATAGCTTTCCTTTTACTGAGCCAGGCTCGTGTGCTCTATAATGAATCCATATACATACCAATGTACTTGTTTTGTTACATATATGAAATAGCCGCTACGATCCTATCTCTCCTTAATCGAAAACGCTCTCGTACTGGCCAGAGCAGGGCCTTATGATGATATCAGTACAGTATCTTGACCAATGAAACTTAGATCTGAGCGGAACGTTACGCCACATGGTTGCCACCCGACGATAAGCGGGTCCCCGAGCCGCCGCTCCGCTCCGCTCATAGTGCACTATCCGCTCAGAAAGTAGATAGTCTGCAACCAGTGAACGACAATAAGATAAATGAAACGCCAGGACGTGTTCTATCTTCTTCAATATCCCTCTCAGCCTTCACATCCCTCCGAAAAGGTTTGCGCATACCAAAACGAACCTTGCGACCCTTTCGAAGTGTGCGCCTTCCCGAACTGTACGCCTCCCCGAAGTGTGTGCCTTCCAAATTCGGTACTTCGTCAAGCATTCAAAACAAACAACTCAGGTTCCAAAGAATCTCAAAATCTTAGCAAAATGCGTTATTCCGAAGGTTGGAGACCCCTGAACGTGGCCATCGTGGGTGGCGGCATCGGTGGCATGTCCGCTGCGATTGCCCTGCGCCGCGCAGGTCACCAGGTCACCATCTATGAGAAGAATGATTTTGCTGGCGAGGTGGGAGCTTCAGTCTCCTGCGCTGCTAATGGAACTCGCTGGCTTCACGAGTGGGATGTTGATATTGCCAAGGGTGACCCTGTTGTCCTCAAAAAGCTTATCAACCGTGACTGGAAGACCGGAGAGCCGGTTAGTGTGTATGACCTCGCCGATTATGAGGAGCGCTGGGGATATGTGTACAACATGTTCCATCGCCAGAAGATGCACTTTATGCTCAAGGAATCTGCCTTGGCTGAGGAAGGCAAGGGCGTTCCCGCTGTGCTCAAGGTCAACCACCGAGTATGTATACCGATAGCTGATCCAAAAACTGGGGAGCGACATGGCTAACACAAGATTCTTCATAGTGCTCCAGCATTGACCTAGAAACCAACATTATCGAATTCGAGAACGGATACTCCGCCAAGCATGATCTGATTGTCGGTGCTGACGGAATTGGATCGGTGGTTCGCGGTATTGTGGGCATCACTCCCGAGCGTCGCCCTTCAGACCAGAGCTGCTTGCACGCTAATGTCGATGCGGATGAAGCCGCTAAGCTCGGCCTCGCCAACTACTCAGACGATAGCGCACTTGAGTACTGGGGCGGACAAGAGGGCAAATGGGATAAGATTGTTCTCTCGCCTTGCAACGGCGGAAAGCTCCTTTCGTACTATTGCTTCTTCCCTCGTGAGCAGGGCGACAACACCAATCAGACATGGGGCGCTGAGGGCCGACCTGTTGAGGACCTCCTGAAGCCTTACCCTGCGCTCGATCGTCAGGTCTTCAACCACCTTGCCATCGGCAAGGAAATCCAGCCCTGGCGCCTCTGGGTTCATGACCCTTACCCTTACCTGTCCAAGAAAAATGTCTGTTTGCTGGGAGATGCCGGTCACCCTATGATGCCCCACCAGAGCCAGGGTGCCTGCATGGCCATTGAGGATGCGGCGGCTCTTGGTATCCTCTTCAGCAAGAATTCCTTCAATGGAAATGTCGAGCAGACTCTTGAGGCATATCAGCTCGTTCGCCTTCCACGCGCTACTCGGGTCCAGGCTGCTGCTGCGAAGGCCGCTTACAACATTAATGAGCGAATCGGTGAGTTCCATATTCAGAAGGAAGAAAGTGAAAAGAATATCATTTACTGACTGCTTCGTCCAAGGCTTCTCTTGCAATAAGAATACTGCAACTTACAAGGTCGAAGATCCAAAGAATATACTTACTATTGAGGAGATGAATGCGTGAGTGGCTCTGATCTTGGTTCTCAAAGTTTATACTAACGGGGGCTGTAGCTATGACATGTACAGCGATATTAACGAGAAACTTGCCCGGATCGCCGGCATGGAGTATGATGACAACTACGTCTCCGGACTGCCAGTCGGTCTGGAGCTACCCAACGGTGTGACTATCGGAGCTAAGCTGTGAGGTTTGAATGGCTGTACTTGTACCATTGATCACGATTCACTTTCCCATATGTTACCCAGCGATAAAGACTTTGCTATTTCTGTTTGTTATTCAGCGATCAAGACTCCCAACTGTGCTAGATACCCAGTTGTTGCTCTCGGGATGGGTTGGGCGGGTCCCTAGACCCCCTGGTCATACTTATGGCCAATTAATCTCACCCTGTAACTATCTGTTAGCGGTCAAATCTCTCACTTTTTACTCAATCCCAAGCATTTCCATATTATTCATTAGAAAGGTGCGGTGAGCGCTGATCTGGAGAAGGCTAAGGATTGGCAATAATACATGATAGGTGGTTTTATTTATTGCTGTCAGTAACGATGAACATACCTGGGTATATCCTCAGGTTATTTTGATTACTTAAATTGAAGGAGGGAATAGAATCACAACGACTCCTTATCAAGATATCGATGGTTTTCTGTATAGTGTAGTAATGTCACCGGAGTGCGAAAGGCTAGCTCCCATACGCTGGCTTGAAGATCGAAGAAATATCAGTAATTTACAGTGAAGTCACTCTATCATCTAAGCTAGTTCTTAACAGCAACAACAAACAAGCGAGGGTACTGAAGCAAAACCCGGCCATCGACTGAAACAGGGTAGGCTGCTTGCAGACGCTGCAAGTACTCTTGCAAGAAACTGTTCTTCTCTTCTGCGCTCAGAGGATCCAAGTAAGGTCTCAATCCAGTACCCTTAACCCATTCGATGATGGCTTCATGGCTTTCCAAAGCATGATTATAACTGGTCTGGAAGATATCCACCTTCGAGCTAACAGGCTTGAGTTCATCGTATATTTCCTGCGTCGTTTGGAACGTATCTCTGCCCACCTTCGCCAGTGTAGCAGCCCAAGGCCCATTTTCGGCAGTCTCCCGCATCAAGACATGGGAAGGCTCCGAGAGGTTGTTAGGAACCTGAAGGGCAAAAACGCCCCCCGATGGTTGTGTTTCCATTAATCTCTTGACGATCTTGAAGCGTTCATCTCTCTTGAGCCATTGGAACACGGCATTGGAGTAAAACAAGTCCACTGGGCCTGGAGGTGAATAGGACTCCAAATCTCCTACGGCAAATTCGCGGTGCGGGAGAGTTTCTTTTGCCTTGCGAATCATGTCCGGGGACGAATCCATTCCCACGATTTGGGCGTCTGGGTAGCGTGATTCCAGCACCGCAGTGGAGTTTCCTGGCCCACAGCCTAGGTCGACAATGTTCTTCGGCGCTTGGAGAGGAACACGGGAGAGTAAGTCGCGAGCTGGCTGGGTGCGTTCATCCTCAAACTTGAGATATTGCGCGGCGCTCCAGTCGTGCGCGGCTTGCGCCCCTTTTGTAGAGATTGCTCTGCAGGTTGGTAGTCCTGACAAAGCTCTTTGAGAGAACTGAAACAATGCTCTGGATGATTGAATGGAGGACATAATGATCTAGAGGATAGGTATGTATGTGAAATTGGGAAAGGCTGATAATGGCACCGGCTCGGTATTTAAGCAGCGCAGCCGGGGTCAGTCATTGGTGAGGTCAAAGCGGAATCCAACGTCACTAGACATTCAAGAACTGTCTATAATGGTCTTCACCTCCTGGGTCGGCAGATACTTGGCTCAAAATGTTACATTGTATAATTAAGATGCCGATCTGTAATAATTCTAGAAAGATTCGTAATTTAAATGCCTCCAAATGGTGGTCTGTGGAATTGCGGTGGCTCGATCAAAGTGCCGATACTCGGAAGTGACCGAAGTATGGAAACGGATAGTCCGCCACCGGAGCTACATCAATCTCATGACTCTTTCGCTTTTTGAATATGTTATTGGAGCTGGAATGATCAAACCAATAAGGCAGAGAGTATATTTTTCTTGCAAAGGCCGTTGGATGGCAAAATTATCAACACTCCCTAACCAATAACTATTACGCCAGCCTTCGATTATTCGTCAAAGGGTCAAGTGGATCCACAAGCCACAACGCCATTGAAGGTGCTTGGTCAGGACAGTTCACCCCGAAAATAAAGCCACCACGACACTCTTCAATTGATTATGCTAGCACAATGCCGCAATAGGAGTACCAATCTTCTATATGGACTTCTGAAGCTAGAGCCAATTGAATGAAAATTTTACAGTGGAAAAGAACAGCGAAACCTTGCAAGATTTCTGAAACCATCTCAGGCTTGGAGTTTACCTTGTATACATTACTATGGAATATTCCAAATTCTTCTTATCCCCACTAAGAGTGATCGAGTCACGGTTTATCCGGAAGAGAGATATTGAATATGATCTTCGGGCTGGCGCTGACTAGCATTCATCATTGACAAGTTATTTAGCAGGTGATCGCGCTGGTCGGACCATGTTTGTGCTTACTGAAAGTCTACTCGGTACAGTCAGGAGAGAAAACCTGGGAAGTCCCTATTGCAACCTTGGAAGATAGAAGAAATCATTTCGGAGGAGATAAAGTCGCGCTCTTTTATGTTGGCAAACGTGTTGGTCTTCTAAAATAGCCTAGCTGCTTAGCAAACCTGAGAGGCAGCAACATCCCGGTGCCAGTGATAAGCAAGTATATCTACCCAATATACAATTGGTATGCCTGAAAACCGAATTCAGAAGCTGCCCAGGAAGAAATAAGCCCTGTCTGAACCTTCATCTGAACATGCAAAACAAGATCGATCATTTCAGCTATGGTAGTTGCCTCTTTCAGACGATGTGGAAGTTATGGCTCAGCTGCATACATGTCGTGCAACTTAGAGTCTGAAACTGAAGAACGGGGATTCTTCCACGGCAAATACGCCGATTGGCCACTCATCTCAGCCTCAGCATAGATCCGGAAGGTCGCGAGGCTGTGCAAATCTTGAAAGGCTGAGACGAGACGAAGCTGATTGCCCAGGTGGGTGGGCTAAAGCCTGGGCATACAATTTTCACCACCGTAGCTGGATATGTAGCCATATGAACATTGACAGCAGAGGAGATGGCTCGGGGTAGTCTTACTGCACAACACAGGCAGATGGGTTTGGAATGGAATATGGAATTGAGTTTTGTGATTAAACTGAAATCCTTCGGTCGGAAGCAAGGAAAAAGTGCAGAACCATACAAATCTCATTAGCCAGGAATGAAAAGATTTAAAAACAATTTCGAAGGGTCAGAAACAGCTTTTACAGGCGGGAGTTATATAAGTAATCCATCGTTACAGTATACACTGTACAATCATATAACCCACATTGAACAACCTTGGAACCACCCGATCATTATTCCAAAACGATAATTCCAATGAATATTCTAGAAAGCCACACCTAAGTGGATCTAACCTAGTGCATCGTAGTACATGCTTATGCGAAATTGTGCCATGAGCTCCTGTCCACATGGCGTCGGACACAAATACCCCGAGCAACCCGGGCACAAATGACCCGACCTTCCCCCACCATCTCTGGCTCTACCATAGTGGCGTATCGCAGCGAACACCGAACCCTCCAATATGCAGCCCCGCCGAGTTCGTGTCTCCCGATTTCGTGTCTCATTCCCCCGAGCTTAAGATGGAGTCTACATGCGGTATCCATTCTGACGCGTCCAGAAAAGGCTTGTCTACGTTGAGGAGTTTGAAAGTAGGTAATTACAAGCGACGTTGGAGACTTTTGGAAAGTAGGATACGGTTCAAATTCAATAAAATCAAATCCGTAAATTTTGGATTATATACAAGGAAAAAGCGTATTTCGATTCATTTCTCGTCATTTTTATCCATAATCCCTTAACCGAAGAGAGCATCGCCCAGACGGTAGTGGACGGTCTTGATCTGGGTGTAGTTCTCCAGCGCGTAGGAGCCGAGCTCACGGCCAATACCGGAGGACTTGAAGCCACCGAAGGGAGCCTGGTAGGAGAGCAGGTTGTAGTTGTTAACCCAGACGGTACCAGCCTTGATGGCGTTGGAGACACGGATAGCAGTGTTGACGTTCTTGGTGTGGACACCGGCGGCAAGACCTGAGAGTAGGAGTCAGTATGATTCATATAGTGTACAATATAGGGAATAATCTTACCGTAAGTAGAGTCGTTACCGATCTTGATAGCCTCGGCCTCATCCTTGAACTTCTGGACAACAATGACAGGACCGAAGATCTCCTCCTGGGCGATCTTCATCTCGGAAGTAACATCAGTGAAGATGGTAGGCTGGATGAAGTAACCCTCAGTACCGTGGCGCTCACCACCGAGAGCAACGGTGGCACCCTCATTCTTTCCGTGGTTGATGTACTCCATGATACGGTCGAACTGGAGCTGGGAGACCTGAGGACCCTGGAAGGTAGAAGACTCGAAGGGGTTGCCGAGCTGGTTCTTAGCAGCACGCTCCTTGAAGCGGGCAACGAACTTGTCGTAGATACCCTCCTGAACCAGCAGGCGGGAACCAGCACAGCAGCACTGGCCGTGGTTGTAGAAGATACCGAAGTTGGCCCAAGAGATAGCGTTATCGATATCGGCATCGTCGAAGACAATGTTGGGGGACTTGCCACCCAGCTCAAGGGTAACCTTCTTCAAGTTACTCTTGGCAGCAGCCTGGAGGATCATACGGCCAACAAGGGTGGAGCCAGTGAAAGCGACCTTGTCAATGTCCATGTGGCTGGAGATAGCGGCACCGGCGGTGCGACCGAAACCGGAGATGATGTTGATAACACCAGGGGGGAAGCCAGCCTCGACAATGAGCTTGGCGGCGTACAGACCAGACAGAGGGGTCTGCTCAGCAGTCTTAATGATGACAGTGTTACCGGCAGCGATGGCGGGACCGATCTTCCAGGCCCACATGAGGATGGGGAAGTTCCAGGGGATGATCTGACCGCAGACACCGACGGGCTCGTGGCGGGTGTAAGAGAGGGTCTGGTTGTTCTGGTCGATGGTCTGACCAACGATCTTATCGGCCCAGCCACCGTAGTAGCGGAGGCAGCCAGCGGCGTTGGTGACGTCGCTCTTGCCTAGGGTAATGGCCTTACCGTTGTCGATGGCCTCGATAGCGGCCAGGGTCTCAATATCACGCTCGAAGAGGTCGGCAAGCTTGGTAAGCATGCGGCCACGCTCCGAGGGGGTCACATCGTGCCAGGCACCCTCGAAGGCAGTACGGGCAGCCTTGACGGCAACGTCGACATCCTTCTCAGTGGCCTCGTGAACGGAACAGATGACCTTCTCGTTGGTGGGGTTGATGGTCTCAAAGGTCTTGCCCTCGACACCCTTAACAAACTCGTTGTTAATGAACCTAAATTGGAAAGAATCAGCACATGTAGCTAACATCAACGGGAGCAGCTGCAGAAAAAAAGGGATAGAGGGAGGTGAGGGGTGAGGGGCACGTACAAGCCCAAGGGCTGTTCGTAGGTGACGTTGGGGGTCTCGACAGTAGTAGAAAGCGACATAGTGAAAAAGAAGTCAAAGGGGTATCACAATGATGCAAGGAAAGGAAACACGAACACGGAATGCGGACGATGGCAACCTCTTATAAATCGACCCAAACCCTTCTCATGCGGGGTTGGGGAACGCCACAGTTACAGAGTGACTTGGCGGGTACCAGCGGGGCACAGCATTAACCCGATATCGACGGAGGTACCGAATAGGTACTAGGAATGTTCACGTAAACTGGAGACAATCTGCAACTCTCTTGCCTTTATTCGTTCGCCATTAGTAACTCCATCTTGCCCCACATAGTTGTCTTTTTCCCCTTTTCGTCCTATGTAGCTTATTGTACCTCTATTCCAACCGAGGCTACCCCACCTCAATACCATGGCCCGACGATGCCGAGATTATGCATCAAATAGGCTTCTACTCCGTACAGGCCGCAACAAAACCCTTGTGGACATGTTTCGGACCAGAGGAGGGGCATGTGGGCCAGGTGTGATCATCGTGATGTTATTCGCTCTGCGGATGAACATCTCCCCGGTTACAGTCGGTGGGGTAGATATGTCCGGTATTCGTTCCGCTCTAGAGCTCGGGTGGAGCTAGCACGAATTTTCATTCGATTTCTTTCGATTGGTTTCAAGGGTTAGCTTAATATTGGTCGGTCGAGAATGATCAGCCGATCAATCCTTGTTGCTCAATTGATTTGGTATTTTCGCGGAATTCAAATCCGTAGGTATGCATACTGTATGTGCGGGGGATCGTCCAAGAATGTATGATTTTAAGCCATGATTTAGTGATTATTTGACTGCTAGTAAAGTCAAACTACTTTAAAAAACAGTTTTTCAGTTGGATTTGTAACCGTGTTCGATAGAACCTGTCAGATCGGAAAAGGTCCAACTTTCGCCTCCTTGCTTAGACTAGCAGTACGCCAGCAGTAAGCTGACCAGAAATCAACTACAACTTGCCACGATTTAGGAAACGAACAGGGAGATCAACATGCCGTGACCGAAGGTATTCCGCCACGTTCTTCCCCAAAAAGTCCACGGTGGTCGTGACCCCAACCCCGCGATCGAGCAAATTACGGAAGAGGAAATGCACTGCCTGAAGACCGGGGAGTTCAAACCGCTCGATCGCCAGCTGTGGCTGCTGAAGCGCATCATCTCCGAGAAGCTTATGGGCTGTGTCTATCGACAAAAGACTACGTAACCATAGGTATTCATCGCGATGACGGACCCAAAGGCCACAGTTCGCATCGGCGCCCTTATCTCCAGAGCGGCCATGAACAATCCACCCCAACGGTCCCCGAATTGTTGGGCCAAAGCCCTTGGCCAAGTCCACAGCTTGATCGGTGTGTGTAGCAGCTTGTGAAGGCTGACGTGAGGGATATGTCTTAGTCTGTGGTGGAGGCGGGATATCAATCACTTGCGTACGTGCTGTGGGTTTCCAGGGTAAGTGGACTTGATGCTGCACAGATGACTGCGGAAGGAGAGTCACGTAGTACTCGAAGACTGCCCGGGGGAAGCCCTGGCGCATGTCCAGGTGGAAAGTTGCCCCAGGGTAACCCTGCATGATGTTATCAGAAATAGGCTTGACGAACTTCCTCGGTCCGAGAGCTTCTTCATCCCGTGCCTGTGCTACAATACGAAGGGGCACAGTGGCACGATTCTGGTTTTTGGCATCAGGCAAATTTGAGCCAAGCAAGTCAAATTTGAGAGACGTGAATTGCCCGGCAGAAGGAGCAAGCAGCCGTCGGATCTGTGCCTCCAGCATTCGGGCCTTGTCTTCGATATCAAGCCCAGTCAGGAACCACCACGCCTCCGCTTGGAAGCCACCACGCGCTGTTATACCAACCTTGGTGGTGGGAGGGGGTGGACCCGATTGGACCCCTCGTACAGCGACTCGGTTGACACCTCGCTGCTCAAAGTGAATGCCATCGATAATGGCGGTCACATCCGAGTTGTAGTACCACGGCCCTTGAATTTCATACAATAATTGAGAAGTGCAGGTGTCCACTGTGACAGCACCGCCAGTCGAATGAGCCTGCTTGGTGATCACGACGTCACCCTCAGCGGAGATTTCAGCGATCGGATATCCGATGTTCGTCCAACCGTCACCACCGTGCTCCAGAGATTTGAAGCCAGTGTAATTACCACCGCACACGTAATTGCTGCATTCGATGAGATGACCCGCGACGAAAGCGTTCGCTAGCTTGTCCAAATCACTACGCTGCCAGCCATGATACCAGTAAGCAGCCCCAATCACTGGCGAGGCATCTGATACTCGACCGCATAGAACGATATCAGCTCCTTCGGCGAGAGCTGCAGCAATCCCCAGCCCGCCGAGATAACACTGGGCATATATAGGCTCAAAACCCCAGTCGGTCAACTTTTCACCGGTGTAAATGTTCCGAAAGTCAGATTGGCCGCCGGAAAGTGCATTCTGGATAGCAGGTAATACCTCATCACCAGTAACGTACGCTACCTATAAAAACCGATTAGTACTGAGACCTCCTAGAGACAGCTTGAAGATATGTACTTTTAGATCAAGTCCCTTTGCTTGCACCATCCGCGAGACAACATCAAAGAGACCTTTGGTATCGCACACCCCAGCATTCACAGCTACCTTGATACCATGCTTGGCTATATCACCCAAAGCTGGCTCCAAAGCTTCGAGGAACGACAGATCATACGCTGGCATTGCATTGCCAGCCTGGTCCATTCGCCGACCCGCGAAGGTTGCCATATTGAACTCGCTCATAAAGTCAGCGATAATAACATCAACGGGGTCGGTTGGGTAATGTCGGGCAAATTCAGCAATAGCATGGCGACGGTCTGAAGCAGAGCCCGAAGCACCTGAGGTGATTTAGCCAATGCTGCACTGTATGAATATTGAGAGACATACCTGCAATCCGGATGGGTCTGCCTGTAAATGTCATGGCTAGTTTAATCAATTGGCCTTATTTCAGGCGTTGGAAGAATAAAGGGCATTTCAATGTAAGGGATTCCAAGGTTCCAAGAAGATCGTCATGTTGCATGTTGCACGACCGAGGCAACTCGGTCCCGATAATGCGGGGTTAAGATCTGATAATGAACCAATCTTGTGGAAATCGCATAGTCGGCTACTTACTGTGCATTAATTGTTGTGCGAAAATCGAGGACGTAAATTACTTTTATGATTTATTTGAAGATGAAACATCGGTGGCTGCAGGATGGGAGATATGGTAATTGTGCTAGGTACTATATGCAAGGTTTTTGTTTAAGAGATAGTTCATTTCTTAATAATGCAGTCGTAAGAATCATACCGAAGCGCTATAGGAAATACCGCCAACTACCAGAACAGATACTGTATCGCTGGACCTCAGGTCGGCTCGAAGGCAGAGTCTGAGTCGTCGTCATCATCGCTGATAGTCACCTTGGTGGTTGTGCGGGTGGACCGAGAAGACCGGGGTAGGCTGCTGGCCTGCGAACCAACAAAATCGAGGGTGGTTTGAGTCGGTTGGGTTGGTTTAGCAGACCTACCTCCTCGGCGGGGGGCAGTTGCACCGATAGTAGCTGACGAGGGAGCTGGCGAGGCTGCAGCACGCCCACCACGGCCTCGAGTAGTCGCTCTAGCTCCGCGCGCCCTACCCCTTGAAGTCGTTGCACGAGGTTGTTTGACGAACAAAGCTTGTGAGTCGTCATCATCATCCTCCGAAACTACATGGGTAGGCTCATCGTCATCATCATCCAGCATGATCACATCGTCGGCTGACTCTTCCTCAGAGAGGGCCTTGGCTTTACGTGCCCTGGATGGGGCAGCGGCTTTGGTAGAGCCCCGAGTACTAGCAGCCGCACCGCGGCCACGTCCCCTCCCCCGAGCGCGAGTTGAGATTGCTGCCGCACGACTGCGAGCTGGTGCGGAGCCATCTTCACCCGCTTCTTCTTCAGCTGGGTCACCTTCATGATCTGAGTGAATAAGAGCGCCCGGCTGATCCTCCCATGAACCGTCAAACTCGCTATCCCAGCCGTCTGGCTTGGGCTTAAATCGCTTTTTACCTCGAGTAGTGCGTTTCTTGACACCCCTGGAGAAAAGGTCTTCCATCTGGGTGCGGTATTTTTCCATGGCTGTAACCAAAGAACTCTGAACACCCTCCTCGTCATCCATATCATCCTCATCACGGTCCAAAGCCATGAGGTGTTTGACCTGGCTCTCTAAGGATTCATTCACAAACATTTCCATAGCATGTTTGTCATCTTTATCAATAAATTGAGCCACCGCATCACCGAACGTGTTTTGAGGGAGAATGCTGAGCGACTGTGATGCGAGAAATTCTTTGACTAGTTGATCCACCTTGACGGTATCAAGACCTGTCAAGTGTGAAACAGCTGCTTCGTCAGTCGCATCGGCCTTTCGTGAAGTTGCACCTCGCTTCTTGCGGTGGAATTGCACCACATCATTAACGTTGGCAACCTTTCCCACAAATCTATTGGAGAATCTTTGGGGATTCTCACACTCGTAGCTCCCACCCTCGGGCGTAGAGATCTCGACACGGAGTCGAACGAGTGGCAGGGGCATCTCTTGAACTTCCTCATCTTCATTGATTTCGCTGTTCACCTCTAACCATTCTGCCTTGGCCTCCTCTATTAATTCTTCAACGATCTCCATGAGAAGCCGAGTCACCTCGGTTCGATTGTTCTCCTTGCGGGCCAACTTTTGGGCTCCTTTCTCCTCTGATAGAACAATCTCTCGCATCACGAAAGGCCGCACGGTTTTCAAACGAATCGGCTCGCACTTAAATTCCCGTCCTGTGATACTCATTATGGCAACTTGTTTTGGCACGGCCTCTCCGAGTGCTAAAGATGTGGCCACAGAAGACCCCGGCTGCATGACGTGGAAGTTCATCTCTGGATTAAGCCGAGGATTGATAAGACATTCGTGCTCGTGGCCCCACAGGATAAAGTCCATAAATCCAGGCAGGAAGTTTTCTGGTAGATAGCCGGTCTCGGTGTACTTATGGTGATTCTGATGTACGGACATCAGATTGAACCAGTCGTCCTTCTGGATAGAGGGCTGGAAAAACTTGACCTTTCCATCTCTGAAGGTGCGGTATAGACGCTCATCACGAACGTTGCTCATTCCGTAAAGAGCAAGCTTAGTCCGTCCCTTCTGAAGGAGAACTGGCTTGATTTCTATATTGTCTGACTCGGGCGTCCGGCCATAGTAGTTGAGGAGACCAGATACTTGCAACAAGTCAAGGGCTGCGAGATGACCCTCGCCCGATGGATCATCATGGTTGCCGTGGATCGAGAAGACGGGGATGGCGATGTTCATATCCAAGTCCTCGTAATTGACATGATTGAAAGCGCCCTGAAAGTTCTCACTAGCATCACTGAGCAGCTCCAGCTCACAGGGTTTGTCTCCAAAACAGTTCATTCGGATTGATCGCATCACTTGATACATGGACTTTCTTGATGGCTTGTTCTCGTGGAACAAATCTCCCGCCAACAGCACCATGTCCACATCCTGTTCTTTTGCAAGACACATGATTTCGTGAAAGGTTTTCCAGCTATCATCACCCCGGATGGGGTCTCTCTCATTGTAACCAACATGGTTATCAGTTGAGATGAGAATGCGGATCGTCTCCGCCTCTACGTAGATCAGCAAAGGATCTCTTTCGGTAATATTTGAAGCAGGGCTTACCGTCCACTCCTGACATGTTGATTAACTACCAGCTGGCTTATTGTGTTCAATAAAGAGATATCGCCACCTGGTTATAATGGAAGTGAGGTCATGGCAGAGATGCAAGATGCAAGACACCGCGTAAAAGCGCGTGGTCACGTGATCTGACGCGTTACTTATGCAGCAATAATCTCAGTCATAATGTGGATTCACTACAGGGACTGATAGGTATGACTCATTATGAATGAGTACGCTGAAAATGACAAGACATGTTGTGTAGCCATAATAGTTACTAAATACGACCAAAGAAAGTGTAACTTGAAAAGAAATTTCCATTAAACTCGAGTTCTCGACTTTGCTGATTGGCCGCTCCCGGTCGCCGCTTTTCGCCTCCATTCAGGCTTCGTACCTCTTCTCCTCCTCAACGCTTCACTTCGCACGTTCCACCCTCTTCAACTCGCATTTCTATACCTCGACTGGCCCAGGTTTGTTGCTGGCTCAGTCGCTTTCATACAAATCTTCTCCCAAGTTCTTTCATGCAATCCGAGCCTACTGCCGTTTCCGAGAAGACGTCTTTCCGAGATTCACCCCCCGCGAATACCAGTTCTACCCAGCATGGAAATGATTCTGAAGCCGGCCCAGTCTCTGGTCTTCTCCAAGAGAAGCCTGGAGACCCGGCAGCGCTGGACTGGTCGTCTCCCGCAAACATTCACGCGGCCTTGAGCGAATGCGACTCGAGCGATGTTGCCTCAACCCCGCCCTCGGCTCAACGGGTTAGCCAGTATGAGAATGCTGGGTCTCCAGGCAGGAAAGGTGTAGACCTTGGACTTCCAGATGTGGCTAGTGGACCGTCTAAACTTCCTTTGGAAACCCTACCGAATGGTATGCAAATATAGCCTAGATGATAACTCTGCTGCTGCTTTGTCGTACTAACAACTATCTGAAGAGGTTCTTACCCACATCTTGTCGCATCTTCCACCTCAATCTCTTTCGGCGATCACCTTGGTATCCCGTCGTTTCCATGCACTCGTGACGACCCCGCATGCCTGGAGAATCGCTTTCTCGCGGTTCTTCCCCGGCCCTCAAAGCGTGGTGGATGCGCGCCGCTCAGATCAGGCTGACCTGGCGTCGGATAGACGGTATTTCGCGCGGCTGACGGCGCTCGCATCTTGGCGCAGTGAATACATTCTCCGTACTCGTTTAATGCGATCGCTATCACGAGGCAGGCCGGCTGACTTCCAGCCCTCCAAAAAACATGGCACCGTTCGCGCGGCAACGTCTCGCAATGGTAGCGCGGTCGCTACATACACTTCGCAGCTGGTGCTCCCTGTGAGCCATATACATGGCTCTTTTAACAGCCCTGATAAAGAGCCGAAGTTCATCCATGGCGCTTCTGAACAGGGAATCGCCTCGGCGAGTGACCCCTCGACTGTGAAAGTGAGCACCTGGGGATTAGCAGATCACCAGATGTTCCGGCACTTTGCAGATATGTTCCCTGGAGATGCACCGTATGGTCTTGGGGCCGGGGACATGGTCGGCACGTCCAACTCCATGGATGTGAGCCAACCCTACGGCATGATCTATGGTGAGGGTTGTCCGCAAGGTCGCAGCTACTTCATCTCAACTACGGAGCAGCGCGGCCGGTTCTTGGGGCTTTCTGACTTGGGCTCTCACCCCAAGCTTGGTATTCCCGCTGTGAACATGATCCACCATGCAGTGTGTTCCGTGTGGATTGCCAAGTCCGCTTCAATACTCAAGACGACCTCAGGTATTATTGGTATGATGTCTGGCTCTTCTTCCGGTGTACTCACCGCGTATGCGCTGGGTCCTCATCCTACATACGAGAGGCGGTACGAGAAAGGGCAGGTAACTGCCAGATGGGTTTTGTGCCCGGGTGTGCCGATCATCAGCATTGCTGTCGATGAGAGCTACTCGCCGAGGCGTTACTCTCGCCGGCGCATTTGGGCTGTTGCTTTGAATGCGTTGGGCGAGATTTTTTACCTGACGGATATTCCACGGTCGCAAGAGGTTTCACCAACGGCAAAATTGACTGCTGAGCAGTTTGACGAGCTTGCCTGGAAGACTGGTCGTACGGTGCGCTGGGAACTTGTTGAAGCAAGTCGGCGCATCGCTCGCCCAGACCCTTTCAACCGGGAACTCGTTGATGGGAGCTATACCCCCCGGTCCTCATCAGATGTAATGCATCTCGATGAAAATCAGATCGCCGCAGAAACCAAAGAAATCGAAAAGTTTCTTTCCTTCAAACCGAAGCATTTCCGCAAAGTTTGTGAAGGCTGGAATATGCGGCGCGACCTACAAGTTGATTTTGCAGGTGACGATGGACGCGGATCTGGGGAGTCGGTCATTGTTGTCGCTCGAGGCGCTGATGAGACCGAGAAAGCATCCATTCGACGATACATCCGAGCTGTGTCCAATTCTGGCTTGAAATCATCACCGGGAACTCCAGGTCAGGAGCAACCTCGCTCTCTGTTCGGTGGTCCAGTTGGTGCCTCAACTCCGTCCAGCATTCCCGCGTCTCGATCGTCGGGTCAGCTGAACGAAACGGTTGAGAACAGCGAATGGAGGATCTCAAACTTCGAGTTTGATGATCGCAAGTCAATTGAAGTGACTACTACTGCCTTGGATAGCTCTCTATTCGCGACCGTCACTGCAGAGGAAGATCCTCTTTTAGCAATGTCTGGAAGCTCCTTTTCGTCTGCAACATCCTCCCCAATGCTGCCTCATATGGACCAGCCACGGACAGTTCTTGAAGTTCCAGGACAGCGAGCAAGATACCTAGCTGTGGGAACGGCCACCGGCGCGGTGTACGTTTGGGACATACGTGCATTGCCAGCACAAAACCCAGACGTCATCAATACCATCGCTCCGCTCAGGATCATTCAAACCGAGTCCCCCCAAGTATCCTGCGTGGCACTCACATCGTTATATTTGGTGCACGGTGGCAACGATGGCCTCGTACAGGCCTGGGATCCCTTGGCCTCATCCACGCGCCCAATTCGGACCATCAATTCTCGTTTCTCATCCCGGGCTCGGCGTCGCCTGGTTCAAGCAGAAGCCACCATGCACGGCGTTGGAAATAATTTTTTCGCTACGGGCGCCATCTGCCTAGACCCAGATCCAACGGTTCTCCGCGGTATGGTATCTCTCGGTACCCACCTCCGGTACTGGTCGTACAGTTCATCTGGTGCCGATCAGTACAAAGGTACCAAACGCCAACTTCGACGTGGTCTTCGCGGCAGTAACGGGGGCGGCATTGGGCAACGCTTCACTCCTAGTGGACGCGGAGCAATTCATGATTTCATCGAAGATGAACGCAAAGAGATCAAACGACAAGAGATCGAAGACGCTAAAGAGCGAGCACATCTCAGCGCCCGTTTCGGCATAGATTTACTTGGTCCCGATATCGATGAAGAACAACTTCTCCTCTACGCCCAACTTCTAAGCCAGGAAGCGCAAAGCGGAACAGATGCGCAGAAGCGTGAAGAGAACGCTATTGCAAGCTCTGTTGGCACTTCTATTAGTGATCCAGCCGGACCTAGTTCTTGTGGTTTGGATGATTTGTCGTCTTCTTCGTCGCCGTGGCAAAACGCCGCCGATGACGCCGTGGATGATGATTTGGCTGAAGCTATTCGTTTGAGTCTGCTCGATGAGAAGCCTACTGACTATACCCCTCTGCCTGACTTGACGCCATCTATCCCGATTAAATATGCGAAGGGTGTTAGACGGCGGTCGTTGTCACCGTCTCCGTCAGTGGCTGGCCCCGAGAGCAGTCAGCAGAAAGAGATGGATGATCTTGAATTTGCTATTCAGCTTAGCTTGGCTGAGGATCAAAGTCGTGATGTCCAAGAGTGGGAGGAATACCCTGCTCTTGCATCGGGGCCCTTGTCCTCTTCTCAATCTTCTGGGAAGGGCAAGGGCAAGGCGAGAGCGATCTAGGCGGTAGATTTTTCATATGCATACACCTGCAGTGGAATGGATTAATATGTAGAGCCGGCATTTATTTCGCATACTGTTGATTTTGTTTATTTATGTTGTTGCTTTTCCGTTCTCGGTTAGAGTTAGACTCGAATATATGTTTTATTATCAATGATTCTAGAGCTTTAAACAGAAGCAGTGATAGAACCATAGGCCTAGAAACAACAGCTTTAATAGTCGACCCGAGTCAAACAAGCAAGTGAAGTATTCTGGTTAGAAAACGTCAAAAAGGTATTATAAGTCCACGTGTCAAGGTGACGCCCTGAATTAAGAACAGTAGGTTGACAATTGTTCCCTCACAATGGAGTAAGGTACCCAAAACAAGTATTCAATCTCCAGGAATGCATGGCCGAGTTAACTAACTACGACTATGAAGCCTCACAAGATATCAGATAAAATAGAGACACTACACTACCTCGGTAGGAATGTCTCAGTCATGAAAAGACATTCATTGTTCAATACACAACAACCATGTGCAAGAATAGTAAAAATAACAAATAACCAAGCATCCACAAGAAACCTGCCGAAGAAGTAAAAAAAAAAAAAGAGAAAACCAATTTCTAAACTCTATGCATCCACAAGCCATATCCTTACATCAAGGAAGCAAGCAGCATGAAGAAACCGCTAATACCACCAAGAGCAAGGGGAGCGCCGTTGATCATGGCAGCGTTGCTGGTGGAAGTAGAGGTTCCGGTGGAAGAGGAAGACGAATTGGTACCGCTGGGACCAGCAGACTCATCATCACTCAGGATCTTGAAAGTGAGGCCAGTGATCTGGGCACCAGTGTAGTCGTACACAGTCTGGGAGAGAGAGGTGCTAGTGACAGAGACAACAGAGCCGGTGGGAGCATCGGGCAGACCACTCTTGATGTAGTCAGAGACCTTGGAGGGAGCTGCGGGCAAGTCCCAGGCATTGTAGAAGTCCGAGCTGGTAATGAGATCAGCAGCACACTCGGGAGCAGAGATGCTGGTCTGGGTGCTGTTGGCAGTCGAAATGCGGTCCATATCGAGCTTGTTGAACTGCTTCTTCAAGTTGTCGAAGTCGACCAGGGTGGTGACAACGGAGGAGCTGTTAATGTTGACGAGACCATAGTTGTTATCCTCCTGAGTCCACTCGTAGACAAGACCACCAGAGAAAGCCTGAGTCATGTCCTCGCCGTACAGAGCCTGAACCTCAGAGAAGGTACGGGGAGTAACCTCGTTACATCCGTACTCAGAGAAGAAGACGGGCAGAGTGGCGTTGGAGAAGTCCTCAGTAAGAACATTGTATCCAGAGGAGGTGTAAGTGGCATCACCACACCAGGAGTAAGAGTTCAGACCGAAGAAGTCAGCAGACGACTCGGTGGAGTTGGAGAGAGTGCACTCGAAGTAAGTAGCAGTGTCCATGAGGATATCACGGACATCAGCAGCGGAGTAACCGACGGGGATGGTGCGGTCAACGTTGTTCTTGATGTACTGCTTCATATCACGAACGACAGCACGAACATAGGCAGGAGCGCTGTAGGTAGCGTCCTCATTGATGACCTCGTTACCAGCAAAGAAACCGAGGACGTTATCGAAGGCCTTAAAGGCCTCGATAACACCGAAAACCTGCTTATAGTAGCCGGCGTTGTAGCTGGTCCAGGGCTTGGCTCGGTTCAGCGAACCAGTGGAGTAGGGGGAGTTGACGTCGAGGATCATATAGATACCGGCCGCATCGAAGATTGAGGCACACTCGTTGTGGTCCAGGGTGGGCTCAATGTTGTAAACACGAATAGTGTTGATCTAGATAGACTATAATTAGTACATGCTTATTCTCGTTCGCAAGTACGTGCGTGTTCTCGTCTGCATGATTGCAAGATCATTTGATCATTCGCAGGTACCGGCTTATTCCGTTCGCATGTTCGTACTTACACCCAGTTGCTGCATGAGAGTGGCATCACGGAGACAGGCATCGGGCTGGCTCAGGGGATCTTTTTTGGCGCTAAAGCCGGACTCGCCACCGGGCTGGTAGCTATGTGCGTGTCAGTTCAATGTCTTGATGCGAAGCTGGTTATCAAATTCGGCAACATACTCAACACCGATAATCTGGAAACGCTCCTTGGTCTTGGAGTTGACAAAGTCCTTGCCGTCAACCTCAAGAGTGGTGACAGCAGCGGCAGTGCCCATCAGGGCAAAGGCAGCCGTAAGCACACGGCCGTAAGACTATATCACGTCAGCCCAAGAACCTTTCCACACCGCGGATTCCATGATATTTGCTATGAATTTTCCTTCATCTGGATATTGGGTTGTACATACGAAAACCATGATGAAGCGATCGGGGAGTATGGGGGTAAATAAATGCTTGAAACGGGAGAGCGATTGGAGGTATAGAAAGTTGGGGAGCGAACGACAGCGCAAAGCGCGGGAAAGAACGAACGTCAGGCGATATAGATCACCAAAGAATTAGAGATAAAGCGAATAGCAAGCAGATCAGGTTGAAGTTAAAGAAAAAGGAGAATGGGAGTTTAAAAACCAGCGGATTATGATCGGCGGGGGAGACACTTCAGCGTGAGGTGGAGCCCACTATGGATGAGCGTCCAGTCACGATCAGGGTTAGGGGTCCAAGTCCCTGAGTCCCTGGAAGTTCCTGAGACGCTGCGGGTCCGTCATGAAGTCACACCTCTGGCACCAATTAATTATAAGGAATTGATTGGTTTCAATTCCCCCCAGTTTCAGCCACATTTTCTATTTTCAATCGGTCCATTGTGGATCATCTGATTCGTCTTCTAAAATACATTCTGTATATCATGGCCCTTTTCCCTTTTTTTCCCCAGAAAATGCACAACTCAACACAAAGAATAAGTGGAATCCAAAGAACAACAAAAGGGGGTGGGAAACGAATCCAAATTCCTGGCGCCGAGAAATACCAAGGCCGGGCCAAGCCCAATACATATACACATGCGCGAAAGATGGCAAAAAAAGGAAATAGTGGAGAGTGAAGAGGGCTGTGAAAGAGGAAGGCGTGAGGGAAAAAGCGACAATAATACAGCCAAGGTCAAGCCAAGGAAAAGAAAGGGTGTAGGTTCTCGAATTTACTCGACGCCGTGGTTATCGGCGGCACCCTCACCAGTGAAGGAGCCCAGCTTGAGACCGGCATCCATGGCGACCATCTCCGCCAAGATCTCCAGAACCTCCTTAGGGACGGTCTTGTCGTAGATGGAGATCAGGTCCTTAGGCTGGGGGTAGACCTTGAGGGCCTTGTAGAAGGCGAGAGCGGCCTCAATCTGGCTAGAGCCTGTTGCATAAATTATCAGCATCTTGTCCAATGATCGTTGGTTCCGTCTCCGGGGCTATCAGCGGCCGCGGTTGTTGTGATACGTACCATCCTGGCACAGTCCTTCACCGGTAGCAACCTGGTTCATGAAGTAGGACTCCTTCTCCTCAAGATCGGTGGGGAAGCCCTCCTCCTTGGCGCGTTGCACGACCTGCTTGATCACCTCACGCTGCTGAGCACCCTGGGCCTCGACCTCCTCCTTCACGGCCTTGGCGAGACGCTTGTTGTTGCGCTTCAGGGACTTGCGGAACTCGGCATCGGTCTGGCGCTTGTGATCGAAGTAGGCAGCGTAGGCTGATTGAGATGGAAATTAGATGGAACAAATTGCGTTGCCGGCAAAGTCCGAATGCTTACCGAGCAGACCGGCGACGATAGTGCCGGCGGAGGCGGCGACCAGGACAGATGTGCGCATTATGAAGGATTAAAAGGTGTAAGGTGGAATGAATGACGCGACCGGGCTCTAGAAAACAGCGATGGGGTTGGAAGGTGACGAAGCTACGTGTTTTGGGAGGATAAATTTGAATTGGACAGGAAATTTGTTCTTCCGGCCTTACTACTCAGCTTCGGGTCGACGTCACTAACACAGTTCACAATGATGTTGGACATTGGTAAATGAACTTCAATTGATTCAAATGGATTGAACAAGTATTCTACATCACATACACAGTCAAGGCCAGCTCCATGCCACTATTTCAAGCCAGAGAGATGACTGCATGCACAATGATACGTCATCTCATTAACTAGGCCACAATCAATTAGACCAAGTAAAGATGATTTTGTCGAGACTACTTTTATTGTTTAAGAGGTAGATATTATGCTCGTATGGAAATGATATCCACCTTTGATCGTAGCAAAAAAACAGTTCGCTGTCCTTGTTGCGTCGAATAGATGATACCTACCGCTAGCCCGATACGGGAGCCTCCCAACTTCCCCTTGTCCAATCTCCAAACGTCCCATCCCATCCCCAATCACAATAATGGAAGGCCGAGGTTTGACTCTGCGGAGTAAATCTCGCCGTCAACGTCCTCAAATCAGTGCTCCGAAACCTATCTCCAGTCCCTTACCGCCAAACACCAGAGCCCCCGATGCCGGCCAAAACGCTATCCCCGCTGGCAAGGACCGAGCTCCCCAGAGCGATGCCACCGCCGATTTGGTGAAAAGACGGTACTCGACCAGATTCAATAACCTCGGCGACATCGATACTAGTGCACCTCCTGTCCCTGCGCTACCCCCGCCGGTGCCTGGGGGTGGATATGGTGGGCTGCCATCGACCGCTGCCCCAGGACAGCCATTGCCAGTAGACGGAGCTCCCTCGTCATCGCCTAAAGTGGATTTGAATGCCCTGCGAGACCCCAGTTTACCAGTAGAGCGATGTACGTGCGTTATCATATCCCCGCCTGGCTCAAGCTAACACGTATCCAGATGTGGCTAATCTCCTTGCGAACGCATCCGAGGAGGATATCCAAAAATACCAAGAAAGCCTCCGCAAAGTCAAGAATCGAACCTCCACCGACCTCCAACAGAATGTCTATCAGAATCGCACACAGTTTATCAAGATCAGTAAAGAGGCCGAGAAGCTCAAGGACGAGATGCGGACCCTCCGGACCCTCATGGCCGAGCTCACCAATGCTCTCGGACAGACGACCGTTGGGAATACCCCGAATCCCATGTCTCCCGTCGACGACCAATTCCCGAAGCGATCAAATCGCAGCTCCGTCGCCAACTTGGAAAGCATGTGGAGTGTCCAATTGCAGACCCTATGGAAAAGCGTGGAGGGCTCTCAGAAGTTCCTGCCGGCGGTGCCTGGGCGACACATTGTGCTAGAGACGGGCCACTGGGCAGAGCTGGACTCCGCCACCTGGAAGCCAAAACGACCAGTCCACATTGTCTTGTTGAACGACCACCTGTTGGTCGCTGCGAAGAAGCGCAAGCGTGTGGATCACAACAACCCCGCTCACCATGGACCGATTCCAACCAAGTTGGTTGCGGAAGAGTGCTGGCCGCTGCAAGATATCGACATGATTGACTTAGCAGCAAATCTGGGGACCGGTGCGGCGCGAGAGGAGGCCCTGGATCGTGGCATTGGCAATGCTATCAGTATCCGCGTGGGGTCGAAGCCATTTACCTATCGCCAGGACAAACGGGATACATCTACCAAAAACGAACTCCTCGCGACCTTCCGTAAAACCGTGGAAGATTTGCGGCGGAACTTACGATCGGAAACCGAAGCTGCCAGCAAGCCTCTGGAGGCTTATGGATATCTCGCTGGACGACACACGTCGTTCTCTCAAAAGGCCGATCAGTTTGAGCTTACAGATAGCCCACGCGACAAGTCAGATGTGCGCATTGATGTGGATGGCAAGCAGCAGAACCTCCGCTGGGTGGAAGGACAAGTTGACGAGCTCGACATCGATATTGCGCTGCAGCGTTTTGAGGCCGCGGTGTTTAGCATCGAAAAGCTTCGAAAGCTAGCGAAGGGATTGAAGGGAAATTCCATTGCCCAGGACGTGATCAATGTGAAGGTTGATGGACGTGCAACACGACTCGCTGGAATACTCTCTCGTGCGCTAGTCGACACACACTCGTTTCCCACGGCGACGAAGACCAATGTCTCCTGGTTGACTCGCTTAGGATTTGAGGATCAAGCCCGTGAAACGTACTTGAGGGCTCGAACTGACATTATTGCGAAGCGTATCCGGTGAGTCCCATTGATTGTAGTACATAAGCCACTTCTAACATCGCAACAGGGCCTGTGTATTTGAGGGCGACCTTCCTCTCTACATCTTCCAGATTTCATACGTCTACTTCAGTCTCATCAAAAACACTGTCGGCATCTACCAGCAATGTTTCCCCAGTTCAATGTCCAGCTCGTCTATCCGCTGGGCTAAGCAGCATCTGGACGGTTTCAACGCTTTGCTCAGTCGCCAGCTCAGCAGTGTGCAGCGGGGCACATCAATTTGGGATAAGTGCCTGGAGATTGTGCATGAGCATGCGGCACACTTGAACAGCGTAGGAATTGACTTTACGGACTTGGTGGCGCAAGGATTAGACGACCCGAATGAGAACGGTGGTCCACGGGCTATACAGCCAGGTGAACTTGCTGCGCCATCTACTCTCGCCAATCTATAGATTTAGTGGCATATAAATGACCTTGGATGCGAAGGAGACCTTACGAGAACATTAGGGAATGGAATTGAACTTAAGATCCTTGACGGAATTTGACATACATTCATTCACTGGTGTTTTCCATCTACATGTACCTATCCATGGACCCAAGGAGGTCTACGGGCTCGTACCCGCTACTTTGAGGCCCAAGGCTTCACTGATTCTCTAGTCCTCGAGCAGCAAGTGATTATCAACCGCCCAAGTAGCGACTCGTCAGTGCCGATAACCGTCCAAGCTCAAACATCCGGAAGGTCGGCGATAGGATCCTCTATACAGCGTGCTGCTTTCATCTAATCCGACAACGGGGCACTCTCGGGAGACCGTGCAGCTAGCTCTTCGGAACGCAGTAATTTTACAAAGCCTGTTTTCAAATGACGCACGAGGTAGGAAAACATCATGGAAGCCCTGCTGATTCGTTCGAGTCCGGTTATTTCGGCATCCTGATTCATTAGTGGCCTGCAGGCTGACCATAAGCGGTTGCATCCGACGAGTGGGGGCTTCGGAAGCTGGGCGCCACAATATACTAAGGACTTCGGGTCAGCACCACCACAATGCACACCAAATATAGACTAGTCACCTTAGTGAAGCTTTGCAGAGACAAGACTGTGTGGACTACCTCGTCCGAGTGGGTACGTCGTGCACACGGATGATCGACCGGGAAGCCCCATTGTCATTAGCAGCGCCTCGGAAGGACCTGATAGCACATCATACAACAATCTCCAGATTCCGAAGATTCGACAATACCTCAACCATGGATCGGATAACTAGTTTTGCGATTGAGGATATACGGCATCTCAAAACAGTCAAATAGTCTGCTTGAGAACACCATCATCCCTCATTCCATTCACCATCGCATCTCAGCATCTCAGCATCTCAGCATCCAGCATCCAGCAACCAGCATCCAGCAAGCAAAAGTCATCTGAAGCCAAAGCCAGTACACTATTTCATTACCAAACATATACTTCAAAGAAAAAACATCACCAATCTTCTACAAAAAAAAATGGGTTTCCAAGACAAGCGCGTTGTTGTCGTCGGCGGTGGTCTCGGCGGCATGGCTTTCATGAACGCCGCCCAGTACGCTGGCGTGAAGAACATTCAGTGCTACGAACAAGCCCATCAATTCGGTGAAGTCGGCGCCGGAGTCGACATTTCCGCCAACGCAAACCGTATCCTCGATGCATTTGGCCTAAAGGAGTCTCTTCTGAGCCGCTCTTCGCCCCAGCTACCCTACTACATGCAATACCACAATTACAAGTCTGGCGAGTACCTCGGCCATATCGAAGAATTCTCCGAGCCGCATGCCCGTCTGATTCACCGAGCTCACCTCCTCGACTCTCTCAAAGAGCCTGTCCCGAAAGAGCTTCTCCACCTGCAGAAGCGTCTCGCACGCCTCGACCGCAATACCAGCCCCGACGCCGCGCCATACACCCTCCACTTCGAGGACGGCACCACCACCGATGCTGACATTGTGATCGGCTGCGATGGCATCAAGTCTCGAGTCCGTCGCGAACTCGGCTTCGGAGACTCGCCCAATTACTCCGGCCAGGTCGTTTACCGTGGTTTCGTCGAGTACAAGGATCTACCCGAAGAGACCGCCAAGTTGCTGCACAATGTTGTCAACTTCCGTGGCCCGAAGCGGCACATCCTCTGTCTCCCTATCGGTAACCCGGCTACTAAGACAGACCGTATTGGTGTTATTGGATTTATGTCTGAGCCCATTGAGTCCTGGGATTCGGAGAATTGGATGGCCCGTTCGGACATCAGCTCCCTGCACGAACATGTTAAGGACTGGTGTCCACAGGTCCAGGATATCATTGAGGGTCTCCAGGCTGGATCGCCTGATGGCCGTATGCTCAAGCAGGCGCTGTACGTGCGCGAGCCGATTGAGAAGTGGTACGAGATGAAAGAGGGCCAGAAAGACGCGGGTATTGTTCTTCTGGGTGATGCTGTGCACTCGACACTTCCGCACCAGGGTAAGCTATATAGATATCTATGCTTCTACGAAACCATGACTAACATTTGATATAGGCCAGGGTGTCTGTATGGCGATTGAGTCTGGCATCGCTCTAGCGACTATTCTCACTCACTGGAAGAATGACGACTTGCATGCTGCATTCCAGTTTTATCAGGACTTGCGCAAGCCTCGCACGGATCGAGTTACGAAGACTAGCTTTGAGGCTGGAAAACTTGCTAGCTCGGATGACCCTGATCATTTGAGTGAGACCTTCAATCCCCAGGCTTTGATGGAGCGTATGAAGTGGATTATGGAGTATAATGTGCTTGATGACTTGAAGGCCAAGGGTGCTGAGTATATGGACTTTACTGAGTCGCAGATCTGAGGACCTTAGAGTCATGGTCGCGAGATGATAGATTTCTTGTTTTTAGATCTTCTGCTATTGTTGTTTTGGCTTTAGTCTTGCGTTAGGATCGATAGAATGAATCTTTAGATTTGGATGCCAATGTTGCGAGGCCTGCACAGGCTATGGTCTTATCCCGCTTGATATAAACTTCCAGCTAGTAGGCTTAGGCAATTTCTAGCCACAAATCGAATGATAGCGTACTGTTTCTGTAGTCTACTCATGTAGTCCGTTTCAAACTGATCAACGCCACTATAATAAATATTTATTCTTGTGGCATCGGAAGATAACTAGTTGAGCCTTCGTATCATTTGTGGTCGTTGTGGGCATGGCTTTGCCATTGCCGGATCGACACTTGGGCAACACATCTCCGATTATGCTGCCATCATCACTAGGCAGCACCATCACTTCTTCCGAGTCTTTAAATGCAGTCCTCTAGACCGCCCCCCGGTCAGTAATAGTTTGAAATTTGGTCGGTCTGCATAGCGATCGAGAAGGAGTGCCTTAACTTCTTTACCGTATATGGGATCCCCAGCCGCAGCTTTCACCAATTCGTGGGTCATGGTGATGTAGTCTCCATAACGATCGAGAAGGAGTGCTATTACCTCCAACTTATCACTGAAACAATTTCCAAACACCTCCTTCACCACTTCGTTGATGACTCTTTGGTCTCCGCAGCGATCGAGAAGTAGTGCCAATACTTCTACTTTATCACTTAATGGATTTCTGATCACCTCCTTCACCACATCGTTGATGACTATCTGCTCTTCATAGCGATCGAGAAGGAGTGACATGATTTCTTTGCCACTTAAGAAATTTATAGCCGCATCCATCACTAGCTCGTTAGTGACGGTGATCTGGTCTCCATATCGATCGAGAAGTATTGCCATCAATTCTCCACCACTTGTGGGGTTTCCAGCCGCAATCATCACCAGCTCATCAGCGATAGTGACCTGGTCTCCATAGCGATCCAGGAGAAATTCCAATATGCCGTTCTTCCACAAAAAGGCTTCAGCCGCTGCCTTAATTATCTCATTGATAGGTGTCTGATCTCCATTGCGGTCGAGAATGAGTGCCATCACTTCTTTACCATTTATGGGATTCAGAGCCGCAGCTCCCACCAGCTCGTCGGTGATGGTGATATGGTCTTCATAGTGGTTGAGAAAGACTGTCATAACTTCTTTGCCATGCCATAAGTTTCCAGTCGCAGCTTCCACCACCTGTGTGGTAATTTTTCCTCCCTGGCTTAAGAGGACAGCAACAATATTGTGATCTCCCCACTTAGCAGCATATTCAAGGGGTGTTTTACCTGCGCTATCTATACAGTTAATGTGAACAGCATGAGTGGCATCCTCTGAACCCTGGGCTCCCAAGCCAAGGGCAAAATCCACCAAAGCGGAAACTCCCCAAATTGCAGCTACGTGGAAGATGGAGAACCTCTCCGGGACTGGATATGAAGCCTGCTCTGACCTGACTTGCTCTAACCACCGTTCCCGATAAGGAGAATCGATTTGGAAAAATTCCGCTTGGGGACGCTGAACCTTAAAACTGAACTCGGCCATGCGCGCATGCTCAGTCCAATAGAAAATTGCATATTTCGAGAAACCGGTGTGCGATTCGTTCGCGCTGCAGAACGGCTCTAAGAGGAGATCAACACACCGGTAAGCAAGCTGGGCATGTGCCTCAAGTTTTTGGATAAAGAAAGCCCCAATCAGATAGTCTTTGACTGATTTATGTAACAGAAGTACCTTCTCGTCCTTAATGATGATCATCAAGCGGTAAGACTCGATGTATTCGCGCGTAAATTGTAGCCTTGTCTCAAAGTCTTCTTCCTCCTGGTACAGCTGGCATGCTTCAGAGAGCTCCGAGACAGTCAATGGTCGTAAACATACAGCTATGCAGCTTAGGAGGCGTCGAATATCATCAATATCGTTCTGTTCCAAAGTCATGTCGAGAAGCGTCTTATAGAGCGAATCAAGTCCCTTCGGTATGTTTTTCAAAACATTGATGACACGGTTTGAAGGAATATCCTTGAGCTCGTTGCACGCTATACCGATCCAGAGGAAAGTTCCTTCGGCTTTATCTTTGAGAATTTGGGATACTCGATTTTTGACTTTATTCGTATACCCTTTCCTTTCAGCCAGGTAATTGACTTTCTCTTCAATAAAAAGATTGATATCCTCTTGTCTTTCGGGGAAAGAAGCCAAATCTTTGTTCGTGAATATTTGCAAGCTTTCACGTATCTCGGAATATGGCCTACTAGTGACCAACAACCGGAAATTGGACGAGGCGTCCTGGCTCTGCACAGTTTCTTCAAGTTGTGCCAATAAGATCTTTTGCGAATCTCCATCGCATTCATCCAGCGCGTCAATGATACAATATTTTCGACCCGTGTTCTGATCATCCACCATGGTCATGAATATTTCCCAGAGAGCGTCGAACGACTTGAATAGCTCTATCCCACGCTCATGGTATCTTGGAAGGAGGTAATCTAGAAGCTGATCGTGCTGCTCAATGAGCTGGTGGAGAAGTCCTCTGACAACCGAGGTCGCGGTCCTCTGTTTGTCGAAGCCAGAGTCACAGAAAAAGTAGACTAGCGTTTCCCCGTTCATATTGGAAAATGTCTTTGGCAGCTCCTCTGTAAGGAATATAGCCATGGTTGATTTCCCAGTTCCTGGGTTCCCATGGAGCCACAGGGCCTGGGCCGGTTGTCTCTCGGAGCCCACCATCACCGTCGGTTCAGAACCAAGCCAAGTAGTAAGTTCTTTCGTGTGGAGTATCCACTCGCAAGAGCCGGAAGCATGGCCTCCTTTTCTGCGTCTCAGTGCTTTCCGGTCTTCAGACGGATTTGTCACGAAAAGGTCGCGTTGACAGTCAAAGCGCTTGTCTGTCCAATTGCCTAGAACCTAGTCAGCAGAGCCCATTCAAATAAAACAGGTAAAAGCATACCTAAGTTGAAATCCCGCCCCACCGTAACATTTCCATTCCCGCTGTTCTGTAATCCATGCCCATGGAAGTAGGATTGAGCAGTATCCGCCGCTGCTACAGGCCGCCTTCCAGGTCTGTCCTCTGCTAGCGATTCCTCAGTAGCCCAGCGCTTCATGGCTTTACCATTCATGAAACAATCCCTTCAAAGTGTTTGATATAGCCAAGCAAAATGGTTGGAGGCTATTGAAAAGTATTGTGGGTGAGCTGAACGCGGCTGAAACCGATGGGAGTTAGGCGCCGGACCTGCCACCTTCGTTTCATATTAAATCATTTCCCGATATTTGCTTTTTCTATCTAACCCCATATGGAGTAGAGGTTATATAAATGGTATTAAATATGGGAACACACACTCTCTTACAGTAAGTCTAGCACCTCGAAGGTAGTATTGAACATCGCGATTCTACGCTTCTCTCATCTACACATACCGGTGGTTGCCTATAGACACCTCGTACAACCTGTGATAGCTTGTGTTGATGTTGTTTCTTATTGCTGGATCGACCCGCACACCTTCGAGTGTGCTGTCAACGAGCGTTCCTCTCTTCGAGGGGAAGTCAGATGAGGGGTGAAAGGATGATGGAAATACAACAACCGTTTACCACGCTAGTAATGTACAAAAGTACGGGAAAAGCATATATATAAAGATAAATGTAGTAATTTCTGTCCAGCGGCTACTTTGTGTCTTGAATTTTATCATTATCACCAGAGGGAAATCATCTTGAAGCCCAGAAGCCTTCAATTACACTGGACCTAGATCGTCAGAGCGATAACTCATTACTGCTAAGATGACAGGTAGATGAGCCACATCAGCCCAGCCAAGAAATACCATGGTCTAACCAGTCGCGCAGAACTTGCCTATGAAAGGTACACAGTTGGGATCGTTTGCGCTCTAGAATTTGAGATGAGCGCTCTGCGTTACATGCTGGACAAAGAACATGCGCGTTTGCCCAGAAAGCACGGCGACTCGAATATGTATATCCTGGGAGAGCTCAGTGGCCATAATGTGATCCTTGCTAGCCTTCCAGGCAGCCAGGGGAAGAGCGCGGCAGCTGCGGTCGCGAAGGACATGTCGCGCAGTTTCCCATCGATCGAGCTACGATTGATGGTCGGTATCGGGGGAGGTGTTCCGAGCGAAAGAAATGACATCCGCTTGGGTGACGTTGTCGTGAGCATGCCCGACGGCCAGCATGGCGGTGTGGTGCAATATGACTTGATCAAGAACACGGACAATGGTATCATCTTGAAAGGGTTTCTTTGGCCGCCACCAGAGATTTTGAGAAGTGCTGTTTGTATTATGCAATCCGATCATAGAGTTTCGCAAAACAGGATCCCTGAGTTCATGTCGGCCATATTCCAGAAAGGCGACAACCTGCGTGTCGCCTACCAGCGGCCAGTAGAGCCAGATGAGCTCTTCCAGTCGATATACCGACATGTTCGCAAGCATGAAACTTGTCAGCGCTGTGATAAGACACGATTGGTCCATCGTCCGGCCCGGAGACCAATCCCCAAAATTCATTATGGGCTTATAGCGTCTGGAGACCAAGTCGTAAAGAGCGCCTCAAATGCGGCAGAAATCAATAGGAGGGTGAATGGCGATATCTTGTGCTTCGAGATGGAAGCAGCAGGTATCGCAACGGAGTACTCTTGCATCGCAATCCGGGGCATCTCCGACTATGCAGACTCTCATAAAAGCGACAGCTGGCAGCATTATGCTGCGGCTGCGGCTGCTGGGTGCGCTAAGGAACTTCTTTCCTATGTGAGCCCACGGCAGCATTTCACGACGACTGAAGCCTTCGGTCGTCATGGGCCTGACTTGTTCGCCGGCCGCCGCCTAGCTGCGCAATCCGTCTTCCGCGGTCAAGGAGTGCAAAACTCAGGATCTGGTAATGTATCTGTGGGAAGAAATTTATATATCAATAGTGGCAGGTAGCAAAGACACTCACTCAATCGATCAATATTTATGGTTCTATTCAATTGGTGCCTAACTTGTATCATAATGGGACCATGGGCGATGCCGCCATGGATTAGACGAATATGTTTTTAACGAAGTAAAGAGTGATGAAATATGCCGGATATTTCTGATTACAGACCAGAAGCTGGTTTGAGCAGATTTTTGATGATTTCAACCTAAGTCGAATTAGCAATCGAAAGCCCAAAACCGAACGAGTATTGAGAGGGCCAGAGATGTTTAATTTGAAGTCCTATGAATTAGTCACGTCTCTAATACTAGTTATACTAGAGTGGACGGGGGGATTTGCAGTCCTTGGCGCAGTTCATGAAGCCGATTACGATCTGTTCTAATGTAACACCATCCCAATGCTGAAACTATCCACAAAAAGCTCACCTACAAGTTCCCAAAGACCTTATGACGACACAAAGGACAAGAATCATTGTCACTTAACCACGACATAGCACACGCATAGCAATACCAATGTCCACAAGGTAGAACAATTACCGTAGCATCATTTTCAAGCTCATTTCTACAAACAGCACAGTCAGCCTTCTCACCCAGAAAAACAATTTCACTCACCGTCTGCCGAGGCAACGAATCAATAGCTTCAGATATGGACTGCTGAGGAGCTCCATGACTGATCCCACCCCTAGTAATCCATGTGATATCAGGTTGAGCTATATCAACATCAAAATTGACAGTTAGTTGACCATGGAAGTCAAGGTTGGGGTCAGGAATAAGGCGCCGAGCTCCAAATGGAAGCAGCTCCATCTCCTGCCCAGTGAGCAGAGTGGTAACTCCTTGACCGGAACCTGAAGGCCCGATAAAAACAGAGTGCCAACCCAAAAAGTATATATCTATGTTATAAGCAATGAATTCTCGTTGTCGCAGGATGGCAATGCCCTTCTGGAAGTCATCTTCGCCGAGTGTTGATAGGTGAATTATAACGTCGTCTGTGGCCTCTTGTTCGGTTCGTCCATTGGAAAGTCTTGCCTGCAAGCGTGTGTCTATCATAATTGCCATTTCGGCGTCACGTACTCCGTCTAGAATGTCAGTCTCCATTGAGTGTGGATTAAGTTGTAGATGTGCGAGGTCAAGTTCAAGTTGGTGATGCAGGTGATTGCTTTAAATTATTTGTTTTGAGAAGGAATATGGATTTGAAGTGTAATCGAAATTCGGAAGCCCGAAACCCGAACTCTCTTTATACTTACTGATTGATTTCCGCGACTTGGCTCAATCTATTGTAGTGATTACCTCCATTGTGGCGCACAATGGCTTTCTATTCTTATTTAAGTACAAAGACGTAACAAAGTGACTGAGGACATATTTGATAGCCGTGAACAAAAAGAAACTGTTCCATTCATATGCAATTTGTCACGGAGACTTAAAGGATATTCAAGAAAGACAAAGACGGTGATTTAGCTCAGCGAGCCATAAGTCCCAGTCAGTTAATTCATTGCCTACAAAGTATAAGCCTCTATCATTGAATGATATTCGTCTTCATTGTGTTCTTTCAAGCGGCATTCATCTTGCCTGTTATCTCATCCAGATCATAGGCTACTACCCAATCGCCAGCAGGCTCATACTCAGGTAATTTGAGTTCTGGGTTGCGCTTGTTTATCCCCTTGGCAAACATAACCCTAGCGTAGACCGGGTCGAATACAAATGTCGTTTCGCCGGTTTTGCCATTTTTCCGTTCTGCTGTGGCCGTAATCTCATCTATAGCGGTGTACTCGTCCGGGATTGGTATGGTCGCTTTCTCAATCTGATTCTTGATATGCTGAGCGGTGTCATGATCGAGACGGGTGTCGATAAAGTATAAACTGTCCACCCCGGTTGCTGCCACATATGGAGTATCCGGTGCGACGATCTGGAAGCCATACGATGTTTCGATTATAGTTGGTACGTAGCTGCTATTTCGATATTCTTCTTGGTAGGTTGGGGAGCCCTCGCACGGTCGGACCGGATTCAGCAGCATGCTGATGCAGAGTAGAGGGTAGAGCATATAGCATAGAAAATAAAGTGGTGATATGAATAAGTGCACATAAGTACTTAGGTCCCAGATTACAGTGAATGGACGGTGATGAAGGGCAGAGTCAGCTCTGTGGGTGAATCTTGGAAGCGTAGAGAATGTCAGCGCTTGGAGGTCCCAAGGCGTACTTCTGGGGGTGCGGAAAAAAAGATAATGCAATCACGCCCGGACTACCTACGGAGCTGCGGAAAGATAAATAACGCAATCACGTGTGATATACCCTGAGAGTTGATTACAGTTTTGGACACTAGCAGTCCTGGCGTTCAAAAAACAGAAAAAGACACAAGAAGATAAGGCTACGAGCTAAGCTAGAAGTTGATACCACGTCGGGCTACTACGATATATCGGCCGTGGGTCCATAACGGAGAAGCCTATCTCTGATAAGATTTCTACGCTTCTTTTTAGGTTGACTCATGAGGTGCTCCACGGTGCTCATTAGGGTGTGCATTTGACTCCTATACATACGGCCATATACAGCTTCGGTACTGGACATGAAGACGCTCAATTTACACACAGGTTTGTTTTGGTTTGAACGACAAGTAAAAGCATAAGACATACCCGACTTGCCTTACTGAGATATTCCACAGAACACATTTCATGACCTAAGGACAACATCCATGGACCTTCATAGCCCGCCCTAAAGCTTTCAACAAAATCACTACCTCCAGCAGCTCTCCCCGGCATCTCTCAGAACCTGCTCAGTGTATCGGTTTCAGAAACAATTTGAACAGCAGGATACACTACGGGGTGCGGATCTGCGAATCCAACGCCCTCCGGGGACGAGAATAAAACATATCAGCGTGGAGCTGAATGTTCGCAGCTCGGAGCTGCGAATTTTCGAACTCTAGGTACTCGAGATGAGCCAGAATGGTAGCATAGTTGGCTTGTAACTGGTGATACCCGGCGGCAAGAAACGCGAGTTGAGCCTTCGAGTGACTATTATGCTTGGCCAGCTCTTCCTCGTGCTCTGACTTCCAGTAGTTCCGCAGCTTTTGAAATTCACACTTGTTACTCTCAGTTGCTGACTTCGTTAGTATATGTTTGATGCTTGTTGGGTCTCCTAGAATGGGTAACATTGACTCACGATGATCCTTTCTCCAGCAGTTCATGCAATGGATGAAGATGGGGGATATGGGCTCGTCTGGAACCGGGCAGGCAGCATATTTGGGATCCGTTATCTCCCCGAACAGTGAGTCGGGGGTCATGGGTCGGCTGCAGGGGTGGATAGGCGATGGGAGAGCCGCCATCAGGGCTGAAGCCTTTGCAAGCTTTGCCTCACTTTTGCGTGCACGCTTTGGGAGAGATGAAGCTCTTAGGTTTCCCTGAACCATCATCTCGTTCAACGAGGTGGGTTCGTGTTCGAGGATCGTAGGGAGAGGCATATTCGAAGGGTGCTGGAAGGTGGATGGCATGAGAAGAACAGTCCATGGGTGTAAGAGTAGAAAGCGGATGGTACACAGATACTGAGCGAAAATGACATTTGAAATCAGAAGAGAGTGAAAGTGCCTTGGTGGGTGTTGACATTTCATCATGCAGATATCTCAAGGTAAAATTCAGTAAGAAAGCCTGGTAAGCTTGAATGAGCGAGCATAATTTCGGATCCTACATGACTTTCATTAAGCACATAGTATTCAAGAAGCGGAAGCAAGAGGACAAGAGAAGAGGCTGAGATTGATATAGAGCAGTAGCATCTTAATGAGGAGATTATACCGAGCTTGCCAACAGCTTTCAAATTTGAGCTCTTACCGCTTCACTCGCCGTTACTGAGTTAATACCTGTTGGTTTCTTTTCCTCCGTCATCATGAGAGAATTATAGGTCTATAAATACAAAAACATTTATACGAATCAATTTTCCTCTGTATTCTAAGTGTCGTCGCTCAATAAGTGAGCCCAGCGTCAGGCTTACCAAGTAGATTCCTAGACTCACACTAATTGCAAAAGCTAAATTTTCTTACGTTTGGGTATTGGAAGTTTAACAGAGCTCTTAAATTAAAAATAGCCTCAAGGCTTCGTCCAGGGTCCAGTTGAGATCTACTCAACCTGCAGTACAAGCAACTCCTCCCTCAGATACTGCAGTCATCCGCATTATCATCACCACGATCCCATCAAACAGCATTTGCAGCCCACTTAGATATCCCATGCTCCTGCAATTTTGATTCCTGAGTTTTGCCATCTCCTGTGTCGACGCCCGGCTCTTTGCCTCATCGACATGCTTCATTGTTGGTAGACGATGCCTAAACGCCTAACACTTACATCAAACGGCAACCTTCCGAAAGGCCTACTTTGGTAGAAACCAGGCATCCAAGCTTCCCAACTGTTCGTGAGACATAATCTCCCTGAATCGCTAGTTATTGAGATAGGAAAGGTTGCATGGCCACAAGGCCTCCAACGACCGAGGTGACGTTTGTTCAAAACAGGCGCGTGGGCCGTCTTTCTGATCATCCAGACCAAGTGCCATACCTTTATCTTGACAATCCACGGCAAGGACTTTCCATCGAGGGTCATCTGGGGTCAAACCAGGGCCAAGATTAACCCACGTTGTTAGGACCAGAGCCAAATCAGATCCATAACTACAAACTTCAATGAGGTAACATGCATTGCATTTCTTGCACTTATGAGTGGATCTGGGAGTTTCCTTTCCATCAATATATGCGTTTACAGTGCCGGTCGCCATCGCCTTCCATGTCGAACAACACATAGAAGCTGTTTGAAACCCTAATCACATGACATGCTAGTCCATATCTGGTTGGTTGTGTATTTGAAGACCTCGTATGACTCGAAACTATTAGAATACCAGCGAAAGTATCTGTAACTACATGTTATTTTGCAGGTCAAGAAATACTAGGTCCACCACTAAAAAGGTCCAACCTACCGCATATATATCCTCGCCATATAAAGCCAACACTGTCACCTTCTGTATAACTTTCCAAGTGACTATATGACTGAATCAAAAGATAGCTCCGTAGCTGGAAAGGCTCCTGAGGATAATATGACTGACTAGGACTTTGAATACATCAGCTGTCAATTTCTTGATCCTTGGCTCAGCACTTTGTACCCTTTCACATAAGACCTTACTTGATAAACTCACCATTGCTTCTTACTGATATAACTCCCGATGATATGATGCCGGGATGATATACTCCGTGCCGTGAGAGCTTAAGCTCATTGCGCCCTGCTATGGTGTCTGTGATTTCTCTAATAATGTATGACATCTCGCTTGCTATATCTCTTGCTGCTTTGTTATACGACGCTAGCCTCGTAGTTTCCTCTTACTCGCTTGGATCTCGTTAGAAGACTGAGTCCCGAGACCGGTAGGCCACTATACGCGTCGTAAATAGGGTGAACGACCACTTTGGCAAAGTTCGAAATACCGGTTTATTTTCAGCCAGCCACATAATGTGTAGGATATGGGGCTTGAAAATTACGTGTAAGGATAACATATTGGTGGGTAAAAAAAATGTTGATTCCCTGTTTCCTGTAGTTTCAAAAATGAGAATCGCAGACAATAAGCCGCACACCGCCACTTTCGCGATCTAGAGACGATCTAAGAGTGGGCCACACTCGGCGTAGCCAAATCTCTTATCGGATATGTGGATCCAATGTCTGCATACATCCATATGATTCGTGTTTTCCCTCATGATCATCTCCTCTACTATGTCCCACCGTCTGGCTTTACCTATCGGATGACGATGGAACCCTAAGGAATGTTAGATCAAGATTTCGGAGCCCCACAGTGGGAGTTTGGGGTATATATACTCAGCCCAGGAGGGACCTTGTGGGAAAAAGATAAACAACCTCGCTGCAAATATCATGGCTCCTTGCTACGCTGTAAGTTAACCATATATGTATGCTCTAGGTGGCTATATCTATGCAGAGCTAATAGAGGAGATGAGTAGGAGTGCCAAAACGGCAAATGGACCTGTACTTGTCGAGGCGGTACTTGGACGTGCGACGAATGTAATGGAGCAGGGGGAGAGAGAGATTACACCATCGAAGAAAATAACGCTAATGCTGAGTGGGCTGGCATGACATACAAAGACAACTGTCATACATGCAATGGCTCTGGCCGGAAGGTAAACCACATCCCCATACATCACTTTCATCTATCCAGACTACCTTATTTTGCCTGGATGAAGCTCATGAATAAAACGACAGACATGTAATACATGCCAAGGAACAGGACGGAAGGATTGCAATGCGTGTGGTGGTTCGGGGGAGACTTGAGCTCCAAAGGAAATTATCATAATCTGTGGGCATATCGAATTTGTGAATTTACTCCACACCCACGCCAGTTGGCAGTTTACCGTAAACGGGAGGTTTTTAATTACCTCTGGAGCTCCATTTTGCAAGCCTGGAAGGTCGGGAGTAAAAACTGTATATTTCATACTTGTATTCGAGCATTATGGTATATATTACCTAGTCAGCTACAAAACGGATCAATTACATGCTAGCCATATCTGGATTAGCGGATCACGGATCACATGCGTAGGGTTTGAAACAGCTTCTGTATGTGTTTGACATGGAAGGCGAAAGCGGTCAGCACTGTATAACGGTGTCAGGTAGCTTCAATTACTTGAGTGGACAAGACGTGTGCGCAAATAAACATAAGCTGTGGAGATTCCTTGATAGAATTAGCATTCCGGCGAGAAAGCAGTAGGTACGATCTACTACCACGAACAAACATAATATGCTGCTTTCTTAAAGCAAAGCCCCGGTTTCTTTGAAAAGATATGTGCGTCGATCGAAAAAAGAGAAGTGATTTTAGGGTACGATGCTTTTGCAGGGTGAGTTTGAGCTTGGGTATGAAATAGCGCCTCAGTACTGATTTCAAACTTCTCTCCATAGTGCAACCTCTTCATGGAAAGCTGAACATGCAGAAAATGGAACTATGCTCGGAACACCACGCGAATGTGTGATATTCGTTCATTCTCAAGTCCTTCCTGTTCTTTTGCATTTCCTCAAACCATCGAAGGCACCATCTTTTCTGCTCAAACCTTGAGCTAGTAAGACCGGTGCGTTCTGACCCATCAAACCAATGGAGATTATAGTAAATATGGCAGAGGGAAAAGGTTGGTGAATATCGTTAAAGCCAGCGTTGAACAGGCAGGTTGTCTCTTTTTGACATGCGGGCGGCGTTAGTCCGCTGGTCGAATATGGCGAAGAGTCGGCGATCGCAGAGTGCGAGACAAATCCAATCATCAAGAGGGAGCAATCCGGTTATTAACGGCAATACAGTGATGTTCGAAATCAGATTTACCTCGATACTCTCTCTTCTTATCTTACAGGGCCCCACTTTCCCCGATCGGACTAAGTTCTCAGGCATGCTAGTTATGTAGCGTCGATGAGCCATGATAAACTACCGTATGGCGTACACGTTTCCGCCTGCAAGTATCGTGTTGCTTCTTGCAAGAGTGTACAGAAAAGATATTCCCCTCTGGACACATGCATTGTTTCTTGGCCCTTCTCCGAACCAACCTAACACGTATATATGAACGATGCCCGGTTAGCCGATCTGCATATCATAATGTATTGGAGACATCATTAATGAATCATAGTTAGATACTGTGAGATGCGACATATTTCTTTTTGGCAGGACTCTCTAAGGGTACAATCATACAATTCCTTTATAGCACGACTACTAATTAACCGCCACTCTGCTACCACGGAAGACAAAGTCAGCTAGGCTAACACAAATTATGTATGATTTCTGCTGATCACTTGTTTTACAACCTAATCTCCTCACTCAAGTCATATTATCAGCTCTTACCTCCATCTTTCCCTTACATTCTCATCCCCATGGCGGGTTCTAGCACTCTGCCTTCCGAAAATAAAGGCATCTGCTACTCACCTCACCAGCATAGCGAGCATTCATATGTATCGGTCCCAGATCTTCCTTCCGAGAACTCATCCCAGCGTGCCGAACTTCCCCCCTACAGCCTTTGTCTCCCCACCAAAACTGACCATTTTTATCCAAGGTCCAGTCGTCAACAACATCTGCAAGAGTTTGTATATGACCGTACGTTGCCGGCTGGGGGCCTTTCGGCTTCTTGAGCGTAAGAAACATAAGAGCAGACGCAAATGCAGTGGCGCAGATAACGTAAACGAACAGACGAGCGTAGTTCATGGTGAACCAAACCCTCTCTGCTTCAGAAGTTGGAGTGAAGGAAGACTGGAGGGATTGACCGAGCAGCCAATGCAGCAGAGATTTAAAGATTAGGAGCATGCCGTACTTCCAGCTCCTCAGGGCAGCTAGGAAGGGAGGGGTCGAGAGGACATTGTTTGTGCGGCCAGGGTTGCCTTGAGCGTTTAGATCTCTCCATACATCTTCATCTCGGGATAGATTGACGATGAGTTCTGCACAGTGGAGCCCAAGAGTTTGCAACCCTTGGATTACGCAAAAAAACAGAAGACTGACGATAAGTGCAGGAACGAAGGACATCTGCTCGATATAATCCAGACTGAAGAAAACCGCATTGAAGTAGGTGGTCATGGATATCATCCTCACAATGAGGTTTGCAGAAGGATTCCAAGCCAATGAAAAATGCCACGTCGACGGCCATGTCGAATTGGCCGGAGGGTGGACTTCATGAATTATACCTATCATGTTGGAGCGTGCGACGAGGACGATTGTCAAGAACCAGACGATAGAAAGTCCAGTCAGTGCCCAGATGAAAATCATAGCGTGCCTTGCGGAAGTGCTGATTTGCCATTGACTCGGCTGTTTCGTATGTGGCAGCATTGGTCTTGCCTGTGACGTGTCTCGGACCTGAACCGAGTCTATACAGCGGCCTTCTCTGTGTTGTAAAGACTGTTGGTTCATCATGGTGATTGTAGTGTTCAGTGGGTTTGAGCTCCACGAGGGAATATCGCGAAGATTGTCATAAAAGCACCAGGCGGCGAGCAGGGTTTGACCGAACAGAGCGAGTCCAAGTGCCAGCAAGGCGATCACGTTCAAGTGCGACTCGTAAGATGTGCCCATATCTAAGTTAAATCGGGGCATGACAAGCGTTGAAGTAGCCCCATAGGCAAGAATCAGAAGCATCGCCGAGATGGAGTTGATGTACCAGCTATTAGGCCTCGAGATACTTGAGCTAGTGATCAAGCGAATGTTGGTGTTGAATACGAGTCGATTCTCCTTGAGAAGGGCCCAGCGAAGAGATATTGAATGGACATACGCTAAGCCTTCCAGACATTGGGTGAGGATGATATTGACGATAAAGGAGAGGGCCTCGCCAGGTAAGCCATTTGGTAGATAAATCATTGGCGATATATGGGCAGTAGTCGATTTGACCAGGAATACAATGCTGCAGACAATACAGGCCAAAAAGCACACTACCCCAAAGGCTATCGTGAGCAGGCACTGCAATTTGGTACCAGACCCGATGTCGACCGAAGGTAGACCTTGAGGCTCTGCTCCAGCGGAGACATCAATTGAGTCTGAATATTGGCTACCGTCGGCTGTATGATTAAGCTCATCCAACTCTATAGTGGGAATTGATGCGTATTTGGTGCCGTCTCTTGTGTTTCGTCTGCAGGATGACGATTGAGGGGACTTTCTCGGAGTAGGGTGATCATCATCCTAATGCGAGTGAGGATCATTCTAAATGGCCCTTGCATTGCTTGTTCACTTACAGCTCTGTTTGTGACTATGGACGTCGTGAGATCATCAGGTACAGAGTCGGGACTTTCATGGATAATCGCGTATCTGCTCTCCATTGTGCCGCTCTGTGGACTTTGAAAGACAACACGGTACACAGCCAGTTGGGGGTAAGCGGTCTTTGCTGATAATGAGCATATCCTGGAACAGAGTGGTGTTTTCGAATTGAATAAACGTTTGGCTAAGGCTCTGCAATATTAATAGGCACATGGCGGCGCGTTTCAGCCGTAATAAGCTACATAAAACTGAATGGGCCTGTCGATTCCCAGACCCTCCACTCTCGTCCCGTCCCTTCGAGGCGGACCGTGCGAAGATAAAATTAAAAATAAGCACTAGAGAGCTGCAACAGGCTTAGCTTTGGACCTTGGCCCAAGTTTTGGTGATATGATTGGACAGCTAATAATCATAAACACAGACCCTGCACCAGTGTACAGAATTTGGGGGCCAGTGTGGCGCAAACTTTCACTAGTCACCCCTAGGTACCGTGTTCCACCCACCGGCAGGTCTGCTTAGTCCTCTGATCAGGGGATCGTATTCACAGTGCACCTTTTTTTTTTTTTTTTTTTTTTTTTTTTTTTTTGACTCGAGAGAGAGACCGGCTAGCGTATTCTATTTGCCAATTGCAAATGGTAAAGTGGGCCTTCCCTGCAATCGAGCTAGCATTGGAGAAAGAATATTGAGGAGCGATGGCATGTTAAAGACGTTTAGTCCACACAGATCGAAGATTCAGTGAATTTCAAGCGAACAAAGGTGCTGGAAAAGAAAATAGGAAGTGATAGCGGGCAGTTTTGGATGACGCGAGTGTAATGTTCTCTCGGGAGTCAAGGGCTCACCTTACTTTACCTAATCGGGCACAGCGCCAGTTAGTCCATTACACCTTGGGCTTAAGACTGCTTAAGTATTCACATGTCCTTTGAGTAATTTGTATGACAGGTTGGGTACTGGAAGTCAGATTGGGACAGGCCTCTTTCATTTGAAGGCCCCTGTGTCTCAAACGACGATCATACTGGACACGAGTACCTGGCCTGATCCGTGTCGTTGCTGTTCCCACCCCTTCGTCGCCCGCACTTCTCGGTTCTCCGCAATCAACACCTTCTGGCGAGCCAGCCACTCTTCCTTCTCTTTTGGAAGTTTTTCGAAGCCTGGTGTTGGAAGCCTTTGTCTCCGCGATCTTCGTGTTCTTCGAACGTACGCTGTTCAACTATTACATATGACCGATGATCGCCATATAGGCCACTCAAAAACTGGTCTAAAAGCTGGATGGTAGAGCCAGTCGATGTAAGGTGGGAGCAGATGCACTTGTCTATTGATCGGTTTTTCATTTCATGACTAAGATTTATTGCTGGTATATGCTTTTCTGGTATGTTTCTGGCTTGAGACTGGTGAAATAGCTAGGAGAGCCTTTCCTGAAGAGGGTCAACCACAGGATAAGACTGCACGCATTCGAAAAGATTGGCCGGCGCTCAAGGAGAAGGCTCAGGAGGCTCAAGAGGTGGATGACTAAATGCACGTCCGGGATATTCAGCGCGAAGCTAAGGCCCCTGCTGGCGACGATCGTGGTGACATTGAATCGGCGGGTGCACTGAAAGGTATCTGTCGCCAGCCTCTCTACGAAAGATATAAAAGTTCGAGTGCTGCATGTAGTAGACACACGTCTGCCCTGTCGCATTAGGCTTAGTGGAGTGGGTCCGTCCCCACCAGCAGCCGAAAAAAAGAATTTCTGCTTTTTGCACCTTGTCATTGGGAAAATATAAGTATTTCATGGGAAAGAAGTATAACAAGAGTGAAATCAAATTGGTATATAGATGTTAGACCCCAAGTATCCCCCCAAAAAATCCCGCCAAACCAAGAAAAACCAGAAAAACGCCCCAAACCCAACCAAACGCAACGCACGCCACGCCAAAACACACAAAACGCAACACACGACACACGACACGACACGACACGACACACATAACACATAACACATAACATGACATACACTATACATAGCACGGGGGCTTCAAATTATAAAACGGAGATTCGTCTAATCTATACAGCTCTTCTTATATGTATAGGTAGCTGCACACCTATATAGCAAAGATATCCAGACAGAACAACACTTTTGAAATCAGGAACAGAGAAAGAAAAACATGTCATGCGTGAGAAAAATCAAAGGCGCTTTTTGTTTGCACATTATAAAGAAGCCAAGATTTAAGGGGCCAGAACCAAAGCCAGGAGAGCCATGCGGCAGTACAGGCCATATCTCATCTAAAGAGAAGTTAGTCAGGATTCCACAGTAGTCCAGGGAGAGGGAGAAAACATACCTGGCGGAAGTAAGCAGCCCGCTGGTCAAAGTCAACCTCCTCGGTGATCTCGGCGTTGCGAGGCAGAGGGTGCATAACAACCATGTGGCTCTTGGCATGCTTGAGCAGAGCGTTGTCAATGACAAAGGTGTTCTTGAGACGCTCGTACTGGGCGAGGTCGGTGAAGCGCTCCTTCTGCACACGGGTAGAGTACAGAACGTCAGAGCGAGCCACGATCTCGGGGGTCAGCTCCTCGGTCTCGAGGCGCAGCTGGCCAGAGGCAACAAGCTGCTTGCGGACGTCCTCGGGCAGAGACAGCTCCTTAGGAGCCACCAGCTGCACCTGGACATCGTAGAAGCGGAGCAACTTGATCAGGGAGTGGACGGTGCGGCCGTACCGGAGGTCACCAACGAAGGTGATGGTCAGACCGGCGACGGTACCCAGCTCCTCACGGATGGTGAAGAGGTCCAGGAAGGCCTGGGTAGGGTGCTCGATGGAGCCGTTTCCACCGTTGATGATGGGGACGGGGGAGAACTTGGCGGCAACGTCGGTGCTGTTGGGGCTGGGGTGGCGGAGGACTACCGCATCACCGTAGCAGCCAAGGGTGCGAATGGTGTCCTGAAGAGTCTCACCCTTCTGGGTAGAGGAGTGCTCAGTGGAGATGGGAATGACACGACCACCCAGGCGCTGCATAGCCGCATCGAAAGAGGCCGAGGTACGGGTGGAGGGCTCGTAGAAGAGAGTGCACAGAACACGACCCTTGAGGACGTCAAGGACACCCTGGCGCTGAACACCGAGGCGCATCTCCTGGGCGACAGTGAAGAGCAGGTGAAGGTCCGCGCGAGTGAACTGGCTCACGGACAGCACGTGCTTACCACGGAACTGAGAGCGGGAGAGCATCTCGTTCAGGGGAGAAGAGGCCTGGGAAGAGGGGGTGTACAGAGGAGGTCCAAGCTCGCCAACGGGGACGGAGGCGTCCAGAGCACGAGTGCGGCGGCCAGGGGTGCCAGAGACGGAAGTCTGGTGCTCCAGGGAGGTTTCCGGACGGACCATGGGGGTGGTCGGCTTCTGGATGGGGGAGGTGGGGATGATGCGGTGAGAAGACATGTCAACACCCTTGCCAGCCTCGGAGGTAATGTCGCCGTCAAGGCAGGTGGTCTTGCCCTGGAAGACAACGCGCTGAACGGCGCCGCGCATCATTTTGCCGTTGAAGGGAGACCAAGCCTGAGTGTTCTGGAACACGTAAGGGCGGTCAACCTCGATCTCAAGCGAGGAGTCGGCCTGGTCGTGGAGCTCGAAGATCTTCTTGGGGTTCTCGTAGAGGCGAGCAATGATGTCCTCAATGGTAAGGCGACCCTCAGACACGGCAGTGAACAGGAGGGGCAGGGACTCGGCGAGACCGACAGCGGGCGAAGCATCCTTTCCAGCAAGCTGGAAGGGAATGCTGCCAATCGAGAAGATGTCGATAGTGCTCAAGTGCTCCCACAGAGCCTTCTGGTCCTCAATAGAGGGCAGAGAGCTGCAAGCAGGGAAGTCCTCGCGCGAGAGGAAGAGGCAGAAGATGGAAACATCGCAGGTCACCTTCAGACCCTTCTCCTTGCTCAGAGCAATGAGCTTGATGTCCTCCTGGGAGGTGACGCTCATCACGTGAATGTTGCGGCTGTGGAGGCTGGCCAGGAGCAGGATCGAGGCCAGATCAGTACCCTTGGCATCAGTGATCATGGGCTTGCTGGAGGGCCAGGAAGCAAAGTGGTTGGTCACAGTGGCCACCTGGTTGATGTTGCCAGACAGGTGGTTGAAGGGGATGAAAAGAGAGCCAACATCGCCAGCGACCCGATTGATCTCGTCAGAGTTGGAGGAAGTAGCAGTAACTGAGAAGTTGAAGTCACAGAAAGACTTGCCCTGAGCATTCTGCTGGACGATACTCAGGTCAGAAGCACCGGTGACCGAGCTATCAACACCGACGGGCATAACACGGACCATGCTGAAACCAGCGGCCATGGAGGCCTTGGTGACGGCCTCGAAGTCCTGAGAGCCAGGAGTGGTAAGACCAGGAACGAAGGCAGCGATGTTGATGAGTCCAGGCAGAGTCACGGTGCGGTGGCTAGTCTGGAAGTCAGAGGTCTGAATATCCAGAGTGAAGTGGCGAGCGATGGCTTCAATGAGGATCTTGGCGTTCTTCACGTTGGTGACCAGAGGAGTCTGGTAGTCAACAGCCATACGACGAGTGCGGTAACCCTTGGACATGTAGTTGGCAGGGCGGCGGTAACGGTTGCTGGAGGGCAAGTTGATGTACAGATCAATCAGGTTGCTGGACAA